CAGCGTATTTTCCGATGTGGAATGAGGAGATTTGTGTGCAAAATATTGAATAATACTTTCTGGGTGTGATTGTGTTGATTTTGTATTCATCGTGTGTAGTCAGGGTAAAAGATTTTCATGCGCTTTTCCCTAAAAGCCAGCGCATCGTGCGAGGACGTTCTTTTTCACAAGCAGCGAATTCTCCCATGAAAATCTCACGCTGCTGAAGTCCACTTTTGTGCAATTTTGTCCAGTTGACTGTAGGAACGTGGATGAAAATTCTTGCCAATTTACTCATGCATTGTTGAGAGACTTGTTTATCATCACCAACAGAGTTGCAATGTACTAGGAAATGTTACTGGGAAAATGAGCATTTTCCCCATGGCACGCTGAAAGACCAGAGCGGAGTTATTAGAAAATAATTTCTCATGCATTGCATTCTTGGAGAATAGATAGAAATTCTTCACTGCGCCACAATGTATGGCTTAAGGGTGGAAATTTAGCATTTAAGAGATTGCATTCTTGATTCTCTTTGGCACCGGGACGCCCCAAAATGGAGGATGCTCTCAGCGTCCTTTGTTGTGAGCCTCTCTCTTTCCCTATGAAGGCGAAGCGGAAATTTGTCACATTGTGGCAAGCATAATTTCATAAATATCGCCCACACTCTCGTCACTGGGAAAATAGTTGAGAGTTCAGGAATTCTCCACCAGCAAAACAGGACCACCAAATCGGCAAATACTTCACTATATACGGGTAGTTTTCAGAGGTTTCGAGAGCTTTTGATGCTTTGTGCCAGTCTTCAGCGCATTTGCTCTTTTATCTTCTCTGTGAATTCCACATGAAAATTCTCAACTCACAGTCCCGAACGCTAAATGCTGTCAATGATGAAATATTGAGGCCTCCGAAATCTTGGGTTATTGTCAACAGACCATCTCTGTATGGCCATCGTAACGAAATTCCCTTAAATTCACTTCACTCGACAATTTCATCGTCTCGTCGGGGATTTGTGCAGGAAAATCCGAGGCAAATGGGTCTGCTTGATAAACAAGAATACCATCGGGACCCCTTCGATAAATTACACATGATAGGAATGAAAACTTTCTCACTCCTTCTTTTGTACGTAAATCAAGATTGAGGGATGAAATTTTCAGAGGAAAAATGAATAATGTGCCATTGAGTTGAGAAAAGCTTCATAATCATGATAATCATGTTAATTTATAAGATAAACTATAGAGAGAACAGACGAAAAGCAAAGCTGGTTAAATTAGTTTAAAAGCAACATTGCTTTACAATGTTTCTCAGTATAAAGTTTTGCTACAGTCGTAGAATTGTACATTTGAGAACATTCTGACAATTTTTTCTTAGAATTTCAATGAACAGATATTTCCAAGAACCGCAATAGTTATATTTTTAACTCTTCAGACTGAGTGTGATTCCTCTTCAGCACAGTGTTTTAATTAAAAAGAAGATCTTTGTGAAATAATTGAGCAAGTAATTGAAGAGCATTTTAAGGTTTGAAATGTTTCCCATTCTATGGTTTTCTTCTAAATTTCTCAGACAATTTTTCCCGAAGTTCCCCCCAAAAACCACACCCTGAAGTGACTGCCGTCTCAACCCACCAGACCCAGAAGAGTGACGAAACTTTCCCACTTCTCGTCACTCGGTGGAATTCCTCTGGTGTGAGTGCAATGCAATAAAAGGTGGTGAGATTCAATAATAAGAAAACGAGGTCGGAGACAGTGGAAGAGGAAAACAGCCCCCCAAAAGCTCTTCCATGTCCTTCTCCTGAGAATTACGGGAAAATCTAATTCTCACGAGTGTGGAGGGTGTGAAAAGGTGTGCTTCTCATGGGCAAAAAGAAAAGAACTCCCCAGTCGCGCTGGCGAGAACTATAATAAAAGTTGTCGATTCGCCCGCAGGGGTGGCTTCTCGTCTGACTGGCTCTCTTTGTCGGAGGGTGAATAAAGTTTGCGATAGTGTCTTCTTCTTTTTCCCATGGTGTCGCCATTCACGCAGAGCCGGGAAAACAGTTGGGGAAATTGTGCACAAATATTGTGGCGAGGGGCGGAAAATTTTATCATGTCGCCCTGGACAAAAGAGGAAGGAAATGAGAAGCATTGAAATTGACTTTTTACTTATTTATCTCGATATTACCCTCACGATAATCGCCCTAGAGACTCACTTCTTTTCCCGCCCAATTTCCTCGCATAATCAAAATTGATATTTGGGGACTATTTTCGCTTTCCGAGAGGGGAGAAGCTAGTCTGCGGGATATAATCTTGAGGAAAACATCTCATCAATCTCTAGATGTGGCCTTAATCTAATTTGATTGATAACGACCAGATTTTAAAGGACGCACGCGATCCCCAATTGAGGGATGGGACTAAATTGCACATTCTTCACATTGACGTGATTCTAGGAAATTGTTATCGCCCATTCAATGAATTAAGGACACTAAAGGCGTTTCCAGAATTAATAAAAACAGAAGTTCTACACATTCTTTGACTGCCAATTATCAATAATCAGTACAAAATTAACTAAATCACCCCTAATCGAAGGATTCAATAAATGCAATACAGAAGATTTGTATTTGTCAATTGAAAGCCAGAAATTTACTTGTTGAATTTCCACCAATATCGTAAGCTGAGAAAGTAAGCTCGAGTGGAAGAGTGCCCAAGAGATTTTCCATTAAGCTTTTCAGCCCCTCCTGAAAGCAGTTGGGATGGAATATTTAAATAAAGTAACTTCTTGGGCAAACATTTTTGCCACTCTCAGTGCGACCATCAATTAAGTGTGAGTCTGCGAGTGAAGCCGGCCAACTTCGGGGACGACTGTCTCTGGGGGTGTGGAGGTGAAAAGTATGGCGTCTCCGGTCACTTGCATCCGGAGGAAATTCAATATTTGAAGTGGCTAATGGTGGACGTAAATATGTACGTAACAATTTCGCCCCAAACTTGCACAAATCCCTCAGGATTGGGGGCCTTTTTTTCCCCGCCTCGTCGGGGGCGATTTGTCATTTTGTCAAGTGAGACGGCCTCTCACTGGGTGCAATAAGTGTGTGCAAATAGAGTATTTCCATCGGCCACAATCAATTTTTTGCCACCCTCATCGCTTACATCCCAACTGATGTCCTGGCAAATCCCCTCCGCAAATATTTAGTGGGATGTAGACTTATCTCAGTCAAACTCTAGACAGAGCATCTTCCTATATCGGATAAGCCGCAAAGTGATTACACAACGGTCAGATTCGCTCAGCTAAAACTCTGCATCTTCCTTATTTCTCAGATGAATTAGGATAAATTGTGAAATTTTGACAATTTCCATTTTTCAACAACTCTCAAAAGCCATTCTCGTCACTTGCAAATGCATTTCAGCACAGAATTGCGTCTGACTCGCGGCACAACTCCATGCGAAAGTGTTTTGCTGACTTCTCGAAAGTCGGCCCATTGTATTCGCCAGAAGGAAAATTGTTACATAAAATTAAATAAGTTCACTTAATGTCACTGACAAAGTGCAATTGTGAGAAAATGGGTTGGGAAAACTGAAGAAGTGCGCGATCTCTTGGCAGACAAAAGAAGAGTTTCACTGCATGGATGGCAAGTGAAAAAGAGCCTGGGAAAATCCTCATGCCAACCAATTTAATTCACTTGCAAAGAAATATTGCAGGCAAATTAGAATTCTATTTGGGTGGTGAATCCCGTTGCCCAACAATCACTGGCCGGGTAAATCGCACTCTCGGGCATGGTTTCTGTGGGGTGGACAGAAAGAGAAGAGGCAAAAGGAGGAATTACACATTCCACATACAAATTGAATGAATTAAAAAGTTAAACTCTTTCTCCATGCGAGGTTTGAGGCGCTTTCTCTCGTGCGCGCCTCTTTTAATTTGAGGGCGAGAGACTCTCATGCGAAACAAAGTGGAGCAATTTTAGAGTAAATTGCAGTACCAGAGATGCTCTTTCGGGAGGTTGAGCGAGGCTGGCAGCAATAGGATTGTCCATTGAGAAAATTACAGATAAACACAGAGAAACCGCTCAGGCCAGGAAATCTCAGTGTGAGACGCTTTCAGTTTCTCAAGCCAAGGAAGGAAGCAAAAAACATATTTATGTGCTTGCTTTTTCGGCTGAGCTTGAGTGAATTCATTGGAGAAAGTCGCATGAAAGAAAATGCGGAAAAGTGCAAGAAATGAGAAGTGATTCACTGACCTGTTGCTTGGGGGAATCTTGAACAAATCCGGGTGGGAAATTGAATAGGAAGAGCAACTAAAGTCAGAAGAGAGTTTCAAAAGAATAAATTATAGGATTTCATGTGTTTAGAATCAAAAGTTTTTTTTTTCTATTGCAATCAGTGATGTTGTTTTTATCTATAATAATGTATTCTACAAAACTTTTGATCTTAACTATAAAATAAAACATTGAGCATTGTCACGAATGACACATTTTGCACGCTTGTTTGCTCACTTGCGGAACAATGAAATCACTCTGAACTTCACCGTCCAATGCTCATTGCAAAGCATAAAGTATTTTTAGAGAAAAATTCTGATAAATGCATAGACTTTTGCAGCCACAATTTTTATGATTTTACTATGTTTGCAATTTTTAGTCATAGTCGTATTTTTTTTTCCCTACCATTCACTGCATTCACTTTAAAATTGCCTTTACAAAATTCTCCGCTAAAGCAACACACTTTTACTCTCATGAATTTTTACATACCAGAAAACCAGCGACAAGAGAAAGTTGAGAGAATCCTGAACGAGTTTGTTAAATAATTTCCTAATCGAGTCATTTGGTGAGTTTGTCGGGTTCAAAATCCAATTTTCCTCCTTGTCCGCGCCAAAATTCTCAACTCTCATTGTGCAAAAGGCCTCCAAAACTCGCTTTCCCACACTGGAATTTCTCGATTACCTTTCAAGTTCTGCGTAGCATTTCCCAGTTGTTGCTCTGGAGATGATCAAATTCCCCCCAAATTGCTCATGAAGAGAGTCGAATGCGCAGAATTTCACCAGTAATTCTCCCAAGTTCGTAGTCTGGCCAGACAACCAATTTATTGGCTCTCCACTAGATAACAAAAACCGGAAAGGATTTACCTAATAGCTTCATGATCTCTACTGCTTCTTGCTGGGGTCCCAGGCCTCAATCTTGGGCCGGGTGGTTGTGTACGGCATGTACTGTCCGGGAGTTCCGGACATGTTCTCAGAATGATCCACCATCCACTTGTACTTTGGCCGCGTCCCATCGCGATCCGGAGGAAGATCCGTCTGCAAGACATTCAAGCATTCAAGCAGGCCAGCCACTTACAATTCAAGTTCTCAGGTTTTCACCTTGTAATGCATCCAACCAAACCAGTCAGCCGGAATCTGGGATCCGTCGTAATCCGTGCTGAAGTCTGGCGAGTACTCAACCCAGCGATTGCGTCCATAGAAGAAGTAGGGATTCTCGTAGTACTTGTTTCCGTACTTGTCTTCACCCACGAGTCGTCCCTCCTTTAGGTCATCCATCCTGGACGGGCAGAAGTGCCCGAAAGGGCAAAAATTGTATTTTCAATCACCAAAACAAAACACAATTCTAGGTTAAGTGTTATATAAGCAGATATTTGCTCACCTATACAGCTTGTAGAGACTCGCCCGAATGCCACCATTCTGCTGAATGATTCTGAACAATTTGGACACTCTGTCCAGCCCAAAATAGGACATTACACCGGAGATTTTTCTACTTTTCCTGCCAGAAAAAATTCACCAAACTTTGTTTTTCTTTTCCAAAGCCCTCTCTACGTACAGCAGCGCCTCTCGCGATGACTAGAATAAACTTTCTATGAAAAAAGACCGCTTTATCTGAATATCATCTTTTAGTCTCAGATTTTCCTATCAGCATCACAAAATTACTTGGGAGGATCTAGTCTGGCCGCTTGAGGACGAGGTATGAAGCCCAATCTCACGGAGGAGAGCAGCGTTCCCGGCTTCACTGGCTTGAACGCCATGAGAGATCCGAAAACGACGTGCTGAATGACAGGAAATTTGGCCAGCACTTCCTTCTGGTACATCTTCACGAGGCCCGAGTTAATCTTGGACCAGCTCTGTACGGCTGAGATGCTCCACAGTTGGTTGGAGTGCTCAGCAAAGTGACCAGTCTTCACTTTTTGGATATAATCGATGCAACTGATGAACATGTAGTCATTCTTGTGGCGCGTAATAACATTTTCGTCCAGAAACTGGGCAGGTTCGATGGGGCTGTTCATGGCGAATTGAGCACTCCCCCAGATGAAGGGGATGAATTGATAGTCATCCAAACTCCAGACCCCATGACTGCCGGCCGGTTCCATTCGATATGTCGTCTGGAGGCGCCTGGCGAAGATCAGGTACTTGTCGAACACCTGCAAACCCACAACTGTCTGATCTGTTCTCTCAAACACTCCCAGCTTGAAGAGACAGCACAGGAAGAAGACAAAGGCCAGCTCATGGCCAGTGCCATAGTCAATTCTCGTAGAGTTCCCGAAGGAGTCTACAAAGTATGCCATAATCTCCACAATTGCCCCCTTTTTCTCCTCTGGAAGGACGCTCAAGAGCATCTCCTCAGCATTGTCTCTCATCTTCTGATGCCACGATCTGTACGCCACATTCCCGAAGCGCTGGGGTTGATCTACAGGTGGAGTGTCGTCAACCAGGACGTTCAGTTTGACGAAGAGCTGAAGAACTTTGTCAACTCCTGCCGACTTGGGAACTTCTGCCGAAATCTTCTTGCCCTGAATGGACATGCTGACTGAATTTATGAATCCAATGAGTTCGTGATAAGCCTCCGATTGCTCCCAGGCCGGAATATCCATGGCACTCTTGACACATTTCGTGGGCGCACTGAAGACTCCCGGACAGTCTGTTTTTGGGGTTAATGAGATGTAGCTGATTTCTCATAACATACTTAACAATTACCTGATTTCTTTGCATCTGCATGCGCCAGAGGAGTCCCTGAAGTCACTGCATCGTCTTTGTCACCCATTTTCCCAGGAAATAGCTGGGAAAACTTCTCTTTCTGTGAAATATCCTGGAGATTACCAGAAAAACACCGACTTATGATGGAAAACAATACGCGTACTCTCCTGCAGAGGTCTCTTGAGAGGAGCTTGAATGTTTTTCCGCGCCCTTTTCAAAGACCACTTTTGCTTTGATTTATCTTTATATATATTGTCTTATATTAATTCTGTAATACATTTTATCGCAGTATTTGCTCAATATATGTATGTATGACTGCCAACAGTAATATTTACTTCTACGATATTTCATGAGTGATTCCGCCTTACTATTTCCCAAACAACTGAATCAAGCGACGATTTTTCCAGAAATATACAAAATTTTTAACTGAATATGCGACAGATAAAGTATTTCAGGAGTCTCTCATCTCCACAAATTCTCTCATTTCGTATATAAATTCATTGTAAAAAGGAAAAGAGAATATAAATGTAACGAAAAATATACAAAAAATAGTAATAAAGTAGGATAAACGACAATTATTCTGATCATTTAGCATCTGAAAGTGCTTCTCTAGGATTTTTTTTTACACTATTTCTCAATAGTATACTCTTAGTTTTACTGGATTTCTCATTTTGCTATGTAGCCAATATGCCTAAATTTCATTTTAGCATTTAAATTGTTCTTTACAGGTAAATTTTGAATACTTCTTGCTCAATCTTTCCATTAAATTATGCCTAGGTTTTCAAATATTTGCAATATTCATTATTATTTCTTCTCTTTATATGATAAATCTTTAATATAGTCCTTAAATTAAACTCTTTTTGAGATTATTACTTTCTCTCCTCTTCATGTACAATTATACCTTATTTTGAGCTCACTTGCAGCTCAATCTGAATGGGATTTTTCGGGGTACAATTCAGTTTTTTCCTATCTTTGTCCAACAGAAAATATCCATCTTTGCCATCTCCACACGATCTTTCTCGTCATTTCACGAAATTACATATACACAGTACAACAGGAGGACAAAGAATAACATTTAACGTCTAACGTTTTCCCCCATTTTCACGCTCTCTGCTCACTGTCTTTTGTCGCGTGTGCAAAACTTTTAAAATTGGTCAACAAGCAAATTGCAAACCTCCTTTGTAACACTTTCCTTGCTCGATCTGATGGTCAATCTAAACATCTGCGAAAGAGATAACATCACCATTACTAACTCTCTCTCTGCCATCGCTTTGAGCACTCCGCCAACTCACCTGAGCTTGCTTGTTGGGCTCCAGTCTCAGCAAACAGCCCACTTGCTGTGTTTGAGTGTGAATGATTCCCGCGCACACCATATTGTCGGGATTCGGATCGATGCTCTCCAGCAATTGCATCCCGAAGCCCATTAGTTTAGTCCTAGCTGCTTGCAAGTCCAGTGGAAGTTGTGCCTTGAATACCTTTTGTGCTCGCTGGGACTCTCTGAAAGCGAAAGAAAATATTCACAGTATCATCAAACTGCGTTCAGCCAGAATATCAGCCAGAAAGGACTCAAGAACTAGTCAATAAAAGTCTAAAACTCACCCTCCGAGATTCTTCCATCTGGCAAAGAACGACTCTCCATTCATTTCCGTTGGCTCGAAGAACTTATTGAGTGTTAGCGGAAGCTTGATGTTCACCTTCTGGTGGACGCCATTGTGCCGGAAGGACAGATCAATGGATGGCGCATCGGCAAAGTCCTCAACGCACTCCGCATTGAGGAGCTGCTGTATCTGCGCTCCAGCTTCCAGAGTCGGCTCCACTGCCTTGATCTGCACACTCAGCAGCGACGCCTTCTCCGCCGGCCACTGAAGCACCGGCGAGAAGTTGGTAAGCGGCGTCTGAGTCTTGTTGCCATAGTACAAGCCCAAGCGTCCCAAATTCTGCCTGTATTCACTCTTCACCCCAATCTGAATGAGCTCATTCTCGAACAGCACGCCATTGTTCTTGAAGAGGAACTTCTTCGTGTTGTACACCACCGCCGACGAGTTGTTGTACATGTCTCCGAGCACATCAATCAACGTTCCCTGGCTGTTCTGATTGCCAGACGGCGGTGTGCTGAGCCCTAGAAGATCCGCATTGGTGCTGTTCGATGTATGATTGCTATTCTGATGAGTATTATTCGCCGTGGCGGGTATTGGGCTCTTATTCTCCCGAATCTCATTCTCCGGCACTCGACCGGGCTTCTTCTTCTTCAGCACCGCCAGAATGGAGCTCTCGCGCTCAGGGAATGACGGCATTTCCTCTAGCACCGTGGCCAATACATCCGTGGATGCCACAATGCTCAGCTGCAGATACTCACTGGCGCGCTGCTGCAGCTCCGCATCCGCCGAACGGAGATTGCTGTGCTGTCTGAACACCTCCTGAATGGTGCTCCGGATCTCTGGGAACAGATTTATGAACTTGATGTATGTGGACAGCAGCAGAGCACGCGTCATGGATGAGCATAGGTGGTACTTGGAGTGCAGCAGCTTGAACTGCACCATCGGCGCTGAGCGCGAATCGCCGGCAATGAGATTGCCAAACTCCCCCAGAATGTATCCGCCCACCTTGACCATGTTCTCATGGCACGCGGGCGCCTGGAGAGCCTCAAACACCGTCTTGGCCGCATATCCTTGCACCTCCTCGCGGTTGATGACGATCTGGATGACGCGATACCACACTTCCTCACTCACATAGTCACCGGCAATACGGATGAGATTGAGAATCACATCCACATACCAAGTGTAGTCCGTGGCGTATTTCTCCGCCAGGATGGCAACCTTGAGGACCATCTCTTCGCGAATGGAGTAATCCGCTGTCTCCAGATAGTTGAGCATTTCCTGCGAGGAGAAAAAAAATGCGTAGATAAGCAATCGCAGACAGTAAAAATAGTGTATGATGAGATATTAATCTAGGCATGAGTAACAATGCTCTGCATTGTCTGCAAACCAGACAAAAAGAGCACACAACTCATGGCTCATTAGCAAGAGCTGATGAATTTGCATATTATTTCACAGAAAAGTGCTTACTTGGACAATCTCCTCTGCATTGCTTCTGTCACACATGGCATAGAGAAGGTCAACGGCTTGCTGGCGCACCGACACATCCTTCTCCATCTTCATGCTGAGGATCACCACCTCCTGGTGCTTCTTCACCGCCTCATGACTGAACTCCGACGTTGCCAAGTGGCACATCGACTCCAGCGCGAGGTAGCGCAAGTTGGTCTCACGATTGCTCAAGAACTGACCCAGCTGATTGCATGCACGCACGAGGAGATTCGGCTCACTGTCGCTGTGAATGATCAGATTGATGGCTTCAAACAGCACGGCATTCTTTGCATTTGAGTGCTGCACTTTTTTGCTCTTTGGTGGCTCTTGCGCCTTATTCAGAATCGTCTCGAGGCACTCATTGAGACGCCCACGAACGCCCGGATCCTCCGTCACTGGATTGTAGTTCTGCAGCAAACGCAGAAGCTTCACGGACAACCATGGCGCCGGCACGAAGTAGTACGTGTAATCCTGAAGATCTGTATAACTCGCAGTGACAATCTGAGAAGAACAAATTCAATGATCAGGAAAAGTTTGTGAGAAGTATAAGACTGGGCAAACACTCACCCTGGATAGACGTGACACAGCTAAACTCACGCATCCCTTGTACTCTTCCGGATTCTTCTTCACCAGTGCGTCAATGAGACTCGTAGCGGCCGTCACAACGCCCATGTGCTGATCATTAAGCAGATGAATAATCCTGCTAGTCCACTCGCCGCCCGGAATAATGTCCGGGCAAGTGCGATAGAGCCTCAGAAGGCAAAGGGCAGCGGACTGCTTCACGACATCAATGGTATCTCTGTAAGAAGCCGTCAATTAATCAAAGTAACACTTCAAATTTGTCTCTCTAAACTCACCCAGACACCAGCAGCTTCGGAATCTCATTGGAGAACGCCTCAGCCATGTCACGACTGCCAATATTGGCGATACACTGCAGAGCCAAGTTAACATGGATGGAGATACGCGACTGCAAATCATTCTTGATACTCTGGATAATCAATTTTATCAAGTCACTGTTTGTATTTACAAGCACCGAGATGAAGAGATAGCCCTGCAAAAGCATCATGCAAAATTAGCTCACTCCCTTTTATGTATCAACTACCAAACTCACGATCTGTTTCTCGGAGTATTTATTCGACGACAGCAGATTTACCGCCTCCATGTGGCCAAAATCGATGTCATGACCCAAGAGAAAAATGAACAGCAACTTGCAGACATATTTCTTTTTCTGATATCCATCCAGAGTCTTGTCACCCTTAAACTTGCTGCGAATATTCGCCAATTCCTTGTTTATTCGCTTGATCTCCGCCTCTTTGCTCTTGCCTAATGGAAAAAAACAAGCAATATCACAGGATAAGAAAGTTGCTCTTGGGCGATATCATGAAAATTGAGTGGATTTGTACAGAAAAATGAGGGCAAAGGCAGAGTGCAAAAATGCGAACAATACAATTGTAGTCATAAGGTTGATCATGAAATTTGCAAGACAACACTCTTGATATCCTTTTTCACACTGACCCCAAACCTAGCGTTAAGATAAAATCCAAGACATCAAACCGCTTGAATTATGTTACGAAAGCTATGCCAAAATCGGACAGATAGTGATTCAGACATTAATGTACCTAAGCAATTAAGAAATTGAGGTCAAGTTAGTTCAAAATCCTCAAATTTCATACGTAATGTTGAGATTTAATTTGTTTTAATAAATCATTGCAATACGATAATTTTTCTCTCTGCAGCCAATTTACCGAGCCACCCTGTAATTCTTATCAGGAGCGCCTTTGTTACTCTCGGTCTGCCTTCCTTTCGGCCAGACAGAGACGGGCGATCGTTCACGCAAATCCACCCATTTTCTGGACCACGAGAGTCCCCACCAAATCCGCGATAAGTCACCAACAGTGAGATTGTCCGCTGGTCAATCTCAACGATGCTGGTCACTTATCTCAGTAATTGAATTAATAAATCCTATGCAAGAGAGCTGAGAAATCTCTCGCTTTGCGGCACTTTTCTGCCCTTCCGGACGCACACTTCTCGGCCTTCAATTGGCCACCGGTGCATGCGACCGCACATCGCCCGTCTTGTCTGCCCGCCGGGTCTCTTGCAATTGCACACTTACAGTTTCTTATGTCGGAAATGAAGACGGCGAGTCCTCTCATTCCATCGCCACGAACTGGTGCCATCTTGCTTCGTCGCTCAGCTCTCTGCAAAGAGAAAATCCGTCACCATTCAGCCACTCTGGCGCCCCCGCGCAAATCCACCCCCACACAGACACTCAGAGACACACAACGTGGCTACCAAATCCCACTTGTGATCGATTTTGCGTGGATTTCTCGCGAAAAACTGCGCCACTGAGGGCCAAATTGATGTCAACTCTGGGTCCCTCCCTTTGCCAACACACACCACTTTTCGCCCATTTTCCGACCATTTTCCACCTCGCACGCGGCCAAAAACCACCCCCAGCACCTCATACTTACTTTGTATGCAAACGATTGCGATGAATTTGGGTTATTTCGACTGTATCGGCAGAAATGAGGAAAATATTGATTTTCTTCTGTGATGACAGTAAAGTGTACTACAGCTGTTATACGCCGCCAGCGCCGCAGGATGCACTTTTCTCTTCGCCGCACACCAGCGCCATCGTGATCGAACAGTGCGAAGTCGAGGAAATTGCTCCAGATCCCGCCAAAAACTCGCACTTCTCAACATTTCAATATATTTGCTTCACATTTACAGCAATTGAACACACAATATTCTCTATCGTCAATTGATTTAATTGATTGATTTTGAATTAAATCCGTTTGTTAAATACATAACTTAGCGATCTTCCTTTCACAAAATTTTCCTAGTTCCCTCTTCTCTCGGATGTATACTGTGGGATTTCAGTATCCCACCACGATTTACTTGGTGGAATCCTTGAGGTAAGCAATCAAGTCCGCCCGCTCTTGCGGCTTCTTCAATCCCGCAAACACCATTTTCGTGCCCGGGATGTACTTCTTTGGATTCTCGAGATACTCAAACAGAGTGTCGTCATTCCATGTAATACCTTAGGAAGCAAAAGTCTTTTAGTAAAGCTATTCAGAGCAAAAATCAATTATGTAGTTCACCTTTAGCCTTATTGGCGTCCGTGTAGGAGAATCCGGCCGCTTGGCCAGTCTTCCTGCCAATCAAACCATGCAGATTGGGTCCGGTTTTGTGCTTGCCACCAGCTTCCACGGTGTGGCATTGAGAGCACCTCTGTACGAACAGCTTCTTGCCCTTCTCAACATCTCCAGCTGGAACGCCCATTGTCCTTGTTCAAGCACTCCTTAATTACACACTAGACAGCAATCTGCAAAGGATGAGAAACGATTAGGCCTCCTTTAAATTATATTGTTCACATAGTTCCTTCCATCCTTCTGGTAAAATTATCTTTTCCTTGCTTTTATAGTATTCGATGCTAATTTGAATTGGTGTTTTCTCTCTTCAATTCCTCCTTTTAAATGCATAGATAATCGACTTTTGAAAAATTCCCTCTGACGAGTTCATTACATTGCACTGCATGTTGCTTCTATAATGCGTTTAACGTATATATTTACAAATCATAAATTTAGAATGTGCACAGAAGTTGCGAAAATCTTGGAAACAAATACTTTAAGCTTGTTTTACTGAAGTAAATATCGACCAAAATAGCCTAGTTCTCTCTTTTTCGCGCACTGAGACAAATGGCGATCTTCGATTGTTAAACGACCCCGTTTTCGACCTTGTTTACTAACGAGTCCGCCCTTAAGATCAGGCACGAGTGCATGGAGATGCCAAAGCGACTGCCTTGAACTCTAATTTGGACCTTTGCCAGCTGTTGTCAACTTCTCGCCTACTCACAATCTCCGAGTCTCAGACATCGGATCACCTGATCAATTATCCCCCATTTTCACCTATTTTCACGACTAGCGCGCGCGCGCACCCTGAACATCATTTCCTCAGCAATACTAATCAGCAAATCCCTGCACAATCTCCAGATGAAAGAGAGCTATCAAGAGTGTGGCAGAAGGCGTTGAAAAGGTGGGACAAATGGCACAAAAGCGTGTCCAATTTCAGCCAAATCACCCGCGGAAAAGCCTAGGCGAGGGTGTGTTCGCGAGAAAAAAGTATCTAATTGGGCGTTCCAAAGCAATTTTCACGCTCGTCACTTGGCGATAATTAATTATCTCCAATGCAGCCTCAAGAGCACGAGACAGACACGACATAATCACGGCTCAGGAAGGTGAAAAGTAGAGGAAAAGCGCCACAGAGAGCAACACTCAATGCAAAATACACCAGTCGACCTTTATGACGCAAGCGTGTAAAATCTGATGACGTAACTCGCGAGACTTTGGCTTTGCCCCCAGAAAAGTGGGTCAACCTTGGGAAAATTGAGGAAAATGGATCTTCCAGAGAGCGTGGGAGGATAAAGGGGCGCGCTTTTTGCGATATTTTGGATGCCCGCCAGACGCCCTCGATTTTCCCATTTTCCCAGTGCGATTACATAAGTAGCCCACTCAAGCTGACACTGAAAATCCATTGCAGCGAAGCATACAGTCAAATTCACTGATTAGATAAAGGCTTGAATGGAATTTGCGGGATTTTTTGCTATGATGACGCAATCAAAGCAGTCTCTGAGCGAGCAAACACGTGGTTTCTTGGAGGCTTTTTTATCAAGGCGAAATTCATCAGCTTTTCTGGGAAATTACATAACCACAAAAATCACAAATCCCAATGAACATTTGCACTCTATGCACTTCCAGATGCTTTTAGAAGACTCTAAAAAGTACTTTTGACTAAAATTAGCCAATAATTTGGGAATATTCCACTAAAAATTGAAACTTTGCCACACCAAGTTTCACATGATTTTCTGGGGAAAATATCTGGTCGGATCACAATCTTTCTACTTTTATGTATACACCATATTTCAGACTACTGATTTTCACTATATTTAGTGGAATATCGTGGATTTTTAGAATACTTACAAATATTTTCTTCCCGACGGAAAATCGGCGAAGCGACGAGGAACCACAGTAGACTAATTGTGAGATGCTATGCCAGGGGCGCTGCTATAAGATTGGCGAAAAAACTTACCTTCGGAGCGCCACCAAGCGTAAGATTTTGAGAGACGCGGGAAATTTGTTTTTTGTATTGTTACTTCTTAAAATCTAAGAGAAACAGCAAAACATAACGCCAAATGGTGTAAAATTAAATCTATTTTCAAGTCCTGAACACCAACAAACGCCGCACCACAATCTGAGATAAATATTTTCCCTTGAAAGTTTTATTCCCCGCATGTTGGCACCCGTGCTTCTCCATAACCTCGTGCACTTTTGTTTACTCACCGCGTCTCTGCATTTCTCGGACAAAAACATGATAAATAGAACTCATTGGGGTGGTTTTAAGGATGGTAGTGATAAGAAGAAGGAGATTCAACCAAATGATATTATCTATTCAGAGACAAGATGTGATTTACTAGCAGAATTACAGCAAAACCGGGAGAGTCAACAAAGTCAGACGGAAAAGTAAGTTTTGGGGACTTTTGAGCGCTTCCGGAAATAAACAAACCTTTATTTTATTCCTACAGGCTCCACTCGGAGAATGTAATTGTTACACAAACAGTTGAGGTGATAAATCAACGGGAAATGATTCAGACTCTCATTGACACATACGTGGACAAATCGGTAGGTTTTCGTAAATGTATGTGGTGTTTATATGGTTTCAAATAATTTTCTGCTTCCGCAGGGCCTCAATTACGTTTTGAATCCGTGTCAGAAGATGCCAAGTATTGACTTCCCACCGGGAAACTCGGCGAATTTGATCAAAGAGAATAACAATCCATTTTGCTTCAGTCAACCGCGAGAGACGAGGTTCACTCGTGGCGAACAAATGAGGACTTTCCCGCGTCTAGAGAAGACTGAAGTGGATGCAGCAATTAGGCGATCTCTAGGAGGACTGTTGAAAATTGCCGGATACACCGAGGCTCAGGATTCGGCAATGGTGATGTTCGTAGACGCTGTGGATTACTTTTACAAATCTCTGATGGAGTACACAAATGAGGCGATATCCCAGGATCAGATAGCCGAGAGACATCGGCATTTGGATGTGATGATTCTAGAGAAGGCTTACATGGCCATGAGCGGACGATCTCTCACGAATCTTCACAATTACTATAAAGACAACGTGATCGGGAGGAATCGCGTTGAGATCAAGGAGTTCAAGAACACTTTTCAGGAGTACGACAAATTTATGCAAGAGAGCCAGAACATGCACAAATCAAGTTCCACAATCAAGGAGGAGGACTACATGGCTTTCATGGATTTCTCAGTGGCATCCAGAGCGGATTCGTCGGTCCAGGAGAATCCACAATCGAACGCCCAATCGGAATCCGGAGATTTGGGTGGTTTCAGGGACATTTTTGAGGGAGATCTTCTGTCCACGGGCACCACAGATGGTAGTAGCAATTCCCAACAAGGGCTCGAACCGGGCCCAGGCTAGATAAGTCTCTGGTCAGGAAATTGGTTATGAAGAATAAACGGATTAATCATTCGTGAGACTTCGTGGCTTTTTCGATTGCGACGCGCGTTTTTGACGTTTCTCATTCTCTCAGTTTTCGCCACAACCGCGACGTAGAGGAATTTTCCCTGAGCTGTAGTTCTGTAGTCCTCAGAACGCCCAAAATCTTGTGTGAAATGAGTGTTGGTGAATAGAACGAGGATTCCTGTGGCTTGACTGCGAAATCCACGGCGAAAGATGAATTTCGGCGGCTCAATAAGGATTAATAAGTGTGGGCTACTCATTCTGTTCACTGCCCTCTTCTTCCTCACGTATTACGTGCTGATTGGCAACACAGATCCGGGTGAATACATTGCCAGAGATCCAAATGTCGTGAATCTGCGAAAGCTGCTAATTGGGGCCATTCAGGCGGCTGAAAAGGTAAGTAATTCCAAAGTGGAGATGTTTGAAAGTCGTCTGAAGACAATGTTGTGGTGTTCCAGGGTGGATTGGAAGTCGTGGCAGTGTCCAAGAGCGCAGATTTCCATGTCAAGAGCAAAGGGAAGACGGCCGAGGGAGCCAATAATCCCGTAACAGAGGCAGACTTCAAGTCACACTGCGTCATGCAATTCGGCCTGCATCACATCTTTCCGCGTCTCAAGATCATCTCTGAAGAAGACAGCTCGAAGATGACCTGTCCAGATGTAAAGCTCTTCGATCTGGACCCGACTGTCCTCCGAGAGACGCTCACTGTTCCTGACGAGACGGTGGACAGTGACGACGTGACGGTGTGGATTGATCCTCTGGACGCCACGCAGGAGTACACGGAGAGGCTGTTTGAGTATGTTACGACAATGGTGTGCATTGCCATCAAGGGAAAGCCCACCATTGGAGTGATTCACAATCCTTTCACGCAGAAGACAACGTGGGCCTGGACAGGACAGGCCGTGTCGGAGGATCTGCAACGCGTCAAGGTGAGCTTCAGCAAAATATCCGATATCGTTGGGACGACAAAGTGCTGATGGAACATTTTCGTACCGCGACTACTGACCTAAATATCTGTTTTCACAAACAGCTGCAATTCAGCTTATCTTGAGTTCCAAAGCCCATTTAAATCAATTTCATGTTCATGACTGTAAAATTCATCCATAGAGAGTGCGGGAAGCAATGAATCACTGAATTTTAGAGTAGGAAGATTTGTTTTCAAACGTTAGAAGAAAGGAAATTGCAGATTACTTAAATTGAAAAATTATTGCCTTCTCAATCTGAAAGCAATACAGATCACGTCGTCTATAGATTATACTTGTTTACCATTGCATTAGTAAATTCACATTCTTCTCTCTAAATCTTCTCTGCAGGAGGAGTCGAGCGACAGAGGAGTGACTGTGATTGTGTCCCGTTCGCATGCGGGTGAAGTGAAGAACTACTCCAAAGCAGTGTTCGGCGAGAACACCAAGATCATCACGGCTGCCGGCGCGGGCTACAAAGTGCTGCAAGTGATTTCCGGCAATGCCACTGCGTATCTGCACACCACGGCCATCAAGAAGTGGGACATTTGCGCCGGTGATGCCATCCTGAGGGCTGTCGGCGGTCGCATGACGAATCTTCTCAACACGGAGCTGCCCTACAGCCCGCACGAGCCCGTGCTGAACGCCAAAGGCCTCTTAGCAGCTTTCAAGAACCACCACGAGAAGTACATTGAGCGGATAATGAAGTACAGCGAGCGAGAGATTAAAGTATGATGATGCTCAAATTGTAGATGAATTTATTTATGAAAGGAGTCACAAATAGATTGAAAAGATGGGATTTTAAGTGTTGGTTTTTCTAGTGGGAAACTGAAGCAGAGAGGAAAAAAAAAATTAAAGAGTGGTTTTATTAATTATCATAATAACTATTATTTATTTAATATTTCTTCCGTATAAGTTTTACTATGTCATCATATATTTTTTTTCCTTTTATTTCCTTCGTTTATAATTAAGTTTGCGCGTATTTTTTTTATATTTATACTTAATGTCATTCATTTATAATTAAATGTAATTTTTTGTTTTTATTCTGTTTTTGGTACGGGCGCGCTTTTTGCATACTCTTTCTCTCATGCCTTTCAGCTTCTCGTTCGCTCTTCCAATTTTGCTACACTTATCCGTGCTGTTTTTTGTCTCCATTTTTTGGATTTTTTTCCTTTTTATAATTGAAGCTGCATATTTTTTTTTCTTGTTATGAGGCGGGAAATGAAAACTTTTATTTAATCACTCGCAAACAATTTACTTCACTATTATCTTCTGGTTTTCTGTACTTAGTACGTACAACGAAAAAACGCGAATATTTGGGGTTCATCGTCAATTTTTGACTTGTAATATGAATGCGTTTTTTTGATTTAATCCCCCACAAATTCGTTTTTTATTATATAACTTAATGCAGTGTCACGACTTCTCTTTTTACAAGATTTAGTACAATTTCTTACTATAATTTCTCTCTGGCGATTGTTTTCTTCTTCTTTTTAATCTAATGCATCAATAGAAATGTTTTTAAATTACTTTTTTAATGTACATACGTATAAGAATTGGAGTATCGATTTCTGCGGTGATTTTTTCTGGGGATGTTTTGAAATTGCCAAAATTTTTATTTTTTACTAAATTCTGTATTTTTTGCAATATTTCCACTTTTTCCTACTTAAGTAGTAAATGGTGCCAAAAAATGTGAATTTCTTCTCCTAAATCTCACTTAATATTCACTTTTGTAGTTGGTTGTTTTTTTTTCTTCTTAGAAAAGCACTATTTTTAATATCTTTCTCTTTTGTTTATTCCTTTAAAGTTTATCTACACGCAGATTCTATTATTTCTTTCATTTTTCTTTTGTCTAAAACTTATATTCACATTAAAAAGTTTTTATTAAGTTTAAATTCAATTAAATCGTATCCAATGATTTCTCTTCATCGGGTTTCATATTTTTCTTTCTCAATTTTCTTTTCTATGTGTGTTTTCTTTAATTTTGAATACACCGTGTAGCCTTACACAAGGTTTCTTCTGATGTTAACAAAGTGTAACCTCATTTAGAGGATAATTTCCTAAAATTTGGAATGTTTCTCTTGACTTGAATCAATAAAAAAAACAAGGAATTTTCACACCAAAAAGAACTATATTTTTTACATAGTCTTTTGAATTACTATCATGTTCACCTTTTTCATTACTTTAAACACAAGGACGGTTCAAAATTACTTTCCCTAACATTAAATACAAAATGAAAGAAGATAAAAGTGAAACAAAAAAGCGGATCTTAAGTCACATTTAACGGAAAATTCTAGTTCATTTTTTTACATCGTTGTGGACTTTACGTTTACAATGTGTCTCCCAAAATTTGCCCCTCAATTGAACGCGTGTGTGAGTATAATTTTATTGGGGAATTGCACTTTCTCTGACCTCATTCTTCACCCGAAAAAACACAGTGGAAGTGAGAATGTCTGCATTGTGTGGTTTTTCTTCAGCATTTCTTCTTTTCTCCCTTACTAAACGTGTTTGTGTCGTTTTCACTGAAAATCTCTGTAGGAAGACTGCAATGTTATGAATTTTTGATTTATTTTCTGTGTATCTAATTTGCATATTACTTTTTCACATGAGGACATAGATGAAAAAACTGCGATTTAAATGCTGTTAACCGAGCTATTCTTGCGCTCAACTACAGAACATTGTGCCTGTTGCAAGAGTGAATTTTAATCTTTTTTTCTTTCATTACTCTTTTTTCGGAAAAATCACTAAATAATTCTGTACACTTAAACTTCATTCACATGGTTTGCTTTATATTCATTTATCCAAAACATCCGATCGTTTACAATTAATCAAATTGAAATAACTCTTAACCAATTTATACAGTAATTCAATTAATCAACAATATAACTTCTCTTTACATTTTATCTAATAATTCTCCAATATTCTTTACTTTGTATTTACAGAATTACAGTAGAAACGGGATCCCAATTTTTTCATCGTGATTTTACACCTAAATACATTACACTCATCATTCTTCGTTTTATGATTTTTTTTCATGCGGCTATACTTTTTAATTTCCTTAAGTGTGTATTTTGTGTAATCAACATTCCCAAACTTGTGACATTTTGTAGGAAAAATTATTTAAAAATTGTAATGTGGTGTTTTAGTGCCATAAAAGTACAGTAAAGAGCAAACTAATGATTTAAACAAAAATTCCTTTTAAAAATAAATCCACCTATCTTCAGAAAAAAAAACTATCCAGAATTGCATACGTGATTACATATTATGAAAGGAATCGACGGTCTCTTCTAATTATAAATCAAGAGTTTATCATTCTCGGGCAAAATTAGGAAAAATAGGGAATGAGAAACGCGCAAATACAAGACAAAGAATTGTACTGTCACTAGGAACACTGTGCTCTTCACTGTACGTCAATTTTCAAATCGCGTCTTGTATTTCTTCAATCGACTAACACTGCAGACAAACAAATTAAACTGTTTAATTCCCCATCATAGTTCTCTTAATATTTATTTACACGATAGATTTAATAATCATTTTAATTAATTTTCTTTCTTTAATTACATTTTTTCTCTCTCTTCATTTCTCATCTGCTAAATTTGATATAATATTGTCAAATCGCCTCGCAAGTGATCGTCAATGCGGCGGCATTAGTTAATCATCTTCAATTTATTTCTCATTTTTATTTTCATTTTATTATTCTATTTTTATTTAACAAAATATATCCTCTTCAACTTTATACTCGCTCTTCAATCCGCATATCTGGGTTTTTACTTCCACTTTTACGGGGGGAGGGAAAACTACGGAAGAATAAACTGAAACAACTCGAGTTAAATTATAAGTAAAATCCGTTTTGATATCAATTTATCGAAATTATATTTACACAAATGGCATATTTTCTATGTCTTTTTCGATTTATTAACGATCATTTCTTTTAATTCCATTCACCTTTTATTTATTTACATATTGTCGTTTCAATATTAATTGCCATTAATATAATTCATCTTTTGTAAGAAGAAACTGAAAATTGAGTTCTATGCGAAACAAAGCGAATGATTTTTCGGAACACTGAACGAATGATTGGCAGTGCAATGCTTACAAAAATTTAGCTACACTCTCTTAAAACCCTTCCATCGACTAAGTAATTGGTCTTTTTAGTGGGGAAAACATCCATTGATGGCTCAATCTGCGGAAAAATGCTAATTCGCTCATTAGATTCACTATGATTTCATTGCATTTCTGTCCATCTTCCTCACCAGAAGCACTACATCGGAATTTCTCCCCAGTTTCGCGAATACGAAAGAACAGACGGAAATGCATAAAAGTTTCAAGATTTGCTCTGATTGCCATTTTCCTTTTTGGACATTCAACATTTTTGTAATAAATTCGAAAAGCTTTCAACCGATGGACAGCTCATTTCTACTCCCGGTGTATTTTGAATGACTTGTCATAGATTGACACGAGAGATGCAAAAAAGCCAAAAAATACATTATGCTGCTCAAAGTGTAGTTTCATCTCCAAAATTAACCAAATGACCCTGTAATTAGTTTTTCATGTTATACTTTTCCCTCGAATTGTTATATTTTCATGGAATTTTACTGCTTAAGTAGATGCAAGTCCCTCAATTCCTACAATTAACTCTCTTGTTTTACCTTACATTAAGAAGAAAAAACTGTTGACTCTCTGTGTTCCAGTAAAATGGATTGTTTTTCTAAGACAATTTTGATATATAGAGAAAAACTTTTGGTTCACGATTGTTTGCTTCACTTTCAAGGGTTTATCATAAGCGGTGTTAAAAGATGATTTCGAACAGTAATATCTTTTTGAAATCTTGCGTTGTGCCTCACTTTTGGTAAATGTCACTGTATCACGTTTCAAGTTAATTTGGCCTCTTACTAACATCAGAACACAAACATGACATTACTTCTCAGGTTCAAAAAATCAACTTTATCCATAATATCGAATCATCAATATCATTTCAGTCATCTATAGAATTTTGTTCAAACTCTTTTACTTTTCTGAATATCATGATAAGCTGAAAATTTCCGCAACGATAAACCCCTTTTTGTGTTACGAAGACAAACCTATCTATGACTTTTCCTATTAATATGGCAATTGCAGTTTTGGCATAAAAAATCTCATGGACGAAAGAGTGAGTTTAATGTTAATTTTGTCTGATTTAGTAGCTTTTCTCTTTTTTTATGTCTCTGGCTGGAATATTGACATGACTTACAAGAATAACAAACGTGTAAAAATGCAAATAATTAATCAATTTGTTTTTGTAAGTTTTCATCATCTAATAAACTATTTACACGTTTTTTTTCATTAAGTTGCTTTTCTTTAGTATCTTTAATGTTAGAAGTCTAATAAGAAAAATTTTGTTACACCTTGAGAGATTTTGCTTTTCTCTATCTCTTCTCAACTATGTAGTTAATATAATGAATGAATTGTTAGATTTTTTCCTTCTGTCTTAATCAATTTTCACCGTCAATTAACTTGACATTTTTATACACTCGGTTTGTCAATTTCATCCTGTCTTGTTTCTCTTTCTCGAAAAGAGTAAATAAGATATTAGAGAGGACGTCATTTACATCCATCATCATCGCACTTTCCATTTTGATAAATACTAAAATAAGTTGTTTTCTTGCACTCATTAGTTTTATCTTTTCATTGTTTTTTTTTTATAGGAAAATTCATATACAAAGAATATTCAGATTTTCTTCTTCTTTAATGCTTCTATACAATTTTTTCCCTCCTCTTCTCGCCTACTGAATTAGGTATTTTAATTGTTTTCTCATCTTTCTCTATAATGATTTAAAAGGGTAGATTTAATGTTTTTTTTCTCATTTTTTGTCTTAAAGTGATTTGTGCAGAAGAGACATTATTTTATAAATAGTTTTTAGGTTTCTCATCATTTTTCACTCTCTTATCATTAAATGTATTTATTTCGCCACTTTTACTATCGAGTTTCTCATAAAATTAGCAGTTCATCACATGAAATTTATTTATAAATTGTCAAATAATAGTTTCTTTGGTGAAGGCGGCATTTTTTCTCTCCTTCGTGTTTTCACAAGAGAAATTCCACCCCACGATTTACAAGTTATTACAATAACAAATGCCCATAATTGCGTGCAACGTGGTTTTGTGTGTTTTTCATCAATATTCCCCATTTAGGATAACTCTCTTTTTTAATTCACTACCATTGCTTCTATCCAGATTTATCCGTAATTCCCGGATACCTAACAAGAGATAGCCACAAAGAGATCTCCTGAATGAGTTGTTTTCTTTATATTCTCAAAATTAAAGAGGAAGAATTTAAGTAGTGATTTTACGATTTGGTGGTATTACACAAAAATAACAATAATATCCCTTAACAATAGTTTTTTTTCTCCTTTTGATGGTTTGTAAAACATTTCTTATATTGTAACTCTTTGTAATAATTTTCTCTTATAGTGTTCTCTCTCTTTCGCCTTCTCTGCCCACTAATCATATTGCTAATGAAGAGGATCGATGTGTCTTGTAAAGTGCAAATTATTTGCCATTCTTCGCGCGCGTCCATCGCTTTCCTCTTTCTAGTAAACTTGTGTATCCTTTAACACTCGTCGGAGAATTGACCATCTCAACAAGTGTTTTGAATCTCCCTTCCATATCGCCGGAAAACACCACCAAAATCCTCTCCTGCGCTCACCTGGTGGGTCTCTCCAGCCCGGCTCACCCTCCTCGGCCGCCCTTCTTGCTTGTGGTGTAGTGAATGTGAGACTCTTCGCTCCCTCGCGCTGACGATTACCGACTGTCGCGAGCGGAGCGGGGCCTTCCCTAACTGGACGTCGAGGCAATTGGTGACACCGGCGACAAAGGACTGCGCGCCGAGTCCCTCGGACAGCCGGACAGTGTTATCACGAGCTTACGACTACCTGCATGATCGCGATGCTCACACAGCCAGACACCTTGCCACGTGCCCAGCGACAGTTTGCCGTCTGTGATGGGGATTGTCAATGAACTGCCCAGGAAGCAGGCTTTCACATGTGCGGGCTGCAAAAACACAACACATTTTCCCTTTTAGTCACTAAATGCCAGCGAGTCGCTCTTTTTTCACTCCTGCGGCTGCCTTTTTGCCCTAATTGACTTTATGGCTTCACCTCACAGCCTTTGACGACAGAGTTGAAAAGCCGATAGAAAAAATGATTGTTATTTTTCAATTAAAGACTCTTAATTTTGTCAACACTTTACTCTTCTCTTAATTGACGAAGTTTCGTGAGAGCGATGAGAATTCTCTAAATAAAAACATGAGTAAGAAATATTTGGAAGAGATAAAATTTTTTGCAAAATTATAACTTTCATTTACTTTACATTACTCAGTACCTATGTTGAAGACAAACACTGTGAGCTTCAGAAATTGAGATCTAGAAAAAACTTATCTAGAATAACTTCACCCTACCGGCTTCTCAACTCAGTGACACGTTGTCAAGTAAAAAACTAGATTCTCTCATATAAATTTAACAATTTAAAAAAATCACTCACCATATCATCAGGTCCCTCACATGAATGTCGATAAGGTAAACCTTCGGGGACTATTTTATTTAGCATCATTTCCATATCATCCCTGTTCGACGAAAGCATGGGGGAGAAATTGAAAATTTTCAATGAATATTTTAATGGTCTATTTTATCCGAATTCACAGTTAATACAAAAAAACTATATTAATAATTTACCTGACATCTGGATCCCAGCTCTCATTTAGCGCTAAACTTGCGGATGTGTGTAAAACTGAAAGAGATGAACAGGGAATAACGTTATGAGTACATTCAGAGCTCATCAGTCATTAGGCAAGGATATTTTCTTCATTCCCCCGTAATAAATGTGTGTTTGTAGAGTGAAAAAAGGAGAGCACACACCTAATCCTTTCCAGTGTCATTAATACAAATTGATTGAGTTGGAAAGTGTGTGATATATTTTTTTCTCTTCACTCATGTTACTTTATGACTCCTAAATTGACACGCTTTATCTCCCCTCCTTGAGTCTCCCCAACACACGCTCTTTTCCTCCCACCCTTTCCTTGGGCACACACAACTCCTTTCTCATGTGACTTTCTTTTCTGCCACTGCCGCTCTCCGCGCGCCTGGGATAAATTTAGGTGAAGAGTTTTAGCATAAAACGAATTGATTGCCTCATTGCAGCTATAAAGTTCGTCGCAGTGAATTTGTAAGTAAATTTGTGGAACACACCGCGTTTTGTGCTGTGCTTTCTGCTGCCACAACACTCTAAAGAGCCCCACAAATTCCCTCCTTGCCCACCCCTCTTTCGCCAAAACCCCCGCCCGTCCGTGAGCAATTTTTCCCGAACCTATGCCTCCAATGTACACGGAGACTCACGGTGGCTTTTCCCATGCCCCGACAGCCTGTGTCCGTCTCGCCCATCAACTGCAGTTTTAAAGGTGCACGCCAAATTGCATACACACAACACGTCCTCTCTCCCCACATTACAACGTATAAAATATTCCCGGTATAAGCGATATACTTGTCTACAAAATGCTGAGCACTGGGAAGAGAATCATAAAGTGTAAATCCATGACATTCTCCTGACCCCGTGCGCCCGTACGTTAATAAATTATTTACATCGAACACAAATAACACACTTTTTCTCCTCCTTGCAATCCAATTCTTTGGCACTTTGCTGTGGCTCTAGAAAAGATTCAGTTAGTCGAAAAATCAGCGATATCATGTAGGTGAAAAGTGTCATGCATTACGGTTAACTTCGAGAGAAAGATCTGCGAAATTTTCTCTATTCAATTCACATTTCAATTTTTGTTTCAAAACCGACCAATCATATCATAACTCCCAGTGATAACATCATACAAATACGCAAGCATGAGTTGCTATTTTCTACGAAAACTGCATCGCTATTCCTTCATTTCCCATCAATCCCAACAATACTGTTTCCCCAAGATTAAGACCTCCACACTCAGGCCACGGACCTCTGAAGTGACCCACATAAAATAACAGAATAGAGAAGAGTCTATTTCGTTTCCCTGCAATTTTCCTCCTCGCGTCTCCGGCACAGACAATATTTTTCTGGGAGTCACGAGGCACCCATTTCTCCACCTCGGAAAAATATGAAAGTCAGGCATTTAATGGCATTTTCAATATTTAAACGTTAAGGACAAGCCGAAGCGAGAAAGAGAGCGAGAAAGTCATGCACTGAAATGCCCAAGAGCTCGGGATTTTAAAAGTTTAAAAACTTTTTAGCGAATTATATATGGTGAGTTTATATTTTTCCAAAAAACCCCACACTCATACACACACACACACATTCTGAATTGGCAAAAATGGAACAACAATAAATTGTTTGAATGTGGCACAATTATTCCTTATAAAAGTGTGACAAAGTTGCAAATCGATTCAACTTGGAAGCTTGCAACTTGAGGGGAAGCAGTGAGGGATTATCTAAGGGTCAAGCCAGTGTCACTAGTGCGATGCTCAGATATGAGGTTTTAATCTTGTGTCGCATATAATGCCTTTCTTCACTCCACGAAATAGAGGCATGAATGTCACCGGAGTAGCTTTTTTATGCACAAAATTTCAGCAGTCATTCACCAAAATACACACAGAAGTTGATTTATTACACTTTCCATATCAATTAATCACTCAGCAAGTGTTACTGTAGAAAAAGTACCCAAAAACTGGTGCTCTGCCAGGAAATGGAGAAAGATATTTCTTAAATTACTAGCTTGCTTGCAAAAAAAAATTGCCTAGAATGTTGATTGGTTGTAATGATTCAAATGTTAGTTAAGATGGAAAATAGAGATGAGAAGTCAGTCAATTGCTTAATCATCAAATAATCATCTTACGGTGTCTTTTCGTCTGTCAAGTCAAGTGTAAATTCAATTCATTCTCCATATCTGATCAAGCTATCACGGATTAATGCACCTCTTCCAAAAGTATTTTACAAAGCAACAAAGAGAAAATCACTATAATTGAGATATTATTCAAATGAAGGCGCCAATTGGTAGATATTGGCGCGTAAAATTCGCGTGATTTTTCCTCAATTGCATTTTATGGACTTTAAGAAGAAAAACAAGAAGGTGAAATTTTTGAATAATTAGTATAAACTGTCTAGAAATGGGTAAACTTTCGATTTACAAAAAACTTCACACGATTACAAATTGTTTTCACACTTCCACTAGATATAGTGGAAATCATCAATGCGCTATTCGCAGTTTGTCTCGCAAAACTTAAGAATCTCACTCTCAATGCAAGTGTGTTGGCATGCCTACAGAAGAACATTGTGAATTTCTGAATGCATATTCAAACACACTATCGCGATTCTTGTATGTTTTTTTTCCACCATCATTCCAACTCTCTTTCTCACCAGCAAAGATCCTTTATTCAGGCGTGTAGATGTTTTGTATCAACATCAAGGAAATGAAATTCTCTCTTGCTACTCCCGATACACCTTTCCACTCGTCTCCGCTCGAAATACCCACTTTTATTGTTGAAATTGAATATTCACACTACATAATCGCACAAATAGTCAATTGTGGACAGTATTTCTGCAATAGTGGGTGAAGAAAATCACTCAAGGAACCTCCGTTTATGGCCCAGAAATGAGACAGTGAGTCGAAGAAGCATTTCTCGCTCAATTGTCCTCCTCCACACACGATGGGCTTAAAGTCTCCCTCCCAGAGCCATTGATCGCCTTTGGGGATTTCTTCGATTTTCATTACACTTCCAATCCATCCGTGCTAGTTGGGAAAGTGGAACAAGGGAAATAATTAACCTATTTTAATGCTGTTTTGACACAAATTCGATTGGCAGTGAATGAAACACCATCGCACCTCTTTTCGCCTCTACCCAACCCTTATACACTCATATTTACACCTCGTGGCATCACGGGTACATTCAATTACAATTTTCATACAATTTCCCAAATTGGTCTCTTCGTCTCCGGTATTATTGCCCACAATGCCAAAAATCAATTTTCGGTTGATGTTTTTTTTTCTCCTAACACACTGTACCTAATGCCTCAACCGTATTTATTTTTACCGCCCAATACACGATTTTTTTTCTCGTCGCCCATCCACGAGAACATGCTTATAGTAATTTCATTAACAAATCCCGATTTAATTTCTCTTCTATTGGTCACCCTTCTATTGTCGTGTACAGTGCTCTCTGCGAGTGAGCAAAGAAATTCACTTAAATAACACATGAGTAGCATTTTCCACCCACCCTCTGGCACGCACACTCACGGAAATAAGTGTACATCCACCATTAATTTGAATATTCATAAGCATTGTTGTCCACAGAGTGGAGTGATGCATTTCAAATTCAATAAGGAGGCAATCTTTTACAGTAGCCAAGAAAGGTTTCACCGGCTATGAGTTTTCATATAATGCTTTATATTAGATGAGAACAGGATAATTAGAGTTGAACCGTTTTATTTTAAGGTAATGTCTAAAGCTCTTTTTCGAGTATTTCAGCACTGTAAAAGTATTTAAACTGAAATTGAATTGAAACATTTTCTAAGTGGTTTAAAATAGAGATATTTTGTAGATTTTCAGTATGAGACTTGAGTTAGAAATGCGATAATCAAAATCTCTCTAGACAATCAATTTCATCATACAATATTCTGAAATACAGCCTGGGCACTAATTATAGCTCCACTGTAGGTATCCAGGGTGTAGGTAGTCTGGGGCAAAAACAAAAAATATCAAATATGGCGTTTGATTGCCTATCCATAGCCAAAACAAAACCCCCAATATGAGGCCCCTCCGCCGGATCCTAGGGATTCTAGGGAACTTTATCACTTTCTGGCCTGGCACTAATTATAGATCCACTTGGGAAATTTCACTATATCTCAGCGAAAAAAAATCGGAAAATTCTGAAAATCATAAGGATCCTTCATTTTGAGCCCAGAAACCATTTACCGTCGCCACACCCCGCCTCGGTCCTCCGTGGACCCCACTATTTAAGGTCTTCGCCTTGCATAACACGATATTCCAAAATGGCTCCTTCGCAATGGGGCGGGGGGCCCAATGGCCATAAACTGCTTCACAGAGCTTGATTGAAGCCTTTTGAGCATAATTGGGCTATCTGACCCCGATACCATCCTTGAATCCTGGCCTTAAGCACTTCTTCCAGGGTCTTTTTCTGCTTCTAAGAGCCCAAACCACCCCAACCCCCGGACCACCCCCAATGAAATGGGGCGAAAACTTCTTAGGACACTTCTAGGAAACCCGTGGACCCTAGATCCGGGGATGGGTAGCGCCTCGGAGGGAGCGCCACACCGTGGAATGAGACCCAGTCGAAAACCACCTAAAATTGTATGGTTTTTCATTGAATTTCAACTGGCTCTCATTCCACGTTAGGGCGCTCCCTCCGAGGCACTTCCCGTCCCCGGATCTGGGGTCCACGGGTTTCCTAGAAGTGTCCTAAGAAGTTTTCGCACCATTTCATTGGGGGTGGTCCGGGGGTTGGGGTGGTTTGGGCTCTTAGAAGCAGAAAAAGACCCTGGAAGAAGTGCTTAAGGCCAGGATTCAAGGATGGTATCGGGGTCAGATAGCCCAATTATGCTCAAAAGGCTTCAATCAAGCTCTGTGAAGCAGTTTATGGCCATTGGGCCCCCCGCCCCATTGCGAAGGAGCCATTTTGGAATATCGTGTTATGCAAGGCGAAGACCTTAAATAGTGGGGTCCACGGAGGACCGAGGCGGGGTGTGGCGACGGTAAATGGTTTCTGGGCTCAAAATGAAGGATCCTTATGATTTTCAGAATTTTCCGATTTTTTTTCGCTGAGATATAGTGAAATTTCCCAAGTGGATCTATAATTAGTGCCAGGCCAGAAAGTGATAAAGTTCCCTAGAATCCCTAGGATCCGGCGGAGGGGCCTCATATTGGGGGTTTTGTTTTGGCTATGGATAGGCAATCAAACGCCATATTTGATATTTTTTGTTTTTGCCCCAGACTACCTACACCCTGGATACCTACAGTGGAGCTATAATTAGTGCCCAGGCTGTATTGCATTGAAATATTACTTGGAATTTCACAAAAAACCAATCCTTCACCGGTTATTGCTCTATAATTTCCGCCCAGAGCCCACCAAATCCCGCGGATGTGCGCAAAGATATTTCCGCAACTGTATTAGGAGTGTATAATAGTATTAAATGGGGGTTCCAACTATTGGCGTTCTTTTTTCGGGGGTGAGTGAGAGCGTCAGGAGAGTAAGGAGAAGTGACGAGAACACCTTGTGGGAAAGAGAGAAAGAATGAGTTTAGGGTCAAACACAGGTTGATGGTTGTACTTGGAAACATCAATAAAACTCTCCACTATTCATTCACACTGGCACACATTTTTTGCGCCTTCAGGGCGCGAGAACGGGGAGAAAGCCCCTCGCCAAACCCCGCGGAACAGCCCCACCACGAGGGACACACCACGAGAATCCCCTGCAATATCCCGGGCCAGGAAGTGTGTGTGTCTCGTGAGCCAATTGACTTGGGTGGACACGATTTATGATAGCCACACATGGATTGTTTAGTCGCGAGCATATAGGTGGAGATTTCCCACGAAATGACACTTTGCCGGAATTTCCCACCCACGCTGCTCAATATTGCGGCAAGCCCATGAGATTTCCCGGAAGATTTGCCAGGAATATTGTCCTGGAAAGACTCATATAAATTTCTCCAGTTACTTAATTGAGCATATGGTAATGATTAGCGCTTTTCTGCTGCATATTTGCTGTGATTCTTTGCATTACCGTGTCTTCTTGTCAATAACTCACTGCTATTGTAATTTACAGATGTGAAAATCCACCACTATTTTTATCATTTTATTTCATTTATGATTAAAATATATTTTGATGTTAAGATTAAGTGAAAGAGCAAGCAAAAAAACGCAGCAAGCAATTAAAAGTATCATCTATAGAAAACATTAAAAAAAACAAATAATGGCAAATTTTGTATCTTGCTATTCTCGTAACTTTCCATTAACGCCTTCCGGATTTGAAGTTGTATTAAGCATCAGGAAAACGATGAAAACTATATACTGGCTAAATCTTCTGCACTGTGGAGTATAGAATCCCGCGAAAATCTAATCTGAAATACATTAAATCCCTTAACATAAAAAATCTTCCCCAGAGAAGATTTTTAAGTGCTTTTCACTCAATCCTAGTGACTGAAGGCTTATAAGATAACAAGAAAGACAACGCGCTGGCCATTACAAGAATCACTCGTCCACTGAGCATGTTAAGAATAACACAGCAGATTCGTCTTCCGGAAAGATTGCTCTCCCCATGAATTTGCGATTGTTCACGGATCACAGGGCTTGTGGGGGCTTTTTTGCCCGCTGCAGGGAGAAAGTCTGTGTGCTCCAGTTGGTTCTGGATGTGTGCAGAGATCTGCAGAGCGACACAGAAACACTGACACACTTCCACTCTGGCGCAGTGGCGGCCGCTCTGCGGCCACCGCGGGGCCCGGAAAAGCAGGGAGAACGGATGAATGGGGAGAATTACTTTGAACGTGACACAGTCCCACGGAGAATTGTCCCAGCTCTGGCATCTGCCGGAGGATCTCCTCGGTGACGAGATGAACACCACGGTGCTGAGGTCTCAGGTTGATTTTGCGCTGAAACCAGGCGGATCCCAGCTGAATGCCGCGATTCGATGAAGCCATTTTGGGGCTCAGGGAGATAATCCTCCTGTCCAGAGGAGCCTCACGAGGACCTTCTGCACACTCACTCACTGCCCGTCACTCGCACGAGGCGGTGGCCCCTGTCCTCACACACTCGCGTGGCCCCGCGTGGTGGGCCTCCAGCTCACAGCACCCCGCGTTCGACTCGCAGTCCACTGCTCGTGGGGCGCGCGCGACACGTCCAACAGAGGCGCCCGAGCCACGGAAAAAATGAACGACACCCCCCTTTTTCGGGCAACAGCCACACTCCAGCTGAGGGATTCCTTCTGACGGTGCCTCCTGCCCAGCACCTCTCGCGCCACCTTTGGGTTGGATGCACTCGATGTTGCAGCACGCACTAGTGCAACATTTTTTCACACAATACCCATTCAATTTCGATTAATATTCACTTTTTCCATCACTTGTCCTCACATCCCATCAAACGCCATCACCATCGGCACACCAATTGTCGGCCGATGAATGGGACATGTCGATCCGCAGCGAAACTCACCTCACAATTTTTATTCCCAAATACCGTGGAGGTGGTAGGAAAATCCAAGAAAACGACATATTCGCGTAAAATATCAAAAAGGCATAAGTTTTTCTAGATATATCATTGGAAAAAGCTCATTTTTTCTCTTTGGTGGACATCTGAATGCGAGAATCCGCAGATTATCTGTCCTTTCATGGGAAATTCTCCTCTCAATTCTGCAGAATTCTTTAAGAAATCCGCGGTGATGATTTCTATGGGGATTTTTCACGGCCTTTGCGCTCCCTCAGAGTGACTACAGCGCCATGTCACTTTCAATCGAGTGGTGAATTGGACAAAAACTGTTAGCGTCTCGGCTAAGTGGCGAAATGGGGCGAAAAACAGATTATTTTCCCCAAGTGCGGGCTTTTGCTGAAGCAATGAAACAACGTTGCAAATGCACAGTTTTGAAGAATTCAACTCTTGAGACAAATAGAAAACGCACAGAATTGGCTGCTGACCTTTTCTAAAGAAAAGAAAAGCACAATTTTAGACTTCCCAAAAGCATTAGACATTCTGGGCTTGAATATCTTTGTCCATATTCGCCTTAAGGCATATTAGATAAAACACCATACCCTCTATGATCGATCTGTGGATTAGAATCCCAAACATCCCTGCTTAATTCATATTTAATTATTTGACTACATTGAATTTCCATCTTCAGGCAAATGTTCAGGAGAGTTGCATTTTTAACTCCAATGATGGCGAATTAAATCGATATCGCTGTAGTGTCAGAATCGAAGAGAATGATTGATTTCCGATTTTCCACTGCGATGCCTTTGGCTGTGTGCCAGGCGAGAGTGATAGCGCCCCAGGGAGTCGTCCTGGACGACCCGTTCGGTATCGATTAATGCACATTCGACCCACTGTGGAGTCGAGCACGCCAGCACGAACACGGGGAGGCGAAGAAGTGATGAATAATCAGCATGGGGTGCGCCCAGGCCACTCCCTTATCATCCAATTGTCGCATATTAATTCACATGGAGAAAATATACTCAGTTGTCTGCTGGGCGCGATGAGCGACGAGCCAGACTGGCTGGAAGAGGAGGCTCTCGGTGGATTCCGTGTGTGGCAGCTGATATTCCTCTGCGCCTCCGGGGCGTTGAGCTTCAGTGAGTGTCTGAATGTGGTTTTTCACTGATCCTTTGTCGACTCAAAGCGTCTTTCCGTCCTTTTCCAGTAATTGTTCTGTGCTGCTGCTTCCGTTTTCGCATTCCACGGACAAAGCAGGACATCGAGGCGGATTATCAGCGCCGGAAAATCGCCAAGAAGTTCCGGGAGCGCCTGGCGTGCATCCACAATTCCGAGATGGACGACATGAACCTGCAGAAAGGTAGAGTGTCATTGTTGAAAAAGGCCTAGCCTTTTGTGTGACTCTTCTTTCACGTCTTCACCAATTAAGCCGTTGAGCGGGTGCGTGCAGATTTCCTCGCGTCCACTGACGTCACTTCCGGAAAAGCCAACATAATCGACGGGAAGTCGCCCAAGAATGGCGTCCGAGTATAGGAATCTTTGAAGCTCTCTCCAAGTCAGTGATATCAAATAAACATTTTAATTTTACCATTAATCCATTACATTGTATCTCGCGCTAAATTTTTCTTCCTCTTTTAAATGTTATTCTCGTTAATTGATTGTAAAATTTAAAGATTATAATCTGGGATTTTTTGGCAGCTTCGACACATTTTCTCACACAATTTCCTTATATCTTGAGGGGAGAGGAAAAATTACTATTCCGCGTGTCAATTTTACACTCTGTTTCTCAACTTTTGTGCAGATTTTGCATTAAATTTCCCTCACTCTTTGCTAAATATATAATTTTTCAATTACATTATACTTTTCCTTCATCCTCTAATGTAGCATTTTTTGCCATGCCTCTCACTATAATCATAAATTGTTTTCTTAGTTAAGTGCTTGGGAGGTGTGAATTAGTGATTGTTTGAATTTCATGTTATAAATCTTGAAGGATCATCTCTATGTAGAAAAACCTGTTCGTTATTATTTTTATTTCATTTCTATCGCTCCTTAGTTGCTTTTATTATGAAGAATATATAGTATTTTCTCATTCTATATTAACAAATAGTCAACATACTTATTTAATACTACGTTTTCCATTTCTCATTCTCATATTAGGTAATTTTAATTGAATAATTTCCATACGTTGTCACTTCTTCGCATCATAAGACGCAAAGAATGGATTGAAGGACATTGAAATGCATTGTAATCTCTTCTCATTTTGCATCCTATCAAACTTTCTGTGCCTATTAGCATTTATCCCGTTTCTGCACTATACAATTTTTTTCATTTAGTTAAAGGATAAAAAAAAAACAAATCAAATAAGAATCACATTTTACAATATTGTGAACATTGTGACTAAATGTAAAATGATTCTTTACTGCATTTCTTTTAATATTACTTAATGAAAAACCTTCCTTTTTTCATTGGAAATTGCTAATTACTCCACATTTCCTTCTCATCCCCTCCATCATATATACTCTTCCAATCCTCTATTCATTCTTATTTTGCCTTTGCTCTATCATACAAACCTTCGATCATCATCGATTTCAGTTACTCTGCTGGAACTAGATGAAATCCCATGATCATTCCTTTCTAACAAAAGTTCTACCACTGAAAGTGAAAAAAAAATTGTTTAGAATTTACCGTAGATGAGAATAAATTGTAGAGAAAACTCACCTTATGGTTTTCTTTTCTGTAATTTTTGGCTCAGGACGAGCTCGATTGAGCACCTTGAGGAATTCAGTCGTTTTTGCTCGCATCCTGGAGTGAATGTACGCCTTCGAACACTGAAAAGAAACATTTTTACACATGGTTAAAGAAAGAATTTCTACAAGTCGAATTCCTCATTGAAATTTTTAATTACATGAATATTAAATTAAATGCTAATTCTCTTCTTTCTTTCACATTATTCTTCTTGTTCAGCGGTAGAAAAGTCTCTGGCCAGCGAGAGAATTGGAGAAGGTATAAAAATGCAATTTATTCAGCGTTTAATTACCGAAAAGATTGCCTATTTATAAGAATTTTCTTCACTTATTCACCGAAAAGTGCTCGATTAAGTAAATATTATGAATTCATTAGTCATTTGTAACGTTTGTAAAACTCTGGATTAGAGATCTGTATTGTTCTTGAAGTTGCCGCCGTCATTGAGTTGTCTCGGCGCACATCTCTAATTCCAAAATTCTTACGTCTTAAAGAGTTTACAAAGCCATACAATAAGTGGCGAATTTCGCATGATTATAAGGAAAAAATGTTTAATGGAGGTTTAGCAAATGGCAACACTCACCTTAATATGATAGTGCAAGTAGTGTCGGAACATGTGAATCAAATTTATCGTATTATCTCGCGTCTCCTTGTTTGTGTGCCGCGGAAAGAGGACTGCAAAGAGACGCAATCAATCACATTCGGTCTCATTTGTTGCCAAGCATTATGAAGACTCACCAAAGGTGACATAGCCGATGTTGTCGCCGACACGCGCATCAGAATTGGCGAGCTCGAGTGGTGGCTCGCGATGAGAGAAGAGCACCTGTGGCGCCGTGTGCGATGCTCGCCGACCCTCGCGGAGTTCCTGCATGAACACCTTGCCCAGCACCACGTCATCCTCGTCGCGAAAGATCGTGCTGAAGACAACAGTCACTCGGTCAGCCTTCGCCTCAACATACATGGTTTCATCATTGCGATAGTTGATCACGGCCCTCTTTTGACCCTCCTCGCCGCGCTCCTGGAAATCAAAGTACTTCTCGAACACGGAGGCGAAGCAGTTCCTCTTCAGCAAGCCAATCCTCTGCGCCACCACTTCCCAATCCTCGGGGATGTTCTCCAAGTCCACCAGCACCGACACATTGTATCCATCTTCGGTATCTGTCAGCAAATCCCCGTACTCTCGCCTCAGCAGCTCATCGGCTCCGTGCTCTTGGAGCTGCTTGTAGAACTTCAGCGATATACTCGTCTGCAGAGCACAAATTATCATCATCACACAGAATGCTTCAGACACGGAGGATTCCTCAACTCACCCTCACTTTAGTCTTGTCCCCATTCACATTGGAAATGTGGAAGAGAACACCATCAAAATCCGCCACTTTGACATCAATCGACTCCGGCCTCTGCCTGCAAAGAAACAGCGATAGTGGGCCCAAACATGAGTGTTTTGTGGGTGTGAAGTCATTGGGATCTTTCAAGGTTTGCTGGATTTCCGCGAAACTGCACCACAGAGTTATGCTTCGTTAAACAGAAGCACAACATAATTACATATTACACCAGCATTATCTCTCTTTCTCCCCCGCTTCGCCCTTTCCTTCTTTTGCCAGTCTGACTGCCACCGCGAAAAGGAAGGACTTTGGGTACTCATCGAGATAAGTGAAATCACTAGAGCATAACAATCATTTTGAATCTGAATTTTTCTATACGGTTTCTTTATTTTTAAAGCACTTGCTCTATCGTATATTCTTTATCACACGTGAGTTTTTTTTTTCAAGTTTCTTCAATCAAGCGATTGGTATAGAAATGTATTCTAAAATTTCCATAATTAGGAAATTGCGATTTTGCACTTGACGAATCTCAGAAAACTTATCCCTAAATTAGATATCACGTTTTCGAAAAATCTTATCAGCTATAAATAATGCGAACAAACAAATCTTATCTCACTCTTTCTCCTACTCCCAAAACTGTACGATTTCTCGCGAAATGACGCACCCCTTCGACAGAGACTTGCAATGAGAGTGTCCTCTTATCGGAAACAAATTGATATGGATTTTGTGATAGGCGAGGCCCCAGAGCCAACACCAATAAAATGTTCAACGCCCAGAAGGTGAAATGGAGAGAATTTGGGAATTTTCTACAAGATTAGCTTTTCAGCGGACCAAAATGAGGTTCAAGCGCGGGTTTAAGTGAGCCGCGAGGAAACATCGCCTCCTGCACGGCACGATGCAGAGACTTGCAGGACCGAGACTGCACATCCGGACCGAGTGTTTCCGGTCAGTTGAGAGCGGAGCAGCTCCTCCCAAGAAAAAAGTGTGAGATTTCTCACGATTCTTTCAGCATATCGCACGCCGCATTGTGACTCATCACACCCATGCTCTCTCGCTTTCGCCCATGGTGGCCAAGCGCGCCCCATTTAGGCCCCGAAAACACCACAAAACCACCGCCGGGTGGCCACAATGTCGCCCCCCACGACGCCCTGACGACCACATGAGCGATTTATGGTGGAAATGTGATGAAAAAAGATGGGAAAAACTCACCCAGCGAGAGCATTTTTGAATTTCACTGTCAGAGTTTCCTCCACTATTTTGTTATTGATTTCGAGTAATATCATTTTTACACATGCACTCTGTCCTATCAAGTATTATCTAACTATCTAATAATATTTTCCACTAGTTAACATTTGTAAAATGTATCAAAATAGGCGGAAAATCCTGCACGAACAATCTCCACAAGAGAAAATTGATAAATTTTGACAGGGATGACGGTGCTACACTGAGCAAAAATGGTTGACTTACTCACCACCCGGCCCACGCATTACTCACCATCACTGGAAGGGTGTGTGCCCACCACTCTGGATTTTCACTGTTTTTCTCGAAATTTTCTGGTCAGAAATCTCTACATTCGCACATAATCACAATTTTAGGCACTCCGGGACTAAATGAGATAAGTTTTTATGAGTAATATCAGAAATAAAAAATTTCCTCTTTCCAAGCTGCCATGGGAAGATTCCAGTGATGTTCAAGATTGACAATTGGAAAGGTGTTTACACGAAGCGAAAGAGTGTGTTTCGCAATTCTCTTACAAAATGACTGATTTAGTGGATAAATCTGCTGTTAGGACTAGCGCAAACAATGAAGACAATTCTCCGCAATCTGGAGAATCACCACGCGAAGAAGTGCCAGAGGCACAACCCGTAGAATCGAGTTCAGGCAAGAAAAGAAAACACAGCGACGACAGTGAACCCTCAAAATTCTTGAAAGTCGAAGGGGAACATACAAAAGTAGTGGCAAAGCACTACAATACACTAGAAGAAAAGGGTCTCTCGGAGAGAAACAAGTCCCGGATATTTTATTTGCGAAACTTCAACAACTGGATCAAGAGTATGCTCGTAAATGAGTATGTTCAGAAGGTTAAAGACAGTTTACAAGTTGGGGCGCCTCTTAGGGTCCTAGATATGTGTTGTGGCAAAGGTGGTGACCTCCTAAAATGGCAAAAAGGTGAGAATTTGAATAATAAGTAAGATAACTAATTTTGTGGTAGAACCAGAATGCTTTACATCAAGAGTGATTCTCATGCTAACCATGGATTTCAGGTGGTATCTCCCATTTGATCTGCACTGACATCGCAGAGGTAAGCATTGAGCAGTGCCAGGCGAGATATAATGCTCTGATATCTCGAAGTAAGAGATTTGCTCCGGAATTCACGGCAGAGTTCTTTGCTTGTGATTCCACGCTGAATCGTCTTCGAGAACGCTACAGGGACGCCTCGATAGATCTCAACATTGTCAGCTGCCAGTTCGCCTTTCACTACTGCTTTGAGTCACTGCCACAGGCTGAGTGCATGATTCGCAATGCTTCCGAGTGCCTGAAGCCGGGCGGCTTCTTCATCGGCACAATTCCCGATGCCAATGAAATAATGCGGCGACAGAAGCTCTCGGATTCCGATACATTCGGCAACGATGTGTACAGCATTACATTTCAATGCGACACCGAGAAACCGCCCCTGTTTGGGGCCAAGTACAATTTTCATCTCGAAGACGTTGTTGACTGTCCAGAATTTCTCGTGCATTTCCCGACACTCGTGAAGCTGGCGCGAAATTTTGGCCTCGAATTGGTGATGAGAGAGCGATTTGGAGACTTCTATAAGCGTATGATTCCTCGAGGACGGGGATTAATAGAGAAAATGCAAGCTCTCGAAACGTATCCAGCTTTTAGGGAGGGAAACCTTAACAGTTCCACTCCTCATGATTACAGTCATGCTCAGGACTTCATGGACAGAGTAGCCACGCACGGCAGAGGTCCCAAGAAAATTGGGACTCTTTCGAAATCTGAATGGGAGGCAGCTAGTAAGTATAAAATGAAATATTGTGCCAAATAAATGAGATAATTACCTTTTTTTTACTGTTTTCAGGTCTCTATTTGGTTTTTGCCTTCAGAAAGATGAAGAAAGTATGGAATAAGGAGGGAAAACCGGAATACATCCAATAATCATACAGTTTTTAGCAACCCTCTTCGGATATTGGGACCAAAAATAATTATGCATTTTAAAACCTGATCACAATCAAATGTTGAAATCATTGAACATTGAGTGAAATTTTCACATTCGGATCATTTTGTGAATCTTGCAGTTTTCGTCTTCAAGTCCGAAGAGAGTCGAAATCTTCGTTTGAGACATTTTAAATTTCTCGATTCCTCTGGTGCAGAATAATCACGATATTGCAGCGTAATATAATTGTAAATATAAATTCATTCGGAGTGAATAAAAAGGTTGATATGTTTTCAGCATAATCTTTGAGTTCCTCATTTGAGAACAATATCTGTGATTTCATGAAGATCCTAATTTCTCGCGATTTCCAGTCCCCCATTGGAAAGCTGCCGACTATTGTGCTGATCCGCTGTGCTGTAGCTGTCATCTGTCACCGGCAGTGTGTCATCAAACGTGGAGTCTCAATTCCACGAATTTCTCCGTATGTTTATCAATCTCAGAGGATTTTGTCACACAAAAGTCTCAACTTCTGTGCATCTTCTCGCGATTGCGCGTGGAGTTTGAGCAAAAAGTGGTGCGGAAGTGGCGGAAAAGAGCAGAAAACTGGAGCAATGAAGTGTCAGTGAGGTGCCATAAAGCATTACGCATGCGCCCTCTTCGGTGTGAGCGTCTGCTATAAAGACTTGTAAAATCACTCTCATCGTCTCGTATTTCCCTTGTGTGCTTCGAACATTTCTGGGACTTAGAAAATTTTTCGCTTAGCTAGCATAAGATGAGCGTGGAAAATCCCCAAGTGGAGGCAACTGTGGAGGCTGTGAGTATCAGAAATGGTGTTTGGGTGGTACGGCCTGTTGATTGGGGTGGTAATTCGGGTGGTATTCGAGCGTTTTCATGTATTTTACATGTGAAGAGAGAAAATGGCGACAGAGACTAAGTCCACGTCCATTGCACTCCAATGGAGAGACGCAAAATTGAGAAAGATGCCTATCTCGGTGGGGACTTGGCGGATTTTCATGGGACCACCGGCAAAACGTGTTTCGTCAAAATGTGGAAATTATGAATGTTTTTGCAAAATTCACTGTGGGGCGCGTTTCCGGAGGGACTCCGCCCCAATGGGAGCGCTATCCGGAAGATTATTTAATCAGAAAGTATGTGGAGTGGGTTTTGAGATAAATTGAATCTTACCTACGCGATTGTGGCGTGACTTTCGAAAGGGCGGTGGAATTCCGCCAGGAAGTGATTTAACACGTGGGCAAGAAGAGAGTCTTATAATGTGTGGACATTGCAGACGGAGTCCGTGAAGAGCGTGAATGGAGAGCAACGCCTGAATGGGATCAGCAATGGACACTCGGACACAGTGAGCTCATCTGCTGGTTCTGGTGGCGAGAAGAGGCACAAGAGTAGCCATCATAAGTCATCGAAGGACAAGCACAGAGACAAGGAGCGGAGTGAACACAAGTCTAGCTCCAAGTCGAGTCATCGTGACAAGGATCGCGATAAGAGTTCATCATCGAGCAATCATCATAAGGACAAAGAGAAGTCCAGCTCTTCGTCGCATCACAAGTCATCGCGCGATAAAGATCGTGATCGCGAGAAGCATCACAAGAGCAGCCGCGATGACAAGGAGCGCAGCAAAGATGACAAGGAGAGAAGCAAGGATGAGAAATCAAGGTTAAATTTATAGTGAATTTTAATGTGCGGATGGGAATTTTATGTTTTTCTTCCTATTGCCATTGCAGCAAAGATCGGGACAAGGATAAAGAGAAATCGCGAGACAAGACATCTTCTTCCTCTGGTGAGAAACATCGCGACAGGGATAAAGAAAAAGACAAAGATCGTCATCACAAGTCCTCATCGTCATCTCACAGCAGCAGCAAGGACAAGGATAAACATTCCAGCAGCTCCTCTAAGCATCGTGAGCATCACAAGGAGCACAAGGATCATCATCGAGACAAGGAGAAAGAACGCGAGAGGCGAGAGCGCAAAGAGAAAGAGAGACGTGAAAAGGAAAAGCGCGCCAAGGAGGAACAGGAGAACTCCAACGACAGGGATGTTGAGAACGTGAATGAGATGGATCCTCTGGCCACATCGTGGCTGCAAGACAACAAAATGAAGATGGATCCTGTTGTGAAGATCGAGCCGCTAGACACGTCAAAGGCCAGCTCTTGCGATTACTCCTTGTCGCAGTTTAATCCCAACGAGACGTCGTTTCAGCTGAAAGTGGAGGAAGAGGAGGGCGAAGAAGAAGTGAGTATCAAGCAGGAAGACGAAGAGGAGGAGGAAGACGACGAGGAGGATATTCCACTGCATAAGCGAAAAGCTCGTGAAGCTGTATCGTCAGATGAGGAGGACGAGAAGCCACTGACGGTGAGGAAAAAGGTGAAAAATGAGAAGAAGAATAAAAGGCGCTCCTACAATTCCGACGATGATGATGATGAGGATGAGAAGCCCAAGAAGAAGAAAGTGAAGAAGGAGAAACAAAAGGTATTGATTGAGAATCACCGATAGTTGTAATTTTCAATGCTAATTGCTTTTCTTCTTACAGATCAAGACGAAAGCAGAGATAAAGACAGAGTTGAATGATTCTCAATCACCGACCAAGGGAAAGAAGAAGAAGGAGGAGGAGACTGAAGTGTGGAAATGGTAAGTTTGACAGTCCTTGTCAGTGAAATGTCAATTCTGGGGCAGTGAAGAAAATTTGTTGAGCAATTTTCTTATGAAAATATGCTTAATAATTCATATTTATTGAGTAGATTAGTGTACAAACGCCTGGCAGGGTGTCCTAAATTGTTGTGTGATGGAAACTTTGTCATATTATATATGAACAGAGTGCTTTCCTCTCTGAAAGTTCACCGTCTTCAGCTGACCAAATTGAGGTTATACACATGGGGAAATAATGTCATGAACACACGTTTAATTAAGTGAGGTTTATCACAAGATAAACCGTCTTTAAGTTTATATAAAATAACTATTATTCAATAATTTTTATTTCTTGAGTCTGATGCTCACATCCTTCACTCTTACTTCTTTTTGTTCTAATTTAGTAACCCTCTATCGTTCGTTTCAGGTGGGAAGAAGAGAAGCGCGAGGATGGAGTGAAGTGGAATTTCCTGGAGCACAAGGGACCAGTTTTTGCCCCACCGTACGTTCCGTTGCCGGATAATGTGATCTTTGAATATGACGGACGCAAGATGAGACTGTCTCAAGATGCTGAAGAGATTGCCACCTTCTATGCAAAAATGCTTGAGCATGATTACACGTCAAAGAAGGTGTTCAATGATAATTTCTTCAAGGACTGGCGCAAGTCGATGACACGTCAGGAGCGCGAAGTGATCACGGATCTGAAGAAATGCAATTTCCGCAGTATGCATGCGTACTTCCAAAAAATATCTGAGGCTAATAAGAATCGCACGAAGGAGGAGAAGGCGCGCCTCAAGGAGGAGAATGAGCTCCTGATTAAGGAGTATGGATTCTGCACTATTGATGGGCACAAGGAGAAGATTGGTAATTTCAAAATTGAGCCGCCCGGTCTCTTTCGCGGACGAGGAGAGCATCCCAAGATGGGAATGGTGAAGAGACGGGTGGTGGCGAGCGATATTCTGATCAATTGCGCCAAAAACAGCCAAATACCGAAGCCTCCGCCTGGGTTTAAGTGGAAGGAGGTGCGCCACGACAACACTGTGACGTGGCTGGCATCGTGGATAGAGAATATCCAGGGTCAGGTGAAGTACATCATGTTGAATCCCAGCTCGAAGCTAAAGGGTGAGAAGGATTGGCAAAAGTACGAAACGGCGAGACGTCTGGATAAGGTGATTGAAAAGATTCGGTCGACGTATCGGGAAGAGTGGAAATCTAAGGAGATGCGCGTGAGGCAGCGAGCTGTGGCGTTGTATTTCATTGACATACTGGCTCTAAGAGCTGGCAATGAGAAGGATGAAGATCAAGCGGACACCGTGGGCTGTTGCTCACTGCGTGTGGAACACATTCAGCTGCACAAGGAATTGAATGGGAAGGAATATGTTGTAGTATTCGATTTCCTGGGAAAAGATTCCATCAGGTATTACAATGAGGTGGAAGTGGAGAAGAGAGTGTTCAAGAACCTTGAGCTGTTCTGTGAGAATAAGAAGGATGGCGATGACCTCTTTGATCGACTCAATACATCTGTCCTCAATGAGCATCTCCGTGATCTGATGGACGGTAATGAATTGCTAAATCATCTTTTGCTAATGGTGACTAAAAAATGCTAATTCACTTTGCATAGGTCTGACCGCCAAGGTGTTCCGTACATACAATGCATCGATCACACTGCAGAAGCAATTAGATCTGCTGACGGATCCGGAGGCCACCATTCCTGAGAAGTTGCTGCAATACAATCGTGCAAATCGAGCTGTGGCAATTCTGTGCAACCATCAAAGGGCCGTGCCCAAGTCGCATTCGAAGAGTATGGAGAATCTGAAGGAGAAAATCCGAGTGAAGAGGGAGCAAGTTGACGATTGTGAGGAGGAAGTGAAGGTAAGAAGATCCGACTTTTTGATCTTAATTGACTAGCATGGCGAGACAGAGCGTGTATATCAATTGTTGTATTTTGTTTGGCTGTAGGATTTGCAGAAGATTGCGAAGCGTGGATCAGTGAAAGAGAAAATGGCATGTGATAAAAAGAAGAAGCAGTTGGAGAGATTAAAGGAACAACTCCAGAAGTTGGAATTGCAAGAGACTGATCGTGATGAAAACAAAACCATTGCCTTGGGCACGTCCAAGCTCAACTACTTGGATCCACGGATTTCCGTTGCTTGGTGAGATTTTTATCTTTTCATCTATCTTTTGTGCTCCTCCTTATGCATTGTATTTTGGAATTCAGGTGCAAAAAATACGGGGTTCCAATTGAGAAGATCTTCAACAAGACTCAACGGGACAAATTCCGCTGGGCCATTGACATGGCAGATAAGAATTATCGTTTCTAAGAGAACGAGAAGAAACATCTAGCGCTAATTCTGAGGACATTTAGTAATTAAGTATGGGAGAAAATCTTGAAGATTGTGAGATATAAGAGTATCCTTATCTTAGGTAAAATACACAAGTTGATTTTTAAATTTAGTTGAAAGTTTAACTGCAGAAAGACCACAACTTAAATCACTAGATAAATTCTATTTTATGACTTAAGTCGGTAAAATTTATTTCTTCTACACATCTGCGTGTGTGTTGAATTTCTTATTGAATGATTTATTTCTTGAGACAAAGTGCAAAATATCAGATTTACCAATTTGAATAACAGTTCATAATTTTATAGAGTGATTCGGGCAGTAGACAGAGAAAGCAGGATACGAAACAGAAGAAATGGCTAACAATAGGATGATATACTTTATAAGTGGATAATAATTTAAAAGAGAAACAACACGTTAAAGATAGTAATTATAAACAATGGAGGAGTTGGACGAATAAGAAAAGAGTGAACGGCTTATTTCTTTCACCACGAAAATAGTCCACACTTTATTAGAAACTGTAAATTAAAGAATACACAGGAGAAAACAATTTTAACTTATTAGTTAGAATAATTTGATTTTTTTATATTAACGACGCTGGAAATTGAATTGTAGAATATTTTGTCAATGATTTACTTTTGCAATTGACGATGAGTAGATGCAGAATCTTTGTCCTTAATGCGAGTGATTTTATCAAATTGGTCAAAATTGACTAGATATGAGTAGAGAATAAATAAAAATTATATGAGGATATCAAATGGCTAAATTCTTTACATAACTCTTCAATTGACTTATCGTTCTTTTTCTCAATTCTTCAGCGCCACTTTCTTGTTTCCATCACGATCTACTGAGGTGTGTGTAAAAGAGGCACGAAAAAGCACATAATAAGTATCGATAATTGATTAATTTTTACCTGTATTGCTGTGCATTTCATTCCTTTGGGTGGACAACAAAAGAGATTTGTCACCTCTATCCCCGCAAAGATAGTGTTGCGCAATAGAAAGTCAATAAACTCAAGCATGATTCACACGCGCTGTGGCAACAAGGGAAAAGAAGCATAAAATCGTGCTGATGGCGATGCAGAAAAAGTAAAGTGGGGTAGTGAGAGTGAGGATAGAATTAAGAATGAAAATCTGAAATGCAATTGTTCCGCTTTTGAAATTTTTCTTTCTTCAACCACACGCGGGAGTCCGCAGACGAGAAACAAGAAAACACAACAGTAAGTGAGATTATGGTAATGACGAGTTGCGGTTTCGTGCGGAAGTTATTTAGAATGTAGATTAGAAAACTGAGAAAAAATGTTTGCAAACTTTTCTGGAAAGTAGGAAAACTGTAAAGAAATCAAATTATTCAATTATATCTTTTCTTTAAATAAAATATGAATCTTGATCTTCTAACAACACTGGTATCATGGGTATCATAGAGACTAGATCAGATCATTTCGTTCAGAGACAGAAATACAATTTAGAGCTGAAATACGAAGTGAGAAGATTTATCTAAAGTTATTATGCGTATCTTCTAACTTTGAGATCAGCACCAGAAACCGTTTAATGAGTGAGTTATCGAATAGTGTGGAGTCTGAAGATATATCTGGAATTCTTGTCCTGTATTTCCTTTAATTATACTCTTGATTATATTTTACGTTGCGTCCTGAACTTAATGGCTTGACTGTATCAGTTGTATCTGCGATGGTGCCTCCACTTTCTATTTGCACTGTATCCCAAGCAAGAGTGCACAGAGCAAGAGGAATGGGGAGGGAGAAGTTGGTGAGAATTTTGGGGGAAAGATGTAAAAATGCGGCTTTTTCTCACCTTAGCGCCTTCTTGATGTCTTTTTGCCAATTTTCCAGCTGATTTAGCATGGGAGTGTGGAATGGCCAGTATAAATGGGTGCGTCTGCGAGGGCAGTGCATTTAGTGTTGGGTGAGGAGCGGTGTTGAGAGTGAATACACAGGTTGATAGACAGAAGTATGCTCCTGAAGTGGGTGACAATTGTGGCACTGGAGTTGCTCCTCGTGAGTCTGGGAGCGACACAGGACCGCAACTATGAGAGGGACTTTGAGGTGTTTCAAGCGGGCGGCGGTGATCGATCCCAGTCCATCTACTCGCTCTATGATGAGGAGGATCGCCAGAGAGCGCACGGATTCAGTGGACCACTGGAAGGATTTGGATCCGAATCGAAGATCACGTATCTTCCGTACTACCTATCGCCGGATGAGGTGAAGAGGAATTACAGGAGTGCACCGAAATATGGTGGGAATAATCGTGAGGGGAGCTTGCAGAGCTACGATGAGTTCTTTGAGAGGAACTTCGGACAGAATTATCAGGCGTACGACTCCAAAGCTCCGCTGAGATCAACTGAGGAGCGCGAGGAGACTGAGCACGAGACGGAGGCTCCGCGAGCAGGACCGAGGAAGTTCAAGAAGGGAGGCAGGAAGGCTAGCTACAAGGCGCAGCCGCGCGAGGAGACTGAAGACATTCCATATGACTACAGCTACGGCGGATCATCGTCCTACAATCCGTCAGATGAGTATCAGAGGATCAAGTATTTGTCTGAGCAGCAAGCCAAGGAGATCCAGCAGAATCCCTCGCACTGCAAAGTCGTGCAGAAGGAGGAAATGGAGTGTCACATCTGCCATGATCCCAAATCTGGCGCTAAATCTGAATCCTGCTCTTATGCTTCACGACCAGCAGCCAAGAAATATGCGTTCGTGAAAGAGAAGAAGTACAATAGCAAGGACGATGAGGATTCTGATGAGGACGAAGCTGAGGAGGCGCCACAGCCAAAGAAGAGTGAAAGTCTGAGGTCTGCTCGGCCTCAGAGACGTCCATCCAAGACCACACCTGCTGAAGTGACTCACGCTGCCCTCACGGCTGCTCCTCGTCGACGACCTGTGAGCCGTGGGAAGAAGGCTAGCGAGAATCGCCCACAGAGAGATGTGGTGGGATTGGATCCCTATCTCTATGGGGGATCAGATGACGATGACGATGACAACGACGAGGAGGAAGATGAGGAAGAGGAGCAGCAGAAGCCCAAGAAGAAGCAGAAGACTGCGAAGCAGTCTCAATTTGGAAAGATCAAGTCCTATGAGGATTACTTTAGCCACGTCTTCCCAGAGCAGCACGGTAGGAAGTCCAAGGAGGCACTGAAGTCGGAGTCTGAGTATGAATTCATTCCGGACTATGAGCACAAGAAGAACGTCGAGGAAGTGTTGGCGGAATTCAAGACCAAGGATTGGTCCAAGTGCAAGAAGAGCCAGAAGGGCGATCTCACTTGCTACGAGTGCAAGGATCCCAACGGTGTCCTTCATGAGGAGTGCATGTTCGTGTCTGAATCCAGTCCGCGCAGCAGTCGTCTGACTTACGAGGAGAACAAGAAGTACGCGCAGCCGAATCCGGAGGAGCAGCAGACAGAGGAGCCCCAAAGCGACGAGGACGACTATGAGGACGCCGGCGACTCGGCCAGTCAGGTAGTGACTGAGAGATCGGCCAGACTGCGTCAGAGAGACTCAGCGCCTAAGCCCGAGGAGAGCCTGGACCAGAAGTTGCCCAAGAAGCGCACCATCAAGCGCAAAGTGACCTATCGCCACAAAGGCACCCCAGACCGACTGGACAATGACGAATCTCGTGTCGTCTATTACGAGCAGAAGTTCACCCACACGGAAAATTGAGCCAATTGCGCCACACAGCCTCTTCCCCCTGACCACTGTTGGGCAACAGCCGGACGCGGTGTCGCAAGTGCACCAAGAAATACACCGCCCGAATTGATTTTTCGCACCAGCGCCGGAAAGCAGTTGGACAGAGTCCGTTTGTGATATAAATTAGTTCTCTCTCTCTTCTCTCTTTGTATAGTGACTTTTTGTACGAATGAAAAAGACCGTAGAAAATTTCCTTAGCAAATCTTTTAAGTGAAATTGTGTACAAACGAATGAAATAAAACTATATAAATCAATGGAATTTTGCCATTCAGGCTTTCGCAGAGTAGCAATCCTTGTAAGGCGGTGGAGGTGTTTCCGATCGTGCATTGCTGGTGCTGGCTCTGTAATCTGTGTCCATCAGCTGAATACCCTCCAGCGAAGTGGGCGATTCTGGTGCTGTTGCGCGCTGTGAGTTGGATCTCTGGAAGAGATTGAGCGTACTGCGGCTCATCTGGCGAATGAGAGTGCTTCCTCTGTGCTGCAGTGTCTGCAGATACTGTCCTCTTCGTCTGCGCGAGAAGAGATCACTGACAAAGTCATGGAAAGCATTGTTGCTCTCAATCAATTCGCGGTTGGTATTCTGAGCAGGATCTGGGGCGCTTCTTGTGCACCTCCTCGGTCGCCTGGGTTGTCTCTGGGGCTGCTCTCGAGGAGCTTCCTCGGGGAAATTCAGTCGCGAGGCTTCGTGATAGGAGGCTACAGAGAAAATGCACATTTTTCCATCATTCAGATTACTTCATTGAAGTAATAAAAATCACTCTTAATCTGACTTCAATCAAATTGGATTCTTAACTATAAACTTACAGAAATCCTCACGAGCATCTCTTATGATTGATCTCAGCTCTTGCCTCACCATGAGATTCTGATTACAATCCTTGTAGGTTTTTGCGCAGAATACTGTGCACACACCGCCAACAATAGCTCCCAGGAAAATTCCCAGCGCGAAGAGGATCAGCGAGGCGTTGCGCAAATAATAGCTAGTTTTGCTAGGCTCTGGAACAGCCTTAATCTCTGGCTGTTCACGACAGTTCATCAACAAGTGACACACAAATTCCCTGTCCATTTCCAAGCAATCACTAAAGGAGGTTCTCTGATGATGAATCTTGTACATTTCGTCCAATTTCGCTGCTCTGTTGTGATGATGAAGCAGTAGATCGTAATCTTCAGTGTTTTCGGATTCCTTGAGGTTATCCAACTCCCTGGATTCTTCATCTGCCGATTCATTTGATTCCCCCTGTGAAGGATTAAGGGATGGCAGCATCTCCATTCGCTCAAACATGCTATTCTTCTTTGGAAAAACTGCCGATTAGATAAGAGAATGGGTCAATTTCGTACTCTATTGCAACTCTTTTTAAGCACGATACTCACCACATTTAAAGGATTCATAGTCGATATCTCTCTTCGTAAACCATTCTATCAAATTTTGCAGTGTTGAGTCACATTTGAGATAGAAATTGTGTTGCAAATTGACGAATTTCAGGTCAGTTAGGGTGAAAAAACTGGGCGGACTCACGGCGAACAGGAGATTTCCTGACAAATCCAGCACTTTGAGTTTTGGCAGATCATTGAATATCTCCACTAAGTGAACCAGCTTTGCATTTCTCATGTACAATTCCTAGACAAAGACGCAAAGATTGGCTTGAATAGAAGCATTTTCCCCTTGCATTCGCCAATGTTGACTTACTTCTAGTGAGGAACTGATAAGGAATGGTTCGCCATTGAGATTGATAAAGTTATTCTCTGACACATCGAGCACCAGCAAATTGTCGTTCTTCTCCACGATCCTCTTATCGAACGTCTCCAAGTGATTGTGGGACAGGTTGATCATTTTCAGGTGTGGCAGACCCGAAAAGGCGTCCAGGAAAATTGTGTGAATGCTGTTGTGTGCCAGCGATAAGTTCATCACGATCGGCACGTAGTAGAAGCTGTTGTCTTTCAGTGTGGAAATGGAATTACCACTGAGATCGAGTATTTCGGTAGTACTTTTCACCGACACGTGCGGCTCGATCAGTCTTCCACTGCGGCAAGTGGCTTTCTCTTGAAAATTCACGCGACTGAAAACACAATTTCCCGCCAGTGACACGGAAAGTGTTGCAAAAAGAACCACAATGATTGCCCTCATTGTGAAAAATCACATTTTCATCACCTTTTCGGCGCTCTCTTTCTCTATTCGCAATCAAGACACTCGACTTTCCGCGCTACACTAGTCACAGTATTTCCCTAGAGTTTCTGTCTACCATATTCCCTCTCCAGCTGCCTTATCTTATCTTATCACCAAACAGTGACATCATCACGATATGAATGCTCCATCAGGTGTGGTTGCACTCTTTCTCACTCATTTATGTTTTCAATCTTTTTATTATTACTTATGCAAGAGCTGCTCAATTGATATAAAATGCACGGTAAAACGTGCGTACAAATTGAATGCAAACAATTTCACGGTTAGAAGTAGTATGGCAAATTTCACTCACGCATGATGAGAGAATGGAAGAAATGCTGAACTCAATCTAAACTCCACAACTTACTGGTTTGCCTGGAAACCCTTGCTGAGGAACGTTAAAATATCTGTTGCCTCCTCGATCTGGAAGATAGAAATAGAACCTCATGTAGGAATCTAATTGGAATAACTCTGATTGTTCTGATAGATGAGAAATCATATTAGAATCTTGTAAACTCCGAAAAGAGAATCATGGAATGTTAATATAGGGTAAGCTTACTTTCTTGGTCGTGGGTTTTCCAGCACCATGACCCGCCTTGCTGTACACGCGCAGCAGAATAGGATTCTTCTGGTGTTCGCACTCCTTGACCGCATGCTGAATTGTGGCGGCAAACTTGAGGCTGTGCAACGGACTCACGCGATCATCATGATCAGCCGTGAGGATGAGAGTGGCCGGATACTGATTGGCTTCATCGGCAGGCGTCTTGACATTGTGCAGTGGAGAATACTTGATCAGATTATCAAAGTGCTCCTTCTTGTCGGGATCTCCATAGTCGCTGGTCCAGGCGTGGCCGATAGTGAACTTGTGGAAGCGCAGCATGTCCAGAACACCCACTTGAGCCACGGCAGCACCGAACAGATCTGGCCGTTGGAGCAGACAAGCGCCCACAAGGAGACCCCCATTGGAAGCGCCCTGTATGGCCAATTGAGGCTTGGTTGTGTATTTGTTGGCCACGAGATACTCAGCTGCCGCTTGGAAGTCATCGAAGACGTTCTGCTTGTTGAGAAGACGACCAGCATTGTGCCACTTTTCACCATACTCGCCACCGCCACGAATGTTGGGGAACGCCAGGACGCCATTGAAGTACTCCACGAACATCAGACCAGTGATACTGAATGTGGGTTGGATGGAGATGTTAAAGCCACCGTAACCGTACTGCAGACAAGGTCGCGGCGTAACACTGGGCGTGTTCTTCCTCACGATGAACATGGGAATCTTGGTGCCATCGCGACTGGGATAGAACACCTGTTCCACACAGTAATTCTCAGGCTTGAAGCCTTCCAGCTGTATCTTGCACTCGCGAAATACCGTGGGCTCTTTCGACTCATCCGCAAAGTCGTAGTGATAGATTATGCCCGGAGTGAGAAAGGAGACGAACTGATAGAAAATCTCAGATGAGCTCTTCCGTCCAAAGCAGCCGACAATCGTGCCGACGTCTATTGGAAAGTGTCGGATCAGCTTTCCCGTTTCCAGCGAATGCACCTGAAGCTGCGTCTTCACATCATGGATATACCCAAGGATCAGCTTGTTCTGATGCACACATTCCACCCAGTCCAGCACATCAGTCTTATGCTCTGGCACGAGAACATTCCACTTCTCAGGCGCCGGATCGTTGAAGTCAATGCAGACAAGATGATAATTTGGGGCATTCTTGTTAGTCAGGAAGACTACATTAGAGCCAGTATTGGTGACATATTCATAATCTGCCTCGAATTTGTGGATGATTTGCTTCAAAGGCAACTTTCCGCTTATTTGTCCGGCACTTTCCAGATCTGCGAAGTACACTAAATTATCTCGGCAGTCTTTCACAATGAGCAGTATTAAATATTTGCCGCAATCCGAGACATTTGCACCACTGAAACAATGCAAAAAGTATATAAATAAACTTTGTTCATAAATTTGATAATGAAACTCAATTTCAATATGTATGCAAAATTGCCATAAATGCTGAAGGTCTAGCAAACAATGAAGTTCAGAAATATTATGGATGGTTGACTTTTTCCATTGTGTAAAATAAGAAAAGAAATCAGATAAGAGACAAAGCTACTCACATTCTATATGAGGGATTCTCTGGGAATTCCGCCACAAGGACATCTTCGGACTGAGGTGTTCCCACGCGATGGTAATAGAGCTTCTGGTGTTCATTCATCAGCGTTTCCGAGCCATCGGTTTTGCCCTCCTGGTCTGGATAGCGTCCGTAGAAGATGCCATTGCAGTCCTTTGTCCACGCCATTGAGGAGAATTTCACTTTTTCCAGCACCTCAGGAAAGTCTTTGCCTGTTTCCACGTTCCTGATTTTGATTTTGATCCAATCTGAGCCACTTGCACTCAGTCCATAGGCGAAAAATCGCCCGTCCTCGGAGAAAGAAGTCCCACTGAGGGCCACAGTTCCATCCTCGGACAACGTGTTGGGATCCAGGAAGACTTTGGACTCCCCATTGAGGGAGTCCATTGTGTACAGCACATTCTGATTTTGCAGACCTGAGTTGTGGCTGAAGAAGTAGCGGTTCCCATACTTGAGCGGGCAGTTGTACTTGGGATAATTCCACAGTTTCGTCAGCTTCTCATTGATCACCTTCCACTCGTCGTTGTTCTCCAAGTACGGCTGGGCGATCTCATTCTGGGCACTCACGAAGGCCTCCGTTTCCGCTGCATCCGGATCCTCCAGCCACCTGTAGTGGTCGGTGATCTGAAAGTGCACTCAAGTGAGTGTCCAGACGTGGGCACCATCCTGACTGAGCGAGACTCACCTGCCTGCCGAAAAACTCCTCCGTGTTGGAGAGATCGCGACGAGCTTCCGGATACTTCAGAGGCATTTTCACACCGTATTTCGCCAAGTAAACTGTTAAAAGGCACACAGATTGATAACACAGCTCAGTGATAACGGAATTAACAGGCAAATTGGCTCAATTGCAGAGAATCTCGAGAGAAAATTGAACTTGTCATGAAAACAACATCACTCAATTGGGGGCTCACGTGGATGCTCCCATATGGCGTTCCTCAGCTCCTCTCCCCCGGACTCCCGCTATTGCACTCAATTTGGGACTTGTACTGGCAAGAGAAATGAACAAAATTTACCTGTTTGAGACGCTGAATACCTCGAATGCGGCTTGTATTGCTGAATAAGCGGAAATGACTTGAGACTTTGAGAAAGCCACCTGACAGTTCTGAACATTTTTGACGTTTCTTCTTCTTCATTTTTCCCGCGTGCGGTGCGAATCGCTGATTCCTTCAGAGCGCACGAAGACGAAAAGCGCGAATTTTGCCGCCCTATTTCTATGCATAAACTAAGGCATAAACTGAAATTTGGTGCACAAAAGATTTGCAATATCTATGAAAAATTGACTAAGTTGTAGAGAAGTGGTTAGAAAAATCTTACAATTCTATGTCCAAAGTACTTTGTTCACGATTGCTCTCGCGCTCAAAACCCAGAACAAAACACACAATTTGGCTTTCAAAAAGCTCGTGTCAGAGAAAACACAAACAAACATGAAGGCTATCGACATCACATCTTAAATTTTTAATTCTGACTTAGAGAAAAGAGAAAAGTGCGAGGAAAAGTTGGAAATCGCTCTATGCAAAAATCGGAAAAATTCAAATTCGTGTAAACTTTACGACAGACAAAGTGAAACATTGCAAGTGCAAACGGCCATTTGTTCCCAGCACTACATCGCAAATATAAATAAATTTAGTGTCGCGAGACGAAAAGGAGTATTTTTGTGAGCTGTTTTCAAGCGAAATGGATGAGAATCATATTGATGGGAACACGGCGATTAATCAGGATGAGCTGATCCTGCAGCAGCAGCGACAAATTGAGAAGGAGGTGAGCGTAGATTTAATGAGGGCGCGTTTGTAAATAAGGGCAACAAAGACAAGTGTCTCTTTCCGGGTGTTTTCTTGCATCTTTGCAGATTTCTGAGACCACACCGCTGGTCAGCGAACTGCAAACCATCTCAACATTAGATGCTGAATACAACGATGATCCCGTGTACAGTTCCAAAGTGAAAGACTTGGCGTCCAAGTACACATCCCTGAGGCGCACTCGTCCGGACGGCAATTGCTTCTTCCGGGCCTTCGCGTACTCCTACCTCGAGAACCTCATCCACAATCGCGAGGACTACGAGCGATTCAAGGAAAAGGCGGTGAACTCCAAGGACAAACTGATCTCACTCGGACTGCCACAATTCACGCTCGAGGACTTCTACGAGACGGTGAGTGTGCGGGATCGCACGGTGTCGCCAGGATTGACAGAGTGTCTTTGTCCACGTGTTTCAGTTCATGGAGGTGATCCAGCGCGTCGCCCCGCCGGAGAATGCGGATGAGGCCAACACCAATGCCATCAACGAACTGCATCGGCTGTTTAACGAGCAGGGCTTCTCGGATTACGTGGTGGTGTACTTGAGACTCATCACTTCCGGTCAAATCGAGGAGAATGCCGACTTCTATCAGGACTTCATTGGCGGCTACGCGTCCGTGAAGGAGTTCCGCCACCAGGAGGTGGAGCCCATGTACAAGGAGTCCGACCACATCCACATCATCGCTATCTGCTCAGCTCTGGACGTAGGAGTGCGTGTGGAGTACATGGATCGTGGTGATGGTGGTCAAGTGAAGGCTCATGATTTCCCTGAGGACAAGACACCGCGCGTGTACCTCCTCTATCGGCCAGGACACTACGACATCCTCTATCCAAAGGTAGACACCCCGACTGACGACCTCCCGGACTCGTAAGAAGGCGCGTGAAGACTCCGCTTACTGCTGATCCACTGAGATTTGCACTGCTATATAACATTTTTTTCATCGAGACCTTTTCTCGCCTCAATAAATGAATTCACATTTCCTAAAAAACGGTGGGCAAAGTAGTCTATCCAGAGAACAAGGAAAACTTATCTTTATTTTTTGAAAGGAGGCACTATTTTGTGGGATCAACACATTGATGGCAATTCTCCATTTCCGGCGTGAATTCTTCGATCTGAATCGTGGTCTCGAAAAAATTGTACTTGCTGTGAACCGTCTTGGTGGCAATGCGAAGGATTGAGTCGGGATTTGTATCGGGGGCAATGGCCAGATGAGCTGCCAGGGCGTTCTTGTTGATGCTCAGCGCCCAAATGCGCAGATTGTGGACCCTCACGACACCCTCAATTTCTAAGAAGGTGTTCTTGACTTCTGTGTAGTCGAGATAGCTCGGAGTGCCCTCCATGAGGACGTGGAGGGTGTCCTTGAGGATGCGCACAGTCGTGAAGACGACTATGATGGAGAAGATGAAGGTGCAGATTGGATCCGCGAGGTACCATTCTGGCTTGAAGTAGATCAAGAGGGCGGCAAAAAACACTCCCACGCTCTGCAGAACGTCCCCAATGACGTGGATAAAAGCCGCCCTCACGTTGATGTTCTCCTCGTATTTGGAAACAGAGGAGCCCCCGTGAGAGTGGCCGTGCTGGTGGAGACTACACCCCATGATAACATTAACGAGAATGGCGAAGCCTGAGGTGATGAGCATAACCACGGCGTTCACTTCGAAATCCTTCTGAATCACCCTCTCGACGGCCATAAAGACTAGGATGGCAGTCACCACCCAGATGAGGATGACGGAAATGAGGGCCCCAATCACTTCTGCTCGATACCATCCAAAGGAGAGCCTGAAGGGAGAAGATCGTGAGTCAGTTGTAAATTCGTCAAGAGACTTTGTTGTGTGCAAACACGCGAGATAACATGGCTGGAGCAGAGATGATAAGGCAATGGCAAAAATGCGTCTTCTCTCACCTCACTGTGGACTTTCTCCCGGATAGCCAGATCGCGAACAGGGAGATCATAAAGCTGGCGAAATCTGTGAGAAGATGGGCTGCATCTGTGGCGATCGCGAGACTGTTGGCCACGATTCCACCCACAATTTCCACGATCATGAATATCACGCACAGCAAACTGGCTATGATCAGGCGTCTGCGTGCCACTGTGTCCACTCCCTCGCTTCTCGGCGTGTGGCAGTGTCCATCTGGGGTGCCCAGCAGCATCTCTGTTGACGGAGTGATGCTGAAGGCGTCATCATTCTCTCCGCAGCATTGCATCGGCGGCCGCCCGTGAATGCAATACACCACAGCCGCTCGACTGCCACTCGGCAGCCGCCCAGCATCCATCGATCCATAGCCATGAACACGCCTGCGGAGCCAATAAAGTATTTCATCACAAGCTGCGCCCAGAACTTCCTGAAAGTGCCACTTACACCACAAACTCATCCTTGTCCTTCATCTTTCCAGCTATCACTCGCCACTCACGACCCTTATTTATTTATTTATTTATTGATTTTGACGAGCCGTAATCCAATGGATGGTATCCCAGGCATGGAATTTATACAGACTCACGACTCTCATGCACTTTGACGATCTCTCAGACGCAATCCCGTTCCAACCAGCGTTACCTCAGAGGGACACATGAACAATGAGGCTGCAGCTAGAAGCACACTGGTGATGTGTGAAAGAGATTATAAATAACTATCTCGCTTATCTCTTATCTATTCATTACCATGAATAAATATTAAAATGTTTCTTGTCCCTCTGTTTCTCCCCTGAGACAATTTGTGTTTAGACGCCAACAATCGGAAAAAATCATTCAATTGATCAAATCTTGAAAAATATGCTCTTTCTAGGCTTTTTCATCATGTTGTCTTATCAGCCAAAGAGAAATATATCAATGTATGATTTTTTGGTTTCTCCAGTAGACAAAAAAATCCTTGTGTCTATTTCCACATTCTCCTCTATGATATCTGTCCTTAATATGGAAAATCCTTGGAAAATAGATTTTTTTTCATGAAGATTAGTTTTTCGTTGCGCGACGGTTACTTTTTCAACTCTAATTTCCCTGGGATTTTTATAAATTTCCCATTTTGCTTGCGGCTCCCCCTACTTCCGGTAGATGTCAAAATCTGTCTTTTCGTGTGCATTTGTTAGAAAACGTGGATTTCGGTCTCGGTTTTCGCTAAACGGTAACTAATATACTGTCTCTTACTAGCTAAATTATACATAAATGCAATATATGGGTAGTCTTCCTCAAGTTGCATGTAAAAATTCCTGTGTAATATGTGGAATATATAGAGAAAAATTGAATTGTATTTGATGGCTGCTGATGTGTTTTCATCTTTTCAAAATCATCTCATTTTGAGGCCTCTGTAGTCTACTTAGGAAGGTTTTTAGCGTGTAAATCAGTCTAGTGCCTTCTAATAATAGTATTGGCCCTGTGTATAGCATAAAAACTCGGAAAAATTTAATTCCAGGCAAGTGCTCTAACCTCACTTTTTTCTTCTTGCAGCGCCATCAAAATGAGGACCATCAACACGAGTCAGTGTGTGAAGATCCCGAAGGGTGTGACTGCCAGCGTGCACTCCCGCACTATCAAAATCACGGGACCTCGAGGAAAGCTTGAGCGGAGCTTCAAGCATCTCGCTTTGGACATTTACATGGCCCACAAGCGGACTGTGAAGGTGGAGAAGTGGTTCGGCACGAAGAAGGAACTTGCCGCCGTCAGGACAGTGTGCTCGCACATTGAGAACATGATCAAGGGTGAGAGCTTAGCCAGGAACTGTCTAGAGGCAAATAGCTACAATATGCCTTACTTTTCAGGCGTCACTCTGGGTTTCCAGTACAAAATGCGTGCTGTGTATGCTCACTTTCCCATCAACTGCGTCACCTCCGAGGGAAACTCCGTGATTGAGATCAGGAACTTCCTGGGTGAGAAGTACATCCGGAGGGTGAAGATGTCCCCTGGCGTGACTGTGGTGAACTCAACCAAGCAGAAGGATGAGCTGATCCTCGAGGGAAATGACATTGAAGCCGTGTCCGGATCAGCAGCGCTCATCCAGCAATCGACGACGGTGAAGAACAAGGATATCCGTAAATTCTTGGATGGTCTCTACGTCTCTGAGAAGACCACCGTTGTCCAGCAGGAATAGAAGAAGAGGAATAAATGATTTCCACTGCGAGAATTTACATTTTCTGTTATAATTTTGTTCTAAAGGTGTGGACATTGGATAAAAGTTCACTGAAATGTCTTTGACAGCGCTGTCGACGTAGCACAGTTCACTGAAAAGCACGCCGGCGCAGTCAGAATTTTTCCTCCTCCTGCCCAGAAAAACTATGTTCAGATCCGGGACAATCACTCGCTCTGGTGGAATCTTTTCAGCCATTGCTAAGCAGTCCAAGTTGATCAACATAAAGCCAGTGAATCGAATTACCTTCACGTTCGATCCATTCAACAAAAGATCAACTGAAGTCAGGTAAGGAATCTCCTTTCATGATCGCAGTAGGATCGCAGGAAGTAATAACTATTTTCGGCTCTCTTGGCAGGAAATTTCTCTTCCAATACTCCAGCGCTCGAGTGAAGGCAACCAACGTGAACTGCAAGTACCGAACTAATATCGTGTGTGATGGTTCACCTCCGGAAGTGGTCTTTGAACTAACCAAACCATCGGGAGAGAAGGAGAACCTGCGAGTCCTCTGCGAGAACCTCACGTTACTTGAGCTTCTGCAATTGACAAATAAGCACATTGCGCAGTATATTGTAAAGCCGGAGGAGACATCAAAATTGCCAGTGACCAAAGCATCCAAGGGCGCGAAGTTGCAACAGAGACGATGAAGAAGGGCCACTTGGAGATGATAGAGCGGGTGTACAATGACTTTCCCGCCTTCTCGGACATCTTCACCGAGGAAACCTTCTATATTTTTGCATTTTGCTTCGTCCTCTGCACCATCCTCGTGGCCTTCATCCTGTCGCGCTTCATCACGCTGAAGCCATTGGAATGAAAAGATGCATTATGCGAAACTCAGTGTATTTTGAGCAGAAAAAGTGGCTCTCATATTAAACAGAAGGTTAATGTAGCGAAGCAGTGCCTGCAAATCATTTCTCCTCCGCCTTGGTCTCCGGCTGGTCCGTGAGACTCTTCTCAAGCGCCTGCAAGAAAGACTCCGTGTCTCCATCATTGGCGGCCGTGACAGCCTCCACGCCCAGGTTGAACTGCGAAAACACAGGCCCCAATTGGCCACTTTGCAGGGCATTGTTAAACATGGAGAGTGCCTGCTGGAACTGCGGTGAGGCCACTGTGTCACGGATCTGCTGCTCCACGGGTTCCTTAGCGGCCGTCTTGGGCAGGAAAGGCTCTAGGCTCTGACGACAAGAATCATCCGAGAGGATATTGTTCAGGGAGTCCGTATTGAGGATAGCTGACAGTTCCACAGGCTTCACGCCGCGATTCCTCTGACTGCCCGTGGCTCCTGGAGAGGAAGAACTGGTTTGTTTTTTTACTGCGATTAGAGGGTATTATTACTGACCTGAAGGTGAAAATTCCGACAAGTAGCTCTGAAGTTCACTTAGGAGGACGTTGGTCTTGTCCGACGCTGAGTTGGAGTTGTCGGATGATGTGCCGTTGTTGGTGGCCCTGCTGGAGTTGGAGGAGGAGGTCTTCTTGGGTGCTGCGGCTGCGCTTCCTGAACTGGTTACTGGTGGTGGAGTCACTGCAGTTGCACTGGCACCGCCAGAGCCCCCATTACCCGTTCCCGATGGCGTATTCCTGGCCGAGGAACTCTCCGAGGTGCGCGCATTTCCGCCGAATAGACTGCTCAGGCCACCTATCTGCCCTACGCCGCCGAAGAGCTGCATCAGCTGCTGCTGGCTCATGTTGTTCAGCATGTACTGCAAATCACTGTTGTCCGATCCACGGCCTCCGGATGGGATGTTCGTTGGTGGATTGTTGATGACATCATTGATGCGACGGCACCACTCATCGTCCTTGTCCGTCTTCGTCTCCTGCATCCAGAAGAAGAGCTTCCGTGAGGAGGACTTGAACTTCAGCAGATACACCCGTCCGGACGTGCACTGCTCGATCTTCTTGAACTCGCAGTCATCGGGAAAGATGATGAGGTCATCTTCGGTGTTGCCGGTGGTGCGATCCTTCCAGCAGAAGTGAATCAGTCCGTCGTCCGACTGGTACACGTACACGAGTCCCTTTCGTGTGTCCGGATGCACCATTTTGCCCACCATATTCATCCGACCGGCGCGAAACTCCACCAAGTGGCGACTGTTGTTGGTGGACGAGAGCCCCGAGGAGCTTGTGTTGCCAAATATTGGGCCACTCATGCTGTATTTTGCTGCGGAAATGCAATTATCTGCACAGAAATTTATCTTCTCGCCGTGACTTCACTGTTTTTGACTGTCACGGCTGTTTGACAGCCATTGTCAGGCGCGTGTACTAAAATTGGTACTAATTCTTCGCAGTGTCGGCCAGCTTCGCCGCATTCGCCGTAGATGATAATCATAATCGGAATCACACGCTGACGCGCCCCAATATTTTTCTCTTCACTATTCCCATGAATCCGGCGAATAACTGTTCTTTTCTCCGCGATTGCCCAAATATTTAGACAGTTACTCAGCGACAGAGGAAAAATTGAGTGGCAGTGAAAGCGTAGGAAAAGTTTGGGCGTGAATTGCCGCGTATTGTGGGTATTGTGAAAGAGTGGTGGAACGTTGAGAACAAAAGACCGGAACTGAGCCTGCAGAATGGCACAGCGGCAGGATTCGATGCAGGATTGGGGTCAGCAGCGTTTGCATCAGGAGTCCATTCCCCTGGATCGCCTCGACAGCGTGACGAGCACTGGCGAGGAGACCGGAGATCGACGCAAGGCGCGGAATATCTTCAACAATGTGTGTACTTTGTGGCCCGAAGAGTCCTGATAAGGGATTGAATATGACTGTTTTGTGGCTTTCAGTTGGATCGCGATGGGGATGGATATCTCAACATTGACGAGTTGAAGCACCTGATCCGCAGTCACCAGTGCCGAGAGATGCCGCGCGGTGTGGCCAGGAGAGTTATGGAGATTGGGGACACGAATGGGGACGGGAGGCTGGACTTTGAGGAGTTCTACCAGCTCTCCCGGACGCACAAGTGGATGTTGAAGCCCTTGGTGGTGCGCTACTGTCAGATGGTCGTTCCCTCTCCGCATAGAACACCAGAAGACGCAATAGGTGGGCCCGGTTGTTTACAAATCACGTCTATTTTGGGCATTTGCTGATTTATCTTCTTGCAGATGGCCAGTACGAGCGGAGTATGACCTTCTGCCCACCGCCTCTGACCATGGTGATCTTCTCCCTGGTCGAAATCATCATGTTCCTCATCGATGTCGTTCATCTGAGGTACATTTTCCTTCCGCCATCAAATCATGACTCATATAATTATTACACATTCTTGGGAAACACGCGGCCAAATTGAGCCAAGTGCACGAACATATTAGCTATGCATATATATTTTAACTCTTTGAGTTCCGACAGAAATTCCCAGAATTAATTAAAATCCGCTCGCGAGAAACTTGAACTTTCACAGTCTTGTGACATGACAAAAAAATACTGTGTAGATTTTAGATACGAATTTCAACTTATCTGCTCTGTTTCACCGAAAAACGCTTCAAGATTGAGAATTATCAACATTGAACGTGATGTTTTCTGATAATCATGAACTGAAAAACGCGTATCTTTATTGGCATTCTTCGTAGTGCATCATTATCGCTCAGGAAGGAACGTTTTTTTTACCTTAGAAAAGATGGTAAATATTTGAGCGAAATATCATGGTGAATTTTGTCGTTATCAATTGGCACAATTTTTAGCATATGCACTGAGATACTTTAAGTAATTGAAATTGAAACATTGAGCTTCGCAGAGACGTATTTTTCGAGATGAAAATAATTAATTTGTAAATCAGTTTGAAAGCAAAATTACGTTCCTTTTTATTGTTCATAAAACTTGATATTATCTGCAGTAATTCTCGAACTAAAATTCACAGTGTACTTGGGCTTTGTGTTGCGTAGCATTTGGTAAATTGGTGTAGAAAATCAATTGACCTTTCTCATTGTCCTTTTCAGGGACTACACAAACGATGTGAATCAAATAGGTCAGAGCACTAAAGGGCCCGCCGCCACCCTCTTCATTTACAACCCCATGCGACGCTTCGAAGCCTGGAGATTTGCCACCTACATGTTCGTCCACATTGGGTAAATTCGTGCTTAGCTCTGTGCTTACAAACGCCTAATTGATGCAATTTGTCCATCTCCAGGATCATGCATTTGATGATGAATCTACTCGTGCAAATCTTCCTGGGCATCGCCCTCGAGCTCGTGCACTGCTGGTGGCGAATTGCTTTGGTCTACTTGGCGGGAGTTGTGGCTGGCTCCATGTCTGTCTCCCTGGCAACGCCCACGGTGTACTTGGCGGGCGCTTCGGGTGGTGTTTACGCCCTCATCACTGCCCACATCGCCACAATCATTATGAATTGGAATGAGATGGAGTACGCAATCATTCAACTTCTCGTTTTCCTAATCTACATCATTACAGACATCGGAGCGGCTCTTTATCGCCAATTCAGCGACATTCACGATCGCGTCTCGTACACTTCGCACATTGGCGGGGCCGTGGCGGGACTGCTGGTGGGCATTGGGGTGCTGCGCAACCTCAAGGTGCGCCCGTGGGAGAAGAAGCTCTGGTGGGCAGCTGTGGTCACGTACATTCTACTGATGGGCTCCGGAATTTGCGTTCACATCTTTGTGCCCGATCATTTCATGGATCAGAACGCTTTCGTCTGAAACTCATGCATTTATTCGCACCTCTTTCATACCGCCATGAGATTGAGAAACGCACCCAGAGAGCAATGTTGACGAATTGAATTGAGTATTCGAGCATTTTTACCTGTATTTTTATAAATGATTTTGTGAGGAAACTTTACGGAATAAGCGCCAACGCCTCTTGTATTACTATTTTATAGCGAGTATTTAATGTAGCTTTATGACAAAGTGTCCTTAATGTTCGCGTGAATATCAATCACAATGATGAAAGTGTACTTAAAAGTATTTTCTGGCAAAAAAAAGACATTGTACAATTTGAAAATTACATAAAATTTTTATTCTCTGTCGAGTAATGCTTTAAAATACAATGTCACTGGTTTTGTACAATTCATATCGATATATTTTTGTAGTAAAAAATATATTATTTCAATATAAATTTGCCAAAATGTGAAAAAGACGTTCAATATAAATCTTAGCTTTACATCCTTTCATTTCCTTGGGAACGAAAATAAAATAATTATAGACGAAATAATAATCTGCTCAGAGCATTTTATCAAGCTTCCTGTGGTTTTGTGTCATGATTTTTTTTCAATTACAGTAAAATTGTACAAATCAAATGATATTGTACCGTAAATATACTATTTTTGTTAAATTTATACATTAAATAAAAATTCTCTCTAAGTAATTTAAATAGTAATACAGTTTTACTTTTATCACACAAAGATTCATCTCATTATTTGTTATTTCTGCATGTTTTTTTCCCGTGTTCATGGCATAAACACATAAATTTACTCATACAACTTTTCTCTAACGCATTAAGTACTTTAGTTCAATTTTATCTAACGTTGGTTAAATTCTTTTTTTCACTATCTTTTCTCCAAAAAAAATATCAGTAAATTTTCGTTCTATCTTCACACCTTCCAAAGCAGCAGGTGATTTGTACTATCTTCCCGTCCGGCAATATCATTCATTGAATTTATATTAGAGTTGCGGAAATCCTCACATCCGTCCCCACCGGAAATCAACAGAATTGACGACTCCTTGTGCTTCGTCTGCGATCCTTTCCTGCACTCGCAACACAGACATGTCAATATAACTAAGAAGAATGACGAAGCAAAATTTCACTCACCTGGAATTGGAGTTTGATCTGCTGCCCTCCGTCGTCTCCACGCTCGTGAGGAATCTCACGTGCCCGGTGTGACCGTGAGGCATCGGCATTGGAGTGCTGTTCATCAGATTCCTGCCTGTGGCGCTGCCCTGGATGACCAGCAACACTCCGGCACTCGTGCCGATGCAGATGAGATCCCGACACGCCAGCAGAGCCGTGATCCTCAGACAAGCAGCCTTGTGCTGGCGAATGATGTCGTCGCAGTTGGAGAGCATCTTGCTCACAGGACCGCTGACGTTCATCTCCACCACGATTTCGTATGTCTTGGAATGGAAACACTTGAGCACGGAAGAGTTCTGTATGGAGATCCAGACGCCGTGCTGGGAAACCACCATATTGGTGATGGGCTTGGATTCGCTCGATATTTGCACCTCGCTCTCAACCTGGCGCACAATGAAGGAAAAGTCTGGTATTGATTGGGCCTCTTTCGCATTCTTCAACACTCACCTGATGCGTAGAAACGTTGAAGATTTTTATAACTCCCTGTATAGAGCACCACAATTTCCCATCAACATTGAGAAGCTTCGTGATGGGATTGGAAACTGAGCCAATGATCAGTGTTACTGGATCTGAAGTATTCCATCCAGCTGCACAGACAATATAGATAAGTTAATAGAGGAAAGAAGCATTGATAAATCATCAAACTCACTTCCGAGATTCTCTCTCGTGTAGATAATCAACTCTCCATTGGCGAGTGCCACATAAACCTTGTTGTTCATGTAGAGAATATGATAGACCGCACTGCTGTGCTGCATCTTCACCTTATTTCGCTTAATTCGAATGTTATCAGAGCAGTTGTAGACATGAATACAGCCGTCCTCAGTGCCCAGCCACATTGTTGATTGCGAGAAGTCTCCACAATCGAACGTCGGCATGTGATGAAGATCAGATTTGCCGCCGTGAATGTTACACTTGGCATCAGTGGGAAACTCCTTTTCAGACTCATTGTCACTCGAACTGCTTGAATCGAGATGGATGTTGTTGAAGAGCGAGGACAAGGATTGCACCTTCAGTGATTTGTTGCAGTTCTCACTCTCCTCAAATGACGGTGTACTTTTCAGCTGATTAGTCACGCAGGTATTGCTATAAAAGGCAAACGGAGAAATCGTTCACTTGACTTTGATCATGTGCTAGATTAGGTGCTATTACCCTTTATCAGGCTGCCACTCCACTTCAGATGGCACCGAAGTCACACACAAAATTCGCGCATTGCACACACCATTGCAACTCGTGACCGTCGGCTCGGCGTTTAGGCTCAGGACACACACTTGACCCACATATCCATCACTATTGCACACCCACACGTCATTCTGAGCACCCAGTGTCGAGGCAGCGCACGTAAACTGCAATCCAGCGCGGGTCTTGCGAATGGGAATCGACGAAATAAACTCTGGCATCGGGATAGTTTCCAAATTTGAGGCTGCAAAGATAGATTTTCAATGTAAACCTCATAAATCAAAGATAAATGCAGTGAGACAACTCACCAAACTTCTGTTTAGCCTCTCTAAAGGCCTGCTCCCACACACTCCGGCGCTCTGGATTAACAAATTGAATGGACATGTGTTGGCCACCGTCAGATCCACTTGAATTCCCACCAATGGTGATTTCCAGGACACTCAATTGGCCATCATTGAGTTGCTTCTCGCTCAGTTGCTTCTCCAAATCCTTCTCGAGCTCACGCGCCGCCTCCTCAAGATGCTGATGAGGACATCGAAGTGTGGTCACGATGGCTAGTATCTGATGCAATTTCTTCGAATCCTCCATCAAGTACTCAATCTCCTTAATACTCTTACGACTATTGTCATCTTTGGCTGCAAAAACACACAAAAAACATACACCTTAGTTTATTGACTGAACGCAAGTAGTCGAAATGAGCAGGCGATATTTATTGACCGGTTTCACATTTTATGATCCTAGAGATAATAAAATGTTAGTTTTGATATCTATGCGATAAACTACTTTATTCTAATTCATGAACTAAAATTTATCTCATCAGTATTTGCAAATACCAAAATGTGTGACATTTTCTGCTAGCTTTCCATCCTCTCTGAATCTTATGACTTTTATTTTTGTCAAATTGCTTAATTTATTGCTCTCGTGCTATCGCGTGTAACCGGCTCTCCACAATTAATACATCAGCAGTTTGGACTGTTATCGTGAGAAGGGGGGCACATATTTCTGAATGTCTTTCACTTTTGTGTGTATTTTTATCAATAACTCGATATCACCATGATTATGAAATGCTTTTTATGGCGAAAAACCTCCCGCTGAGGCTCTATTTTCCCATTTTCTTGCCATTTTGCACAGTGTGTGGACGAAATAAAGGTGCACAAGTAGTTTGAAAAAGGTGGGTGAAAAACTCCTCTTAAGCCATCATGATTGACGAACGTGCCAAGTTTATAAATTCCCTCTACCTGAGAAATCTCATTGAGGGCAATTTCCGTGAAAATGAGGTGAAGATCAAGGCATATTCTGTGGAACAGTCCAGTGAAGTGATTGCCAGTGAAGGAAGTTTCTTCATGAAGAGGGTTCTTATCAAGTAAGGAAGCCTCCGCAAATTGAAACAATTTATGATAGTTGTAAATACTTTATGCCACCCAATCACACAAATTGCAGATACACTTCCAGGAGCACCACTGATGGCTCCCTGTCGTTCATTGTCAAGATCAATGCCAACCCAAAGGGACGTAATCCCAAGGACAGGGACGTGTATGAGGAGAAAATCCCATCAATTTCCAATCTACTGCTCAAGTGTGCCGGAAATATCAAATTTGTCCCGGAGTGAGTCGCCCGAGGGAGTGTTTAATTGGGTGAAGACTCAGTACAATTCCCCTTTTTCAGCTTGATTTCCATCACTCAGGAACCCAGGGAGGTGTTCGTCTTTGAGGACATCACAGCCAACGGCTATCACGCAGAGTACATCAAGTCTGGATTGAATTTGGAGCAGAGCAAGATTTCTCTGCAGAAATTGGCCTTCTTCCATGCCGCCTCCGCCGTGGCCATTGCCAACGATAAGGATGCTTTTGACGGATACACCGTCGGAGCTCTGACGCGCGATACTGGCAAATTTTATCAAGACATTCTCAAGAAGATCACTCATCAATCGAATCCACTCCAGATTGACGGTGTGATATTTGATAAATTGAAGGCATTGAACATGAAAATTGTCTCGAAAGCCGTTGAGGATTACACAAGAGTCACACCATTCCGTGTCCTCAATCACGGAGATTTCTGGACCAGGAATATCTTCTTTAAATATGAAGATAGCTCACTGGTGGACGCATTATTTGTGGGCTTCCAGAGCGCCGTTGTGGGTTCACCACTCATTGATTTACTGTATTTCCTCAACACTTCTGTGGAATACAAGACTCTGATAGAGTCACGCGATCACTTGATTTACGCTTATCATGAGACACTCAAATTTGTCCTCGAGAAACTCAACTACAAGGGACACATTCCCACGCTCAATGAGATTCAAGTGGACATCCTGAAGAACTGTGCTCTGGGTAAAATGAAATTCATCCACTTATCCTATCATTTTACAGCCCTAACTTGATTTTATCCACCCACAGAACTGATCTATCTTCTCGCCATCGCCCCTATTCTTCGTGCTAACACGAACATTGTTCTTCCACGTGATCAGGACACCGATGTTGCTGTTGTTTCCGAGAAGGAACTTGTGGAAATCTACACAGGCATTAAGAAAGACGTCACTACTCTTCTCTACGCCTTCAATGACAACGGACGCCTCGACTGGGCCTTCTCCGAGGGCAAGATTAAAGGTTTAATTGGTAAATTTCAGAACTAATCCACCCCTCTTTCGGCCCGCACACATTCCCTCGGCATTCCCAATCGTAATACTTATGTGAAGACAGAGAGATATGTAACAGAAATAAATGAATGGTGTGGCAAAATCAATATCTTATCATCAGTCTTTCGCCTCTCTTAATCGCCAAAAATCTCTCTCTAAAGCAAATTTATATACTCACTTTTGACAAACTCCAAATCACTTATAGGTATTTTAGTGAGAAATTTGTATTTGTTCGTCTCCACATTGGCGGCAATGTTATAGTTGATTCTGTTGATAAGTGGAAATTGCAATAAACAATCACATGTGCATCCCATATGCCACTCTTCCCATTCATACTCACATATTTGGCTTCCGAACGGTGCCACTTCGTCGCTTAATACTCGTCAAGATGATCAGATCGCTAAAGAGAAACAGTCCGCGCTCCTTTCGCGCCGATTGCCCAGAAAAAATGGTCACCAGATCGAAGGCAATGAAGGATCTATCGGCGGTAACAAGATTAGACACCCCTTCAATGGCACTCTCAATCTCCCTCAGCACTGCTTCGCGTTGTCCACTCTGCAGAGCCTCACGCTCCTTGCAATTGATGTGCAGCAGAATCCTGTGAACAGTCTTGTTGGCCTCCTGAAGGAGAGTTTGGTCCGGATGCTCTGCATCGGTGTGCTTAATCAGACGTGACAGGATCAATTCGTAGCTATAGGGGACAATTGACTTCAATACAAACATCAAATCAGCGGATAAATCAATCACAATTTCTTACTTGGGAAACTTCTGGATAGGTTTGATGAGCAAATTGTCTAGTGGCAGCTTTCCCTTGTGCTCTTTGGCCTGCACTTCCAGAAATCTAGCAAAGGATGGTTGCGTGGAACAGCATCCCCTAATCGAATCCCTCGCTTTGCTCAGATTATTGACGAAGTTGGAGTAAATTTCCAGCACAGCTCCACAAGAAAACTGCGAAACACCATCAAATATAATCATATATCAATGAATAATAGCATGAATGAACTCACAACATTGTTAAAAGCATCCCCAATGATTTGACTTGAATTCCATACATCGAGACGTTTCTTCAGCTCCTCGAGAAAGCCCTCGTGAATGTTTAGAATCGATGGCACCATGTAAAATATGTCGTCGACAATTTGAGTGTCAATCGCCACTTCACAGTCGCTGCTTTTCAGGGGGTTCATGTACTTGTGCACAATGGTCTGGAGAGACTCCACATAGGACTGCTCCGTGTTGTACAATTCGATGACAATATGGGTTCTCGTGTCCTGAAAAGGTGGAGAAAAAACATTCACCAGAAGCTCTATTTGATGGGAAAACGTAATATTTTTATCCTCCCAGCAAACTCACACTCTCAGCAATGGTCTGATAAAAGTTATTGGACAATGTGGAGGCTCTGCGGGCTTCCTCGGGGTCCTCTTCGGAGTCTGAACTAGTGCCATACATCTTGAGCATGTATTTGGTTCTTGAAGAATTTGTGTCGTCACACTTGTTACTGTTCACTTGAGCCATTGTGACAGGCCGAAAATTGCAAATTTCCACCTCAAGAATGCATGGAAAATTCGTAGAAAATCACAAAATGGCACATCCCAGTGCAAAAAAACAACACGGGATTTCCGCCACAAGCACGTCAATTAGGCCGAAAAGAACTTCCCACCCAGAATGGCTGTTTTCCACCCAACACACTGTGCGACTTTTCCCCAAAAACTTCCCAACCGCACTATTTTCCTCCGCCACACACTCACAATTCAGTCTCGCTACTCTCTCTCACTCTCACCAACAATGTATTCTTGCTTAATATTTGGGAATAAAACAATTGACTATATTGAAAGCTTCTCACAAACATATCTCAGCTTTTTCCTTTCTCACAATCAACCTCATCGGGCCTCTCTATAAATACGAAGAAAGATGCGCATATGATGAAAATTCTATTTACTATTACGGACGCGCGAGAGAGAAACACACAGAGCGAATTGGATGAATGGGGAAAGAAAAGGGAGTCTCACACATTTGGGACTATATCCACGGTTTTTGCTTTGGAAAATGACCGAAAAATGATTAAAGTGATTATTGTATGTGGAAGAGAGTGCTATAAATAATACTGCGTCGTTGGAAAATTGTCGATGAGGTAAAGGATGATTGGGGAAAAACAATACTCATGCGTATGGAAATGGAAATCTCACACATTTTCATCCGCAAGCAATAAATTCTCCACACAGGGCCACCCGCAAGAGCTGTCCCACTGCCAAAATGGGAAATATCGCACTCCTGATCGTCTCAGGAGCACCTTGTCAGGAATGTGTAGGCACTTCCGAATGTTTATTCACCCGCAGAGCGATGACTGTCGTCACCCAAATTAATCAACCGAGGAAGCATCTGACTGAGATGATGGCCGGATAAACATAGCCAGAGAAACTTAGTTTTCCAACCACAGAAGGGAATAATGTGCACACTTACCATGTGCTGCAGGATGGAGGCGTGAGGCGACAGGGATGGCATTATGTCTGCAGAATGGAGCTGTTCAGTGGAGCTCTGGTCACACGAGGACGCCTGGTGGAGGAGATCCATGAGTAATCCCTTGTTAATGGCACTTGAGTGATCGTTGCTGTTCCTCTGAGGCGGGAAATCCTTGGTGTAGGACGAGCAGAGTGAGTCCATTGAGGTGTTCTTAGTGAGTATTTGTCGGCAGTCGCAGGATTTGTTGTTGTTCAGATAATTCATGGATTTTTCACTAGGATGAGTATTCACTTTACGATCAGTCTCGCCGCTATCATCAGAAGGGAAGTTCCTGTAAAGAAAAGCACAATCAATTCACTGTCAATGCACATCATCCACAGAACTTACACATTGTTGAGGCTCAAAGCCAGATGATCATGGTAGACTTTCACCGGTTTCTTCAGTTCAGCTTCCAGCATTTGTCCATAGGGTCCTCGAATGGATCTCAGAGGACGCTTCGAGAATTGTCTGCCATTGCTCACAAGTGCATCTCTTCCTGCCTTCGCGGTAGATAGTTCTTCGGAGAAACTCTCATAGCATCCCTCTGACCATACGGGATCATCAAACGAAAACTCTGGCGTCCTCTGACACGACAGAGTCTCACAACTGGCAATCTTCTCCTCCTTGGTGAGTCCCTCAAGCGTGCTGCTGGACTCATGAATGTCCAATTTCTCCCGGATCGGCCACTGGATGTAGATCCCCTTTCGCCTCCGGGATTTGTCGGTCGTTTTGCGTGTCACGGACGATAGAAGGGCATCCGCTGAGGAGAAGGAAACACTGCGATCGAAGTCAGCGTGTCTCTTCCGCACTTCTTGAGCGTCTGAAGGCGGAAAATCAGGCAGTTTCGGCAGTTCTGGCACATTTATGGCTTTCTCTTCGACAACTTCCGGCTCAGGGGACTTCTGCGCTCCCTCGCCCTGAGAGATGCACTCGATCACGCACACTGGCAGCGTTTCGTTGTACTCCCGGAGCTGCTCGCAGGCTTCCTCGGGTTCGGAGATATTGAGATGGGTGGTGGACGTGAACACGGGCTGAATTGTGATCTCTGTCACCGCACTGGTCGAGGGCACTTCTGCCGGTGGCTCCACATCTTCGCTAATTTCCGAGACTTCCGACTTGGCGGAGTCATCGGACACTTCACTGCTCTTGCGCTTCGACAGCGATTTACTCTTGATCTTCCTGGGCGGCGGAACTGGTGTGGCCGTGATCAGAGGCGTGGATTCCTTCAGCAATTCCGTGATCTGCTTCAGGCGCTCCGATCGCTGCTGCTGCGGCTTGTCTGACGGCGCCCCAGCATCCGGCAAGTCACTCTTCTCACTGGGCTGCTCCATCGTGAACCTGTGCGGCGGGAGAGAAGAGGCCGTTCATTCATGCTTCTGCCCACGCCTCAGAGTGTGTCGCTCGTCCACCCCTCGCGCCCCACAGCCCGCTCCATTGGACATTTCTAAAATTATAAATTACCTTGCGCTATTGGCGCTATCGATAAAAATAAATTCTCTTCTAAGTGCCCACTTTTCAAACTCGCGACTCCCCCCAACTCGCATTTGCATTTCTCTCGCGTTCACACGCACTCACCATGCTGATTGCTACTGTGCTCTCACGCCACGACACCTTATCGACACTTTTCTCAGCTTAAGCACGCACTTCCACGCTTAATTTACATAATTCTCACGATATTTTTGATACAAATACGATTTTCATGCTATTTTGAATGAATGCGATTCTGGATTCTCTACTGTGGATCGGCATGTGACGAAAATAATTTCACCACTCCAATTCGCTTCGCACTTCTCGCTCTGCATTTTAAAATCACGGCAGTTGGGCATTAAACTTTTGATCGGATCTTTTCAGAAGAATTCCTTGCCTAAAACCAGTGTTAAAATTCCATGCGTAATGACAAATCCATGATAACAATGTATTTTCATTTACTACAATAAGATCTATGCATGTATATAATATTTCAATACTTGAATATTCTAGGGTAGTTAGTAATGATCACAATGACTCGCGCAATGTTGAGGGACTTTTCGTGTCTCCTCGAATAAAATAAAGGAAAATAATAACAAAAGATTAGGATGAACTCTTTTGCTGCCTCAGCAAATCGTCTATCTGCACTTTATACATCTCCTTTACGTCCTGCAAATCCAGGCGCAACTCTTGGGCTTCTTCTTCCTTCTCTCCGTACATCTCAAGGAGGGCATCATACTGTGTCCGCAACTCCACGAAACGCTCTTCCATGCTCCTTGTGTTCTCCAGCTGGGATTCCATCTATAATATTTAGAAGAACTATTAGTGGAAGCTTATAGATCGGCCAAGAGTGTCTTACATTCTCAATTTGAACAGTCATATCAGAGATTTCGTTGATCAATTCGCCCTTCTCGGTTTGGGAACGGGACAGTTCCCACTGCAGCTGATACAATTCCCCATCCCTCTGCTTCAGCGTGGACTGGAGGTTCTCCAGCACGGAAGTGTGTCCTCCCAGAGTGTAAACTCCACCTCCGTAGAATGATCCTCCGGATGGACGACCAGCGTTGGACATGCACTCCACATCTTCCTGGAATTGCCAGGCGTTGCTGCTCACGGACTCGTCCAGAGACACCCTCTCAAGGCTCAGGGCTGGAGACGTCTGTCCGCCGAGCTCATGGCGAGTGGTTGAATGCTCTGCATCAGGCACATCATCCTTGGCCATCAGTTGCTTCGTCTGCAATTCCTGCATTAGTTTATTCACTCTCCTCTTCTCCACCTGAAGATTCTCCCTCTCAGTCTGTAGTTGCCTCTCCATCACGCTGTTGTTCTCCCTCAGAGACTCTGAGTCCTTCTCAAGACTCTGCACTCTCCGTGTCAGCTCGCTCACCTTCAGCGCATTGGCAATCTCCTTCTCCTCTAGAGTCGTACTCACTCGACTAGACTCCAGAAGACTCGCAGACAGTTGCTCCTCCAGTCTCTTCACAGTTGCCCTGAGTCTGGTGGTCTCTTCCGTCGAAGTAGTCTCAATGTTCTGCAGAGTCTCCAGTTTCTCCAACAATTTCTGCTCCTGCCTCTCCCACGTGGCCGTGCGAGTGTTAAGAGTCTTCTGCAGAGACTCGAGCTGCTGCACCAGCGGAATTGTGGCAGTCGACAGCGCCTGAGCCTGCTCTTCAGCTCGCCGATCAGACTCTTCAAGACGTCGCATAAGATCTGTGTTCTCCTCTCGCAATTTCTGCTCCCTCTGCGTATTCGCCGCATCCGCTAGCCGCAACTTCTCCCTCAAATCCTCCAATTCCCTCACCATCTGATTGTTCTGTGACTGCTGAAGTTGCTTCTCTGATGTCAGAGTCTCCAAACTCTCTGTTTTTCGTTTGAGTTCAGAAAATGCACTCCTCTTCTCTGTCAGCTCCGTCTTGGCAGCCTCAAGGGACGTCTGGACAGTCTTCAGTTTCTGCGTTGTGTCATCCAATTCACTCTTCAATTGTCCATTCTCCTTCTCAAGCTTTCTCTTTTCGGAAGACAATCGATGCACCGCCTCAATTTGGGATCTCTCCACTTCCTCCTTGGCTGACAGAGACTTCTTAAGTCTCTCAAGCTCCTCCTGATGTTCCTCAATTTGCTCTTTCTGATTCTTCACCAATTCATCCATTTCCTTCTCCTTTGCCCTCAGTTTTTTGGTAATGTTGGAATGCTGTAAGATCTGCCTGGATAACTTCTCTCCCTCCACCTTTAACTCATCAGCAATTGACTCCTTCTCAGCAATTCTCTTCTCCGCCTCTGCCTTTGGGATGCAACCGCCGAGATCTTGCTTCAGGCCCTTCACTTGATCCCTGAGAGTGTCTCTCTCCCGAATAGACTGCTGAAATTTCTTTTCCAAGGCCGACAAACGCTGCGTGTACTCCTCAGTGACATTGCTGATGTCTACACTGTCAGGCCTGTACTGACTTTTGCTTGTCTGCGCCAGGATCTCAGCGTTCTTCTCTTGAAGTTCAGCATTTTGTCGTCCAAGCTCCACCAATTTATACTCCCTCTTTTCCAGCAATTCACTCAATTCGCTGACTCTCCGCTGCAATTTCTCAATTTCCGAGGGATTTGTCAATTCGTCACTGCCCACGCTCTGGGATGACGCTGCTGATGCTTCCCTGCAGTGGCCTTTAATTTTCACGCCCGCGAAATCCGTGTGGTACTTCACAACCGTGTCCTTCATAGGACTCGCTCGATAGACGCTGTTTGTGCTACTCGAATCCCCATTTGGATTCGAAATGATTTCAATATCTGACGACGTTGTGGTCTCCACTTCGTCACCTGACGTGTGTCCAGATGTCTGATCTCCGGGCAATTTCACCAATTCTCCCTTCCCGTCTGAACTGTTAGATGACTGTCTCGAAGAGGATTTCCTGGAAGGCTCAGACATACTCTTCTGCGTCATCGGCAGTACTTCTTCGAAGCTCTGTGTAGAGTCTGAGAACTCCGTTTGCATCTCATAATTCTCAATTGCTGCGTCCTCGAGAGCCGTGCTCACCAGACTAGTCGAGGCCTTCTCCTCACCCAATGTGACTGTCTGCTCTGATTCATTGGAGTCCTCTGTGTCACAAGTACTCCCCTCCGACAACATTAGCTTGCTGCTTGTGGACGACAGACTGAGATGAAAACTCTGGCGGCTTGGAGGAACGGTGATAATGGCCGAATCTGTCTTGTCTGTGGGCTCCAAAACCGTCACAGCCAGACTATCTGACACAGTGTTATAGGACATCGAGTCCTCATCCACGCTCACCTCTTCTTCACTCACATCTGTACCCTCCACTGGGATTATCTTGAGAACACTCTCTCGGATCTCAGAACTCGGCGTTGTGACATTCGATGCCACGACAAATATCGAAGAAGCTTCACTCGGAGTGTCCATTCCCAGCACTTCCACCGAATCCGACTGTCCCATAGTGTTTCCAGTTGATCCTGGAGAGCTGATCAGTTCCACCGAGTCAGAACTGCCACCATCCCGACTGATCACACCAATTTCACTCTCCGACGTGTGTTCATCTCTTAGTGGAAATTTATGAGTACTCGTCGGTGGTGTGGTCACCGTTTCTTGCACCTCCTGGCCTGGTGCATCGAAAAATGACCCACTGAAGGAGCCCCAAAAACTCGCGGAATCCTTAACATTGCCAATGGAAGGCGTTGTAGGGGCGGTTCTGCTCGCCCCCTCGCCCTTGCCACCCGCCGTCTTCTTCCCTTTGTCGCTAAGCACCAGCGGAGAGGAGGCTTTAGGCTTGTCCGTCGTCAATTCCGCTCTGACGTCGTCATCCTTGATATCCAGTGCTTTGTCAATCTGCTTCTGGGCCTCCTTCAGGGCCGTCTTGGCCAGATTGGCCAGGCCCGCGGTGTCAAACCAACTCATTGTCTCAGCCACGGTTACCCAAAGGCGTCATGCATGGCCTGGAAAAGCCAGGAAAGGGGGTCAGTTGTTGATGACATCCAACTCGACAGGAGACACCTCACCTGGTGGAAAATGATTCCGGCAGCGGGATTTCCACTGCCACTGCACTTTACATGCACACCTTACACACTTTGATGTGGAATTCCACCTATTTTCGCAATTTCACACCCAGATTCACCAAAAAAAAGAGAAATATTCCAAGGAAAAATGTAATGACGGAATCACTCTCAAATTCTGCCGCACGGTGGCGCTTCCAGCTGATAATATTTTTTCACTAAAAGTCGACCAAAAGTGTATTTTTCATTAAATGTTGAGAGATTTATCAATGAAAATATATTAAAAATTTGTATGACATTCAAATATTACCATTTGTATAATGATTTAATGTAAAAATTAATTACAGCGAGTAAAAACTGAAAAAACCGCAATCGGATCATAAGTTAACAGATTGGCCACCGGGGCACTGCTCCCAGTTGGGAAGCACAATTGACAGCGGTCACAAAAAAACAAAAATAACCCCAAACTCTCGAGGAAAAAATTGTGGCAGAGAAGGAAAATTTCACAACAGGGAAAGCTAATCTGGAAAAATCAGTAAAATACTTGTGGTAGAAGTGATCCGAAGTGTAGGGACGGTTATGGTGTGAAGGGGAGGCAGTATTTGGTAAGATTTCGCCATTTTCCCGCTTCCAGAAAACTTTCAGTTTTGTTGGGCGCTTCTCTAGAATTTTGACTCATTCACCTTTGTCTCACATGCTTGTTTTAGGACAATATGAGTGAAAATGACTTTCCGCAGTTCCGGGAAATAAGCGATGAGCTGGATTCTCAATCACTTCCGCGAGTGTTCAAGCGCGAAAAGTCTGTTGAGTTCAACGATGGGACGCTATCCGGAGAGGAGGATTTTCTTGGCTTTGTGGACACGGAGAGTGACGGGATGGTTTTCAGACAGTCATCCACGTTTTCTGCGCTACCCTCCTTGAGTTCCAGCAATTCCGCGACACTTTCGTGTACTTATGAGCACGAGATGGACACAGTGGAAGTTGCTTCCTCAGCCAGTGATATCGGATCCGCCATCTTTGACCATGACTACATCCCAGCCCAAGACTTCCAGGAGAATATTCAGCAGGCCATGAGGCGGTCAGACTCCAGCGACGACCAAGTAATTAGACAACTTCTCTATGACGAGGATGGAATACAATTTAACGTACAGGACATCGAGGGGCGATTCAAGCTGCTCCACAACATCTTTAGCTCAATACTCAGCAGTCGATGCGCTGAGTTGGCTGATCAGACATCCATCACAGACTTCCTGAACAAACTGTGTGATCAAACGGAGTCCATGAAGCAGAAGTTTTCATACAATGAAGCTCAAATTCCGGACAATGACTCAGGAAGGGCTTCTAAAACGCCCCCATCAGCAAGAGAATCACCAGCTCCTGATGTGATTGAACTTGAGAAGGCTTCCGGGATTGCTGACAAAGCACTGTCACCGCTAAGCGTTGAGACATCTGATATAGAGCCATCAGTTGAGCTTGCAAGCGTGGAGGAAGAGCAGCAGCTTGTGGCCACATGCTTGGATGAGAAATCTATGGAGGAATACTCAGAGATGATCTCAAAAGTTGACGCACTCTCCAAAATTGGCTCGGACGCGGCTAATTCTATGGACGAGCTGAAGAAGACTTTGCCATTGTCTGTGGATTCTGAGACTCTCGCGGCATCCAGTGAGATTCTCAAGAGGAAAATCCACGAAATTCAGCATGAGTTGAAAAATCTCATCAGTAATCTTGAGCTTCGAGGCGAGGTGGGAATTCAAACGGAGGTTCTTGAAATATCAGGCGTTGAAGTGGGCGTTCAAACATGTGAGCCTGAGCAGACTGAGGAACCCTTGGAGGAACCTGATGCAGGAAATTCGCCGGAGACGAAGGAGGAAGCTTTCAGTCAAATTCAAGAAGAGGCAGATGATACTGCACAGAAAGTATTATCAGATATTGAGCCCTCGAAAGAGGAAAGATCCGTTGAGATGCCATCAGGGGTAGAGCAACAGATCGGAGAGTCACTGAACAAGGATTTGGATCCAGAAGGTTTACTGGTTATTTCCAAAGTCGAGAGTACTGAGATCGAAAATGAGCGTATTAAGAGAAAATTGTTAGACATGGACTCATCATCGTCTGATGAGATTCCCTCTGACGATGACGATGAGGATTTCAACATTCGAACGCTCAAGAGAAGGAAGAGATCAAACAAGAAGAGCCAGGAGATGGTGGAAGAAAAAGTCCCTGATATTGAGTTGAATGAGGCGGAAGAAAAGACTCCTGCTGAGGAAGAGGATTTCATGTTTGACTTGTTCAATTACATCTTCCCAGAGGAGAGTTCAGATGAGGAGCAGAAGGAGTTGAAAGATATTCCCAAAGAATCCAAGCCTTTGAAGGAAATCCCTGAAGATGTAGAAACACCTAAGAAAGAACCGGAAAGCCAAGAGATGCTGGATGAAGAGATTCTGGAAAATATTCCAGCGGAAATGATTGAGAAAGTTGTGGCAGAAGATAATGAGTACATGGAAAACATTTGTATGGAGTTCGATGATGCGGTTATGGACACACAAGGAGAAATTGACAATACAGATGTGACAAGCAATGAGCAGCCAACGGTGCCTGCAGAGAATGATGTCGAGATCAAGACTCAGAAGGAGGAGGAGAAAACAGGTGATGATTATATCATGTCTGATGATTCTGAAGACAGCGATGATGACAGGGAAATCTCGACAGCTCTCGAGCCTGTTGTGAATCTTGAAATGTTGGATAAGAAGTCATTGGATGGTGATTCCGATGATCAACACGATAAGGAAATCGAAAAGCTTCTGGACTTTACATCACTGGAGCGTCGTCGCTATGAATCTACAAAAACTGGTGACAGCAAAGAGATTGATAAGCCAAGGAAAACTGAAAAGAAAAAGGATAAACTCTTGGACATTCTGCAGGAAGTGAAGGCTGGAGATGTGTCTGACTCGAGTTCGGAGTCGTCTGAAGACGAATTGACTGAAGAACAGTTCCTGGAGCAGTGCAATATGAACACGAAGCACAGACTGCTGAACTTCTCGAGTGATGAATCCGAGGAGGAGTTGGACACATCCCCAATGAACAAATTGCATAGGAAGAAATCGGATGATGATGATGATGCCGATAGCATGAATAGTGATGCATCGGCGATTGACGATTTTCTGATGAATATCGTACAGAAGGAGATTGCTGATGATGTTGGTGGAGAGAAGATGAACGATGAAGGAGAGTCGAACAAGGAGAATACTCGGATGGAGAATGAATTGCCTGATGTGTCTAAGAGTGTTGGTGTTTCAGAGGAGAAGGAGGTTCCGGAGAAAGCAGTTGAAATTCCGATGATTAGCGGAACTCCGGATAATATTCAGATGATTGAGGATCAAGAGGTGCCTAAGAAGGATCAAGAGAATGAAGCAAGGAAGGAGGACATGTCGATCGACAGAGTGGCTGAAAAATCTAAGGCTTTGAAAGTGTCTAGTGTTGAGAAGATGATCTTGAGTGATAAGATTTTCGAGGGCATTGAAGTGAGGAAGGATTTGGTGAAGGACAAAATCTCAAGAAGTTTGAGAATCCTCTCTAGCGATGATGAGTCCGAGAAGGAGTCGCGAAGTCAAGGTGAGGATGGTGCAAATGACTGTCTAGATACTTCAATGTTTCACAAGAAGGATGATAAGAAATCCAGTGAGGAAATCAGTCGAATGCTGGCCAAATTCCAAAATCGAACCAATAGCAGTGGCCAGTCGAAGGATACAACGCGGGGACTTCCTTCTGAGACCATCAGTCTGAGTTCAGACAGTGATGTGGACGAAGTGGTTGAGGAAGAGGTGGAAAAAGAGGCGCCAAGGCGAAATATCCGTGCGATGCTGAGTGATGATCAACTGGAAGCAGAGACAAAGAAAGCTCAACGCGAAGAGAGGGACAGAATCTCTAGACTCGAGCGCAGGACTGACTCTCTGAGCCAACACTTGAGTCAATCGCAGAGCTTGAGCCAAGAAGAAACTAATATTGTTCTGGATTACAATTCGAAAACAAAGCAGTTTGTCTCTGTTCATCCGGACGTGGTGAAGTATCTGAAACCTCACCAGATTGACGGTGTGAAGTTCATGTACGATCAAGTATATGGAGATGTGAATTTGATTCATCAGTATGACGGAAGCGGATGTATTCTTGCCCATTGTATGGGCCTGGGAAAGACACTACAGCTGATTGCTCTTCTCCATACAGTGATTCGCTATCCTGAGTTGAAGACCAACAGAATCCTCGTCATCTGTCCAAAGACGACTATCATGAACTGGTTCGATGAGATCAAAAAATGGTTGGAGCCCGTTCGCGGAGATATTAGCATGAAGGTGTTTCACTTTCCGGACAACTCGTGAGTTATGCTTTTTTATTCTTATTTCTGGACATTGTGTGCAGTATTCTGCCTTTATTTATAGGGATATCCAAGGCAAATTAAAGATATTGCGAGAGTGGCACAAGTCTGGAGAGAAGGGCTATCGCACAGCTGGCTGTTTGTTGATTGGCTACGAGGCTTTTAGGGTGTTGGTCCTGAAGCAGAGCAGAAAGCAACAGTCTCTCTACACTCAGCAGGAGACTTCTCTCATCAAGAAGCAGATTACTGAGACACTTTTGCAGCCCGGAGCAGATCTGGTGATCTGTGATGAAGGCCACATGATCAAAAACCGTAAGTCTGCCATCAATCGAGCTGTTTCCAAGATACGGACAAAGCGAAGGATCATTCTCACAGGAACTCCGATACAGAACAACCTGAAAGAATGTGAGTATATGCAAAATAATGTTTGCTCCAGAAGAAGTGAAATAATAAGTAAATAAATGTCTTTTTCAGATTACTGTATGGTGGACTTTATTAAGCCAAACTTCCTGGGAACTGAGAGAGAGTTTGCAAATATGTATACGAATCCGATTAGGAGCGGTCAACACAAGGACTCCACGAAGCAAGAGATCAAGTGTATGAAGCAACGATCATATGTGCTGCACAAGAAACTCTCGAAGTTTGTTCAGCGACGCGAGGCCGCTGTACTTAAGCAGTTTCTGCCTGAGAAGTATGAGTATGTGCTCTTTATTCCCATGACTGAAGTGCAGGAGCGACTCTATGAATTCTTCCTGACAAACAACCCTACGAAAGAGATTAGCGGTAAATCCTTGATTCCTGATTATACGGCTCTGCGAAAAATCTGGACACATCCAAAGGTGCTGGAGAATGCTTATGATAATGCCATTTTGGCCAAAGAGAAGAAGGACAGAGCTCGAGCTAGACTGCATCCAGAGTCCGATGACGAGGTGCCTGATGATGTGCTGGATAAGCAAGTTGGAGCGATGTCGGTGATGAGTGATTGGTGGAGAGCACATTTGAGCAGTGAGGACTTGGAATCAATCCTGCCGAGCAACAAGTTGAAGCTGATCTTCGAGATATTGAAGTTGTGTCAGGCGAATGGTGAGAAATGTCTCATTTTTTCGGCCTTCGTTGCCGTCCTGAACGTCGTGGAGTATTTCATGCGGAAGATTAGTAATAAGAATGAGAATTCTGCGAAATACGGACTTACGGAATATGATGGACCCTGGGAACATGGCAGGGATTTCTATCGGTTGGACGGAAAGACACCTAAGCACCTGCGCCACTTAATGGTGAATAGTTTTAATGACATGAATAACAAGAGGATGCGCTGTTTCTTAATTTCCGCCAAGGCTGGTGGGCAGGGAATCAATCTCACTGCTGCCAATCGTGTCATCATATTGGACACCTCATGGAACCCGTCGAATGATCAACAGAACATCTTCAGAATCTACCGCCTGGGACAGCACAGGAAGTGTTTCGTGTACCGCCTGTTGGCGATGGGAACTATGGAGGAGAAAGTGTATTCCCGATCTGTTACGAAGCAGGCGATGAGCTTCCGTGTTGTGGATGAACAGCAAATTGATCGACACTACAACATGGCAGAATTGGCTGAGTTATACACGTAAGAGGACTAAAAGTCTGCAGTTTAGGGATTGGGATAAACATTTTTCTTTTCTTTTAATTTCCAGTCTCACAAAGACGGATATGAGCCAGCGTCCAACTCCCAACATGCCCACGGATTATCTGCTGAGGAATTTGCTTCATAATCATGCGAATCTTGTGTACAAGTATCATGAGCATGATTCTCTGCTGGAGAACAAGCTAGAGCAGGACTTAAGTGAGGCGGACAAGAAGGAGGCTTGGGATGCCTATGAGAATGACTTAAAGGCGCAAAGATGTGAGTTGAAATTCGTGAAGTCTAAGCCTCTTTATGCTAATGCTAAACCCATTTTGCTTAATAATGACTTGCCAAAGCAGTAGTTATGGGAAATAATGATGGTAAATATGCACATAATTGCAATTACAGATGATCCTTTGAAGTAATCCTTGTTTTGTCCAATTTCCTATTCCAGTTATCACGATTCCCACGTCCTTAATTCATGACTCACGCACACTCGGAATGGATTTCATGGTTTCGGTTTTTATATAAGCATTAAATGCAACTACTTCTCATCCCTTATTTCTTTTCTTCAGTCACATTACAGGTGTTAATTAATGAATTCTAAAATGACTTTACAAATTATTTAGCCGGCGTCTTTGATCAAAGCGCTCTCAATGCTAGCCTTCTGGGGCTTAACTATTTCGGAAGCAGCGGCAACTCCAATCTATCTTCTATGAATTACGGTGCGGGCTTACCTGGTCGCAACTACAACTACAATTCGTCCATGTCCCTCCTCAATCAGCTCTCATATCAGTCGGGCATGGGTCTTAATCAGGATCCGATGATGCTGATGAACCAGCTGTATCAGTCCTACCCAATGGGAATGGGCAGTTCCGGCATGCAGAGTCCCTATATGGGATACATGAACCAGAATTCTTACTACGGCGGTGGAATGTATCCCAGCACGTCGCTCAGCTCTGCGTCAAATCTGGGGCAGCAATACAAGAATCTGCAGAATTTGGCGGAGATGGCAATGATGCCAGATGCGAATTTGCTACCAAGATCACAGAGTGTGAGTCCATCAGCGGCCAGTGCGGCACTGGGAGCGTCAATTGGAACGACACAGGCCACATCGACGACAACAATGTCGCATCTGCAGAGGAATACGCCGAGTCGATCGATGTGGAACCTCATGAGCACTCCGAGCTATTACACTCCAGGCTTGGCCACGTCCACTGTGCAATCCAGTACATCCAATGTCGCCAAAACCACTCCGTCGACTAGCACAATGATCTCCTCTACTGCGCATACCGCAGCACTCTCGGGAGTTCCGTCTCAAGTAAGGACAAAGACACCGTTGCCCCACAAATCACCTCACGTGGGCATTCACACATCCGTGATCACGCCAACGTCTGCAAGCGCTGGACCTCCATTGCCTCTGGGGGCATTTACGGGTGGTGAGAGACCAACGAGCAGTTCAAGTCCGCAACCTCATGTCATTATGAAGTCATCAAGCACAGCGGTGGCGCAGAAGGACAAGGAGAGTCCGGCTGTCTCAAAGGTCACGAACATGGGCATAGTTTATCCAACTGTGGAGCAACGAGAGAGTCTGGTGCCTAGCTTATCATCTCTCTCGCCGGCAACTATAACCAAAATACCCACCACGAAAGCACCAAACACTTCAGTTGTGATGCAGAAGGATCCCAAAGCAGCACCCACATTGTCCTCCTTGCTGGGCATCAACACCGTCCTGCAGAACGTCACAGTGACCCCATCAACGAAGGTGACAAAAGCATCCAGTACCACCTTGACTCCAATTGTTACTACAACCGTGAAGTCAGGAGCGAAGATTCTGCCTGGAAATCCGCCCAAGACTCCCATTGTTGCGTCTGCAAAGAAAACCTTCACGAGTCCCGCCGAGATGGTACAGAATCTACATAATGTCACTGTCAAGCCGACCAGTGCGGCAGCTCAGCCCGCGAAACGGCAGGCTTTTGTCTACACGGCCAAGGGAAAAAAACCCATTCAAATCAATCAGCGTGTTGTTGTGGGCAACCCAGGAAACCACACGAGTATCACTCCCATCACGAGAGCGTCCACAGTGAGAGCAACAACTGTGAGTCCGGCCACAATTGCCAGGCCCGTTGTGAGTCAGGTTGTGTCTCAGGCGAAGAGTCAGGGTGCTCATCTGACGAGGATTTCAAGACTAGTGCCATCGACAATAACCACTCCTGCGTCAGGTGTTCAGCAGCTGACGAGGGTGCAGAATGTTGCTGGAAATGAGCGAATGATCGTGACGAAGAAGTCCTCAGTGCCTCATATAACAGTCGTGAGGCCGGCGAACAAGGCAGTAATGCCGATTAAGAGGTAAATTTATTGAATTTTGTGGTTTTCTGGTGAATTCATTACATAATTTTTCTCATTTCTAGGGTGTCAGCTTCTGGTGTTCCGGTGACTCTGCCTGGTCTGACGAAAGTCAGTCAATTAACGCCGTTGAAGCGACAAGCAACCACTCCCATTTCGGAGCTGATAGCCAATTCCAAGAGCATCTCGATAACACAGGTGAAGAAACCAAATTTGGGGATGACTCCCAAGCCACCGCTCGTTCCACAGAGCACAGCCACACTGCAGAAGATCACGCTTCCTGTGCGGCGATCAGTCAACAAAGTCCCACCGACAGTTCTCAATAAAGGCAAGAAAAATTAGTGCAATTGAAGATGTACTCGGCTGGATCTTAATGTCTGTTTTTTGTGCAGATCCTGAAATTGTGGAACTTGATTGAGGAGATAAAGCAGAGAGGAGATCATCTCTCGTTTATGTTTATATTAAATGAATTCCTATTCTATATTTTTCGAGAGCAATATCGGAGTTGAGCTGTAAGAGTGAAATCAACACATGAAATCATATAATTATTTTAGATCACTAGTTTAATGTAAATAATTTATCAATTGAAATAAATAAGACAAGAGGAAATGTTGTGGATTCTTCCGAATGCATGGGTTGGAAAGAGAAAAGATAGATTTGAGTGCAGTAATGGCGATTCCCTTTATTTTTTCGTACAATCATTCAATCTATTGCAAATTACTACAGTGTTTTCACCTCTTCGTAATGGAATTTTAACACGCACAGATATTTTTAGGGTATAAAAAATGCATCGACAATTTTGAGATTAAGAGAAAGTGAATCCTTCGCATGAAACCATCTTACTTATCATCAACATTGTCCAGCATGACAATGTTGGGATGAACGTTCTTCATGGTGTCTTCAGGAGCATTCCACTCGCCGCATGACGACAGAACGTCCGTGTTCTGATTCCGCTCGGATTCCTCTCGCTTTTGGTTGCGTGAATGAAGAAGTGTGTCAGATTCAATGATGAGGATGCAGAGTTTTTGGGTAGAACACACACTTTACTAATGTAACATGGGAAAATTAATTAATTGGTGAAAAAGGATGAGCTTTTCATACCTGTTTGTCAGCATTGGCAAACTTCGTAAACATGTTCGCATAGATTTTCCTCTCTTTCTCATTGGCTTCCCTTAGTTTATGCTTGAGCAGAGTGATTTGATTCTGTGCCGCCTTGTTTGATGGTTCCAATTGCTGAACCTGCAAATTGAGGCACAAAGACTTAATTTTGGGCGTTCATCAGAAATTAGAGTTTGAAAGTTGAACAGTCGATATATTCCACCCTCTGCAAATTCTAATAATAATCACTCCACCAGTCAATGAAATGCCTACTCAAGAAGAGTCTTTGTGTCCAAATCACTCGTTTTATCTGCTGAGCAAAATGTACAAAGTGTATTAGTATCTCGCTAGCCCACTATTTCAGATTGCATGACTGCATTGAAAACAACACACCTGTAATCACAAGCGAATGATTAAATAGGTTAGCTATTCACAAATTGCAAGCCATGAGATGGGCGAGACACGAATTATCATCTCAGCACACTCTATGGAATAAATTGTTTTACGAAGTGGGAAAATTGCATCTAAACTAGATGCTCGGGCTCTAACTTGATGGTATTTCGTTGTGAACCATTGAGTGAAGTGCATCGTTTTCCAAAATAGGATTTACATTCGCAATCAGTCACAACTTCATAATCCCAAGTTATCAAATAGTGCCGACAATATAGGATTATACTATGGAATATTTAGAAAAGTGATATGAATTTTAAAAGTTCAACACAAAATTGCATATGTAAAATATGTACCACAAGTTTAATCTACTTCTCTTTTGCTTAACAATATATTCTCAGGTACTTTACATTCTGCTTGTCATGTGATAGTTACGTGATACAACAAAAATTCATTCCATCTGTCCTTAAAACAACCCCTTAATTGTAGTTCTCAATCGTGGTTCACGGTGAAGATGAATTGCGACATACAATCAAAAAAAAGAAGGGTAGTCAGAAGAAGCCAGGGCAGTCGCAGCAGGTGAAAACTCCCACAGTGTGCATAGTTCCAATTCCTCTGCAAGCCTACCAACCATCCTATGTTCACTCAGGAGATCAGGTAATACATCTCAAGAGCAAATGCAAGATTTCTCATCAATGGTGCAAAGCAAATTAACTACTTTCCAAACAAATAATTCGCGATTCACTCAAGTGATTATTGTGTGTTGGAAATTTTTTTTTTAAAAATCAGTACATTGCGTTCGATAAAAACAATAAGATGTGAGCGGCAATAAAATCTTAAGTATTTGCATTTTAAAAGAAATTTCAGAAAACTGAACTCCATAAGAGCTTTCACATTAGTTTTGGTTGCACAAAATATCTACTCATATTAATAGAAAGTGAAAGAGATTCAAGGATTTCCACACTGAAATAACATCAAAGTGATAAGAATGATAAATTTAGTCCAGTAATCTCGATTCCATTAAAATTATCTGAAGATTTATTCCTCAAACATTTCATGTTCATAAACCTCAGTATTATGACATAGAATACCCGCGAGCAATAACTAGGCTATAAAATTGCATAGTGAGATTTTTTTATCCTTTCTCTTTCATGATGCACTAATAGGTTAGATAAAATTATAATGACGATAATTAACACTTTGCTCTGTGATTCACACCGTGTAAATGGAATGAGTATTTAATTGGCAATTAATCTTTCGTTTCTTACATAAATATGTTATAAGGTATTTGTGAGCACAATAAAATATTTGACAGAAGAATACAGTAATCGATATCAGAATTTAACAGTGCTTTGTAATCTTTTTATCATCTGAACCAAAGAAATGTTTGCAGGCGATCCGTTGAAAACCATTGAATGCAACACACATTCAAGAAAATCGAAAGTTAAAAAAAATTAACACAATTAAGATCACAAACCGCTTTGATTCATTACACCACGTTAAAATCATCAGATATGTTTTCACGATAAAACACTACAATTATTTTTCGCTTGAGATCAGATCATTTCAAAAACGCATAACTACAATGAGAAATTCTGGGAATCAACTAATTAATTTTCTCTATGCAGTTTCAGCACTCATACATTGGATCCAATCAGGAACTGCGGAAGAAGGGAAAACCAACCATGGCTGAAATGAACGGATGTGTGGTTGTGACGCCTTTGCCACCAACTAGCCACACTCTTGATAACGCTGATAACGCCTCTGGCCCTGGGCAGGCGCTCAAGAAGAAGAAACCCGCGATATTCAAACCACACAAGATCAAGAGGAAGAAGAAGAGAAAGAAGATTCAGGCACAAGTCATGGCTCAACTGGAAAGTGATCTGGGCATGGCGTTTAAGGACCTCATGACGAGTCTTGACTATTTCTGGCCCAAGTTGCAGATCACCTTCACCACGGGAACGGCATCGATTGGACACAACATCTTCACCGGAATCGTGCCACTCATGGCAGCTGGGCTGAAGCTGAAGAAGATCCTGTTCTTCATGATGGATCCCATGTTCAGCAGTATGATGTACTCTCTGGGCTATGGAAGCAGCTATCGTCCGAAATTGAAGTCATCCGAGAGTGGGAACGAAGAGGTGCAAGATCAGGAGGCGCAGGACAACAACCAAGACGCCAGCACATATGCAGATCAATCAGATGCGCCAGGATATTCAGAGGAGGGGGATGAAGATGAGGAAGAGGCTGAGGATGACTCTGAAGAGCAAGACGACGAGGACGAAGAAGATGATGAGAAAGAGGAGTACGAGGGTGAAGAGGAGGATTCAGAAGAGGCATCGGACGACAGCGACGTCGTTGACACAGAACCTCTTGATGCAAATGACGATGGGAACATTGATTATCCTTCTAAGGACAGTGCCGAGGTCAATTTGAGGCCCAAAAAGAAGAAAAAGAAATCAGATGGTTTTATGGGTGGACTGGAAGAAATCTGGGATGGTATGGTTGAAGGTTTTGACGATTTGGCAATGACTGATCAGCAGTATAGATCGCATAGATCAGCGCGGAATCTTCCAATTCCAGAGAAGAGAGTGTAAGATTTTTGTAAATAAAACTAGTCTAAATTAAGACAAAACTCACCTCTTGGAAGTCTTTCATCGCCGCTTCTAGATTGCCTAGACTCATGAAGGCCTGCCCTCGTCTGTAGAACGCCTTCACGGAAGTCTGGTCAATCTCGAGGACGGAGTCGCAGGCCTGCTTGACCTCAAACGGATCCTCCAGCTTCTGGTAGCACAGCGCTTTGTTAAGGTACACAGCAGTCTTGAGTGCCTTGGCGTCTTCGGCCGGGCAGTTGGAAAGGTAATCGTTGCTCCTCTTCAGCATCTTAATGGCCACTTGGTATTTCTCCTCCTTGATGTACTTGGCGCCCTTATCCTTAAACAGCTGCGCCTGCTGCAGACTCTCGGCGGTGTCCAGCTTCCACGTGTCCTGAGATCGCTCAAACTCCCTCAGCGTCACCGTGTACTCCACAGTGGCGTTCCCAGGGATGCCAAACTCCTCATTGCCATTGGCCCCGAAGGCAAATTCAGGCCTCAGGATCAGGCGAGAGGTCTCATACTGATGGAACTTCTCCAGAGCGATCTCCACACCTGACACCACACCACAAGTCGCTCCCTCGCCGAGGTCGAACTTCACTTCTCTGTCCTCAAACACGTTGTCGCCATACTTCCCCACCAGACGCACGTGCACGTGGGCAAACTCATTGGGAGTTCTCTTCTTATCGCTCGCCTTCACCACATCACGCAAAATCCCTTTGGTGCGATCCGGACTGAGATCCTCCAGCTCCCAGCTCAGCATCTCCAACTCGAATTTCAGCGTGGCATTCGGTGGAATGTTGGGCCCACTCCCTGCGGCCCCATAGGCGTACTCCGGGGCGCACGTGAGGACACACTTCTCGCCCTTCTTCATCGTCGCAACGCCCATGTCGAATGCCTTGATAACAGACTCGCGTCCCAGTTCAAATTCAAAGGGAACTCCTCGGTCCACACTAGAATCGAACTGAGTCCCGTCCAGGAGGGTGCCCGTGTAGTGCAGGGACACCCGACACCCCTTCGAGGGCAGCTCCTCGCCAACTCCTTCCTGCAGGATCAACTTCTTCACGCCTCCATCGCCGGAGAGGTCAAGCTCAGTCTCCGTCACGTTCTGCTCAGACATCTTCACTTGCACTGGGATTTGTCTCGTCTGCTCTCAATTTACTTGAATACAGAGATTTTCCGACAAGGAAGCCGCTCGATTATTATTCTGGAAGATTCACAAGCACGCGATGAGAGTTTTCGAACAACACTGTCTCGCCCGGCTGACGGGCCTTAAATAGCGAAATAAACTCCGTACAATTGCTGTGTTTGGTAGTTGAATGAGGCACTTTTCATCCGGGTCGTTCGAAAATCCAATCAGCCGTTCGGAATTTCACATAGTGAGGTTACATTTACTGTTTATATTTACATTTTTAATGCTATAACAATTCGTAAGACTTCAAATTTATCAATAAAAAAGATAAAATAGTACTCAATAGTAGTGTCCTACTTATTCCTACTGATATCACACTTGAAAGTCACGATAGTGATAAGGCAAAATTGTTTTCTGCACTTTGACTTGGACTTTGTACCTCTCTTGGCCAATTCGGTATTGCTTCTATTAATTTCTCCTTCACTATAAGTCAATTTTCTTAAGACTTTCACCACTTTCATTGATAATGCTGCGTATTTTATCACGTGCATCTGCATCGTTACCATCCAGTAAGTTTCTGCCATAACAACTTGACTTTAATAAAATATCTCTTCATCTCAGGAAGTCTTCTAAGGAGTCTCAGCAGCGCCATGTCCACATTCGCCAATTTGCAAGTCAATTCGCCCAGTCCTTTCGTCTATCACGTTGAATTGGACAATCCCAAGAAGAGCAATGCCATCAATAGCGACATGTGGAAGGCCATTGGAGAGTGTTTCGCTCACCTGCACGGAAATCCTGATTGTCGGTCAATTGTGTTGTCCGGGAGTGGAAAGAACTTCTGCGCCGGCATCGATCTCATGAGCATGATGTCTCTGGGACAAGAGTTGAGTCAGCATGAGGACGTGGGACGCAAAGGACGCGTAATGGAGCAGAAAATTCGGCAGTATCAAGATGCGATTTCATCCATTGAACACTGCGTGAAACCTGTAATTGCTGCAATTCACGGAGCGTGTGTTGGCGCTGGAGTGGACATGATCACGGCCACTGATATGCGGTATTGCAGCTCTGATGCGTGGATGCAAGTGAAAGAGGTGGAGATTGGGATGGCAGCCGATGTTGGAACTCTCCAGAGATTGCCTAAAGTCGTGGGATCACAGAGCCTTGCCAGGGAATTGTGCTTCACGGGACGAAGGATGGACAGCGAGGAGGCTCTCAAGTGTGGCCTCGTGAATCGCGTCGTGAAGACCAAGGAGGAATTATTGACACTGGCTCTCGAGACTGCCAAACAAATCGCTTCACTGAGTCCGGTGGCTGTTCAGAACACTAAGAAGAGCATCATTTACTCACTGAATCGTTCCAATCAGGAGGGATTGGATCACATTCGTGAGATAAACTGCCTGTCTCTCCAGAGTGAGGACTTCCTGAAGGCTGTAATGGCTGCAGCCACGAAAGGAGAACCAGCAGAGTTTGCCAAACTCTGAACCATAGGATGTGATTATTAATATTCTTGCATGAAGATTTTATACTGATATTAAAAAGGTGGAAGATTAACTATCTGTTTACTCATCAAACTTCATTTGGCGCCAAAATTTTCATGAATGAAATTGTATTGATTAAACAATCCTCAAGTATTTTATTTATTTGATCAAATAACAGACAAGCTGGAAAATTCGACAGGAAGTGAAGTAACGCAGAGTAAAAGGTGAATTTTTCACTCAAATTCCATCCCATCAAATTTTGTGAAGTGTTTGTCCTAAAAATGTTCAAGTGCTTCTTCAACACCCACTTAAGACGCCAAATCAAATAATATCACGCAAAGGCAGACTAATTTTTTCCATCCACCTTTCACTCTATCGAACATTCCTTCCGTCTTGATGTCTTAAGTGAAATCTATTTTCAGACATTTACTATTTCATGTGCTTTTCACTCCTTCCAAGAGTGGAAAGGAGCTCAATTTGCACCTCCTTATTGCATTTAATTCATCCAATTTCGCTTTGAAATACTTTTTTCCCCGAATAATTGCCATTCGTGTTTGCTTTTCGTCATGCTTTCACGTGCTTTTCCCTTTCAGGAGGCGCAAAGTATCCGCGAGAGGCTAATTGAGACGGACACTCGTGGAAAATGGATGGTAAGGAGTGCCAAGTCTTGAGGAGATTAACCCCGTCTCTTCATGCTCACACGAAAACGATAAATCTGGAGCAGAGCTTTTCCCATTTCTGTATATAGGGAAAGTTTCTTGCTAGCAGAATATCGCTATCAATTCTTGCGTTTAGACACCTCGCAATGTAGGTCTAATAAACGCAACATGCAATAAAGTATTTCCCTTCGAATGCGCGCTTCCGTGGGAAATGTGTGCATCATGCAATCAATTCCTTCTCACGTCGATTTCTTTAAGACACCCCAAAAGGAGGCCTGATAAAATGCCTTCGCCATTCTTCACTTTTGCCCGTAAAGTCAGTTGAAAGACAGAGCTTGAAGTGAGTAAAAGCTTCGTCACATTGGTCTTGAATTTTGGAAATACGCGAGAAAGTAATATAACAAAATGTTGTTGGGAGAAGGAATTGATCCTCTGCAGCACACTAGCATGTACCAAAGAGCCCTGGAAGGTCGCATAATTGGCCACAATTTAATGCATTTAAATTTTGACTCTTTGCATCCCTTATCTTTGCAGACAGCGAAGACAGCGATGGAGAAGGAGGTTTGGGAAACGTGAGCAGAGTCGTGATAAGACCTCCGGGGCACAGTGGAAAGGCGAAGAGAGGTCACTTGTGCTTCGATGCCGCCTTCGAGACTGGCAATCTGGGTCGAGCTGATCTTGTGGGTGAATTCGAGTATGATCTCTTCCTACGCCCCGATACTTGTAATCCACGCTATAGGTTCTGGTTCAACTTCACCGTGGACAATGTGAAGCAAGATCAGCGAGTCATTTTCAATGTGGTCAACATTAACAAGAAGCGCAATCTCTTCAAAGACGGCATGACACCTCTGGTGAAGTCTTCAGGTCGACCCAAATGGCAGAGACTTTCCAAATCCTTGGTGTTCTTCTACAAATCACCTATGCATCAAAATAACTACGTTCTCAGCTTCAGCTTTGCCTTTGATCGCGAGGATGAAGTCTATCAATTCGCCCTGGCGCCACCTTACAGCTATTCTCGTTTGCAATCCTATCTCTCGGTCTTGGAGACAAAGTTTCCTGAGCACAGATTCCAGAGAACAACACTTTGCCATAGCTTGCAAAATAGGAAGCTAGAGCTACTGACGATTGATCATGTGGAGAAGCCAGACAAAGTAGATAGCAAGAACAAGCTCAGAGTTATATTCATTTTGGCCAGAACACATTCCGGTGAGTCTCCCACGTCGTTTGTCATCCAAGGCCTCATAGAGTTCCTAATTGGCAATCATCCGATTGCCCAAATATTACGATCCAACTTTATCTTCAAAATCATACCGATGGTTAACCCTGATGGAGTGTTCCTGGGGAACAACAGGTGTAATCTTATAGGTCAGGATATGAACAGAACCTGGCACGTTGCTACTGAGTATTCACATCCAACCTTGTGGGCTACGAAAAAGTTGTTCAAAGAGTTTGATCAATCTGATGTATGACAACCAATCTTAACTACACATAAGATCTTTGTTTTTAATAAGATTTCGATATTTTCAGTGTTATCAAATTGATTTTGTCATTGATCTTCATGCTCACGCTAATTTACTAGGATCCTTCATGTACGGAAACACTTATGAGGATGTGTATAGATACGAAAGGCATCTAGTTTTTCCCAAGATTCTCTCAACCAATGCTGGAGACTGGATATCGGAGAACATGATGTTCAATGCTGACGACAAGAAGACTGGAAGCGTGCGTCGGTTTTGCTGTGAGAAACTGAGCGACAATGTAAACGCCTATTCTTTAGAAGTGTCAATGTGTGGTTTCTTCCTTAAGGGCACTCAGACCATGACTCAATACACGGACGACGGATGTAAGTTTTAAATCTCATCTCTCTGTCTGATCTGAACTGATTTTGAATATTTCAGATATGAGACTGGGCAGAAACCTAGCCCGAACGTTCTTAGAATACTATCGCTTCATAAACGTTCTGCCTGTACCTTTAACGTCGGAAGTCAGGTCGAAGCGGGGTCGGCCAAAGACTCACTGCGCTCGAGCCAGATCCAGAATTCGGCGAGAGGTGCAAACCCGTCCCAAAACTACAAGGACCTACGCGCCTATAAGCTACAAAGATCTCTCGGTTTGCTATGACAGCGATACTTCCTATGAGGGCTCTCCAATACGTAACAACTATCACGGTTATGGTTTTGGCACACGATCTACGGGAAACATTTACTTGAATCAAGATCAATTCTCTCTCTTGCACATTCAATCTTCCAAGTTCAATACGCTGGACTTCTCTAACGAATTGCGCCCGAGAGCTTCCACCAAATCTCCGCCAAGGATACGCACAGCCTTCAACAAAAACGATGACAATGTAACTCTACCTCCTAAGCCTTATCTTACTATCATTGACTTCAATCAACTGACAAGGGGTGGACTGGAACAAGCGGCTAAGACCAAGACTTCCTCCATTGATTTGCCCAAGGTTCGATCATCCAGCAAGAACAGACTTCCTTCAAAGCTATAAAACTAATTTATTTGAATACAAAAATCCTGTCTTCGTCTACAGCTAAACTCCTTAAACTATCTTTAACAGCTCTTGTGAATTTTTCTGTACCGCAAATCAGAAAATATGACGTTCTATCTCTAAACTTAACAATTTCACTTATATCCTCTCTCTGTAATCGTTTCTTGTAAATGCTTTCGCAAAACTTAACACGGCCTTCAATGTCAGTTGTTTCATGTGGCAGAAATATTGACGCATTGAAATTCCAAAATTGCTGCAAAGTCTGCACTTCATCCCGAAGGAGTGCCTCATTCATATTTCGGTAGCATGCAACGAGGTGGAGAAACGTTTCATCACTCTCGTCATTCACGATTGAAGATATAAGACTGTACAAAGGCGCTACTGCAACTCCGTGACTGAAGAAATACAGGTGACTAAAGGTATTTGGCTGATAAACTAATTCTCCATAAGGTCCTTTAAATTCAACTTCATCTCCTTCATACAATTTCGTTACAAGTTGAGTCATTTTTCCAAACCTTTCCGGTTTAAAAAGAATGTCAAATGTGAGATTCCTAGTATCTACATTAATTGGAGTATAAGGCCGGCTGAGATAGTCTCTGGATGTGTCCTTGTCATGCCGATCCTGAACTTCTATTTGAGATAGGAAATCATCTTGCTTATCGTAGAAAGTGAAATCTTTGAATATTGGATTTTGATCCTTCCTTATAGCTTTCGTGTGGCATCTTAGCTGAAGATAAGATCCTGGTGGGATTCCCAGAACACATCTCCCAGTCAATTCCTCAGATTTGCACCGAAAACTTATTGAATATACACTTGTTGCTACTTGTTTAATTGTCTCGATTGAGAATCTCACGTACTTCTCATTAAAAACATTCACAGAATTCTCTATTGATTTCCGGAAGTTTCTCGGCTTCCTGTCCAAGACACAATTATTACAACCAGAACCACAACACTCTTCCTCTTCATCATCCATCAAAGAAAATGCTTAATTTATGGATTTCTCTGTACAAAACAGTGTTTATAATCTGACAATGTCACTCTTATCAATTTAACGAAGAAAGTTAATACGAAAAATAGAAGTCAGATGTTTGAAGTTCAACAGAAAATGCCTATTCACTCAAATAACTCTGGGCAAATTGTCTTGAAATACTCATTTCCCGACTGTTTAACATTTTCCCTAATTTCATTAATAACACTTTGAATACTCTCTATTGACTCCAGTCCTGTCAATTTCTCCAGAGAACTCGTGAAGAGACTTACAGCTTCCGGATCGACGTTTGATTTCAATTCTGAGAAGTGGTCTTCAATCTCATCATAGCATTTTTGAGCCATCTTCACCACTTCCGGCGGAAAGTCTGCTAATTTGGCCACTTGTATGCCAAAGCTGTTGTCCATGAGACCTGGCTTCACTTGATACAGCAGCACAAATTTGGAGTCTTCAATCATCGCTGCCAAATGACTGTTTTTCACTGTGGAAACCGACTGAGCCAATTCTGTAATCTCATGGAAGTGTGTGGCAAATAGAGTGAAGCATTTCGTCTCTTTAGCCAAGTATCTGGAATTGAGAGAATATTATTAGATTTTTAGAAAACTACGAAAGATTTCCATGGAATTACTCAGCAATTGACCACGCAATACCACATCCATCGTAGGTCGAAGTTCCTCTGCCCAATTCATCGATAATCACTAGTGAATTCTCCGTTGCCGTGCGAATAATCCCTGAAGTCTCGATCATCTCAATCATAAATGTGCTCAACCCTTTCATGATGCAATCACTGGCTCCAATTCTCCCCAAAATCGAATCTGTGATCGAAATCTCGGCCTCATCACAGGGAACGAATGATCCCACATGCGCCAGAAGCACAGCAGATCCCACAGATCTGATGAAAGTACTCTTTCCACCCATGTTGGGTCCCGTTATTATGTACATTTGTGTCTCATCCTTTCGGAATTCAATGTCATTGGCAATGAAGTTCACATCTGACTGCATTTCCAAGCAAGGATGTCGCACTTGCTTCAAATTCAGGACTCTTTCGGCAGCAGGACGCATCTTTGGACGCACATAGGGAATTGGAGAAGTTGTAGCAGCCGCGGCGAAGCTCATGAAGCAGTCCAACTGGGCAATCAAGTGACTCAAGCATGTTAAGGGTGGCAAATAACCCAAAACCACCCGAATAACCTCCTCAACTATAGATTTCTGCTGCTCTTCATAACTCTCCCGCACTTCTTGAAAGTCCGAGTTGAGATCTCGAAGAGTATTCGTAGTGAAGCGAGCTCCACCTTTCACGGCATCAATCATGCTGTACTTCTTATTCTTCCTGATTGCGGATTCATCCTTGAGGGAGATTCTGAAGTGGTAACCAATGTGAGAGACAACGTCGAGTTTCACATCGAGATTGAGATCATTCGCCGCCTTTCGCTGCTCCTTTTTCACCCTCTCTTCAATATCATCCATTTTCTCTTTCATCGTCTGTAGTTCTTCATCGAATGAGGGATTGATTAAGTACTCTCCCTTCTCAATCCCATCCATGTCCAGGATTTTCTCCACCATTTCCTTGAGCTTGAAGAGATCCCCAAAAGTATCTTTGATGGGGTCAGTCAAGATGTTGTCCACTGTGGAGTTCTCCAACTCACTCAGCAATCGCAGCAAATTGGGAATCCTCGCAACAACTCTGTACAGTTTGTAGACATCCTGCAGAGAAGCATTCCTTCTCATAAGTTTCTTCGTCAGCATCATTATGTCGGGAATTCTCTTTAAATAATCATCATAAATCTCCTTTCTCGTGTGCACCGATTCAATAAAACACTCCACAATATCGTGTCGATCCTTAATGGCATCAATGTCCTTCAGTGGCTGCTTCAGCCATTGCGTTAGCAATCTCCTCCCCTGCATTGTGCGACAGTAGTCCAAAACTCCCAAAATACTCTGGCACTTGTATGCTTGTGAAGTTGTGGGCGTTCCTGCCTTCGGTAAGATGTTCAGAGCAGATACAGCCGCCGTGTCCAGATGCATAAATCTCTTGAGATTCATCACATTCAACTTGAAGTGACCGTAGTTGGATGAATCAGCCAGCAATTCGAGATACTTAATCCCAACATTTAGTGTTTGCAGTGCAAGTGTTTTGCTCCCACCCAGTAGAGTATTGAGATTCTCCTGCTGACCTTTCTCAAAATACAGCAGTCGATTTAAATCATCCTCAAAGTCACTCGCATTGACTGTGAACTCCTGGCGCTTTCGCACAGTCACAAAGACACCATTTCTCTCCAAAAGAGCATTGATTTTCTCATATTCTCCCTCTTTAGAGGGCAGAAGACACTCCTTAGGGCCCAGAAGAACAACAATAGCCTCCAGTTCAGTAAAGAAATCATCGTCCACGAGTTCAATAACTGAGAATAAGCGCTCTGTGGTATCAATGCAGCTCAATCCAATCATATTCTGTTGGTTCTCCTTTTTCAATTGCAGAGTCATCATCGCTGAAGTGTTCATCTGTTCATTGTTGCTGAAGAGGATGTTCTCAAATTGGATGACATTGCCAGGAGAACCTTTCATCTCGATTTCCCAGTCATTCTTGTTGCCTCCCTAGAAAGTTCATTGGGATTTGTAGAATAAAAATCCTCCAATTTACATCAAAATTTCATACCTTATTCACATAGATTTCCACTCTGTAGTTCTTCACGAGCAGTAACTCCCTAATGAAGTTCGCATAGTTATTCTTGCTGAGCACTGTGTAGGGCAGTTCTGTTTCTCCGTCATCTATAGACATGTACTTAATGCCTGCGGTTGATTTGAACACCACCTTAGCCGCCAATTCTGCATCCTCGCCGTGCAAAGAGTAGATCTCACTACGTTCGAAAATTCTCACGGTTGTTTTGGGTTTCTGCAAAGAAAACAGAGACATTTTTTTTTAGAATTCTGCGAAGTGATTCACTTTTTGTTGTTTCCATCTTCTAGGAAATCCTTAGGCTCTCAAATTAGAATGCATCGCGCGGATGTAAATCTCCCACACTTGGTCAACATATATTAGCAGTTCAAAAGGAGAAAAAGTCAATTTGGTGCACTTCATGGGATTTTATTTTGGGATATTGTGACAACGATGACCACTCTATGCTAGTATATAGAGAAGCTTGTGTTGTCCGGAAAGGAAAGCCCACAAGTGATGCTGAAAATTCACAAGAGACACTCCGAGAGGGTGTTAAAATCATTCGACCTACATGTGTGCGTCTTTGTAGTTCACGAGCAAACGGGAGTGACATGTTATTTTATAAATAAAGTTCCAAAGACGATTTTCACTCAGTTCACGTTCGGATTTCGACCAAGTCACTTGATAAAAGTGAAAATCAGTCCGTTGAGTGTTTAAGTCTATCTCCCAAGAAACCCATTTTGTGAGTGTCTTCGTTGATTCATTAACCAATTAACAATGAGATTTTCCTGGCAAATCATTTTTTCCCCAATGTGACAATAAACAATTTGCGAAATACTACTGATAACTGACCTCTGGGTTTATCTCTGTTTTTATGTATACATATTTTTTACTACTGAATGCAATTGAGTGACGATAAGGGATATGAACAATGCTTGTCACTCTTTTTCCTTCTTCAGCATTGGTGATCTTTATAATAAAATGTGAATAATTGTGGTCTAAATTTAGTGTCCCGCAAGATTTCTTTTCTGAATGAAAACGTGATATATTTAGAAATATACATCCTATATAGAAGTGATGTGGAAAAAGCAAAAGCAAGAAAAGATTCACTCAAACTTTTGAAGAGTATCGCTTGAGATCGAGTTCCGATCTTCCAACTGTGTGTCGGCACTCTCTTTAGTTGAATCTCATGTGTGAAAAAGATGATTTATTTACTGCTTCATTCCACTTGATTTTCAGCCAGGAGCGTGTGTGGCATTTCTTTGATATGATGAGGCGTGAGATGATTAACCTCTCATCAGAGTCACTTTTTGTTATTTACAGGAACTTTCGGGAGTTGAAATGAGGTTTTGCCGAAATGGCCACTATTTCTTACTGGCCCTGAATATCATCTTTGCATCCATTGCAATATCAGTCGGAGATGATGTGGGACAACAGCGAGTGCAACCTGAATCTCAGTATTTATCACTGCTCTTTATTGCATGATCCACAATTCCACATTCACAAATTGTTCTTCTTTTCTTTAGTCTGTATTCTCAGGAGGTTCAAGAGATCGCCGATCGACTTCGCGCTGAATATAATGCTGCCATTGCCAGCTCCCCGTCAAAGTATCCCCACCAAGTGAGCGGCAGCTATGCCGAACAGTATCGCACCTCCGGCAGAGGCTGTGGCGATGCTGGCTGCGCCACTTCAGTTACATCAAAGGTCACCCATTCCTCCAACTTTGACGCTAAAACCCAGGCCGAAGTGGATGCCATGGCGAAGGAAATGGCCCAGGAAATCATCAAAGACATGCAGACAGGCAAGCTGCAATACAGTCAGATTTCGCAGCCCAACTGGTTCGAGCAAAGAGCAGCCCAGGAGTTGGAGGCTGTCAACAGCGGCATAAGGCAGTCCCAATCCCAGAGCCAATCCCAATACATGGGCTCTTCGGGTAGGTACCAGCAGCAGCAACAGCAGCAGTCGAGCTACGGGTCCTACTACAAGCCACAGTCGAGTTATGTGTCACAGACCAACATTCACGACTCATCACACACTGTCGTCACTCATCGGCCGCAAGTCACCTCCGCCCGTCATCACGTCTATGATCATCTCTACGAGGAGCGCTTGCCAAATTACCAACAGCCGCACATGATTCACACCAACATCGAGAATGACTATGGTGACACTCAAGTTCAGCAGCAGATTTTCAACCAAGATGGCCACACTTATCATCGCGTCCCAATCGTCATTCGCCCAGGATCCGGATCAGTTCAGGTCAACTACACCGTCAGCACATATAATCGCAGTGCTGATGGCGCCAGAGGCACTCCGAACACCCACGTTCTCACCTTCAACAGGAATTTCACCGAAGAGAACAAAAGAGAGCAAATCCAGTCGATTCTCGAAGAAATTACCAGACTCAATAAGAGCCAATTGCATGGGATAGACAATCTACTCTCGTCCTTGGTCATCGAGATCGACGACACAAACCTCGAGGGCAATAAGCAAGAGATTCAAGAGGAAATCTACAAACTTATACAACAAATTAGAAACCAAACGTCTTACAACACAGCTTGGCATTATCCATATTCTGGAAATCGGGTCACTGAAGAGGATTTGCTTTATCAAGAAGTTCAAGAGCTCATAAGGAATTTCTCACATATGATGAGAACTCCAGAGCCTAGACCACAAAACACCCTCTCGACCTACATTATGTCCATTCAACATTCTCTAAGCGAGGAGGAACGTCGCACTCAATCTATCGTCATCCAAGAGGAGATAAAGCGCTTAACAGAAGACATCAGAACTTGGGTCAATCGTCAGGGTGTCAGTGAAGAGCAGCGAAGGTATGAAATCTTCGCTCTCCAGCAAGAAGTTGATAGACTTCGACGAATCTTAACTGAATGGAATGTCCAACAATTCGTTCCAACGGCAAATGTTGGTCAAGTTTCCTCCCACATCATCCAAATTGAACACACTCTCAACCAAGAGGAAAAACAAAGACAAACGGCTATTATTCAAGAGGAGATTGAGCGACTCAGACACGAGATGGAAAGGTGGCAAAGACACAACACAGGAAATGCCCAACAACGTCAGCAGCAGATAAATTCGATCTGGAAAGAGATCAACACCCTCAATCATATTATAGAGGATTGGAAATCCAATCAGGTGAATTATCAGGAAACTCCATTGTCCACTTACATCGTCACAATAGAGAATACTTTGACTGAACAGGAAAAGAATGAGCAAACTCAAGTGATTCAGGATGAGATCCGAAGACTCCGTCATGAGATGGAGCACTTCAGCAGGATGTCCACGGACAATGAACACAGGCGCCAAGATCAGATTCTTGAGTGTCGTCAGGAAATTAATAAACTCACGAGAATCATTGAGGACTGGAAGGCAACAAAACCCACCTTGACGCCTGAGAATCAGCTCTCCACTCACATCATCACCATTGAGAACAACTTGACTGAAGAGGACAAATCTTATCAGAGTCAAGTCATCAACACTGAAATCCAGAGACTAAGAACTGAGCTGGAAAGATGGAAACACTTGCAACACGTCAATGAGGATAAGAGGACAGATCAGATTAATCTCATACGGCAAGAGATCAACAAACTCACGGAGATCATTGAAGAGTGGAAAGAAACTAGAGCCACTTTGCAGCCTGAGAATCTCATGTCTCAGCATATCATCACCATTGAAAAAACCTTCACTGAAGAGGACAAGGAGCGGCAATCAGTTCAGATTCTGACTGAAATTGAGCGCCTTCGCCAAGAGCTCGAGCGCTGGAAGCAATTGCACCATGTCAATGAGGACAAGCGAATGGATCAGATAAATCTTATTCGCCAGGAGATGAATAAACTCACTGAGATTGTTGAGGAGTGGAAAGAGACTCGACCAACTATTGTTCCGGGCAATCAACTCTCCCATCAGATCATCACTATTGAGAAGTCCTTCACAGAAGAGGACAGAAGTCGGGAAAATGCAGTGATTCAGGAAGAGATAAATCGTCTGCGTCAGGAACTCAATCGATGGTCTCATATGCAGAATGTCCAGGAAGAAAAAAGACAGAGTCAAATAGGATTGATTAAGAATGAGATTAGCAAACTCACAGAAATTGTCGAAGAATGGCGGGAAAGTAGACCAACAATCACTGATCAGAATAGACTCTCCACGCATTTCATCAAGATTGAAAACTCCTTGAATGAGGAAGAGAAGGTGGAACAGAACAGTGTCATTCAGCAAGAGATTGCTCGCCTCCGAGAAGAGCTGCAAAAGTGGACGAGGCTTCATCATGTTAATGAGCAGGAAAGGCAAGATCAAATTCACTTGATTCGACAAGAAATCAATAAACTTTCCGAAATTGTGGAGCACTGGAAGGAGACTCGCCCCACACTGACAGCACAGAATCAGCTCTCCACACACATTGTTACGATCGAGAGGAATCTAACAGAAGAGGACAAGACGCACCAGACAAGAGTGATTCAGGATGAAATCAATCGCTTGAGGCAGGAATTGCACAGATGGACTCAGATGGCGAATGTCAATGAAGAAAGACGTCAGGATCAGATACTCATGATCAGAACGGAGATTAAGAAGCTCACGGAAATTGTTGAGGATTGGCGACAAACCAGACCAACTCTTACTGTTGAAAATCAGCTTTCCACACAAATCATCGTCAAGGAGAACACCATGACAGAAGAGGAAAAAGTACAACAAAGCGCAGTGATTCAGGCAGAGATTCAGAGACTTAGGCTGGAATTGGAGCGCTGGAGGAGACTCCAGAATGTCAACACGGACAAGCAACATCAGCAAATCACAATGATCCAGGAAGAAATTCAACGCCTTACTGAGATTGTCAATGATTGGAATTCCAGTCAGATAACCATCATCCCAGGAAAGCAAATGTCCCTGCACATCATTTCCGTGGAGAACACATTGACAGAGGAGGATAAGCGTCAACAGACGGGATTAATCCAAGCAGAGATCACGAGGCTTCAGCAGGAATTAGAGAGATGGAATCACTTGACTCATGTGAACAATCAGAAGAAGCAACAGCAAATCTTCGCCATTTGGCAGGAAATTAACGCGCTGACGAGGATCCTCGAGGACTGGAGAAGCACTCAAGTGCCTGGACCTGAAAATCTCCTCTCCACTCACATCATAGCCATTGAAAACACACTCACTGAGGATGAGAAGCTCCTGCAAACAGTGATTATTAAGGATGAAATTGCTCGACTGAAGGATGATCTCGAGAAATGGACGAGAGCCACTACAGAAAATCAGGAAGTGCGACAGAGAGAAATGTCATGGATTCGCTTGGAGATTAACAAGCTGCAGGAAATTCTCAAAAACTGGCAATTGACAGAATCTCAGAAATCTGGAGGTCTTCTATCGGCCCACATTCTTTCTATAGAGCACACTTTAACTGAGGAACAGAAGCAGCGTCAGGTCATAGTAATTAAGGAGGAACTGGTGAGACTCAGACAGGAACTGGATAAATGGAAGCGTCAGGGAAATATCAATCGTGAGGATAGAGAACAGCAAATCTTCTGGATTCGCCAGGAGATCAACAAGCTTAATGAGATTCTGGCCAATTGGAAGGCTAAGGATGCAATTGGAAGTGGAGGTCAACTTTCCACCTATATCCTCTCCATCGAGCACTCCCTGACTGCTGAGCAGAAAGAGGATTACGTCAAAAGGATAAACGAGGAATTGGCCAAACTCAACAGAGAACTGCAGTCGTGGAATCTCCATCAGGGAAATCAAGTTGAAAAGCAGACCAATATGGGATTGATTCAGGAGGAAATTCGAGTGCTCTCAAAGATCCTCGAAGATTGGAGGTTAGAGAAAATCTCACTGGACTTCAGCAAACTCTCTTCTCACATTCTTATTCTGGATCACACGCTGACTGCTGAGGAGTTGGAACAGAGAGAGAAATTAATAAGGCAGGATATCAGGAGACTCAGAGGAGAGTATCAGAAGTGGTCCAGTCAGAGGAATATGGAGGAGAGCGAGAGGCAGCGTCTCTTGCGATACATTCAGCAGGAGATTGACCTCCTCAACCACATTTTGGAGGAATGGCAACGCCGATCCAACAGTGTCACTCTTCTGTCCCAGTTCATTCGTTCAATCGAACAGAGACTCAACAATGAGAGCAAGTACTTCTACTCCCTCTTGATCATTCAGGAAATTGAGCGCCTCCAGCGCGAGGGTGCACGCTGGAACAAGGCTCATGAGAGTGAGAGGCAATCCTTGTGGTATATCGAGTCCGATCATGGAAACACTGGCTTCCAGGATGTCAAGCAAAGACAACTCCGGCTGATGCACGATGAGGTTCACAGGTTGGCTCAAATTCTCAGGGAGTGGGGATGGAGAAAGACCACTGCCGGCCGATGGATTCACCCCATCTACACACAGTACACTGACTTGGGCAGCCGATATCCCACTGTCTTCATCCACAACAAGAATGGATCCGGTTCCCATCGTCCACCACAGAATCCCATCAACAAGAATCGCGGAGATCAGCCGCCGCAGATGTTTGAGGATGACTACTTCTCCGAGGAGGATCTTGAAGTGGAACCGGGAATTGGATTGTATCCTGTGAAGCCTGAGATTCAACTCCAAACCACACTGGCTCCTATTAGACTACCTCCTCCGCAACCCATTCCCGTGGTGGTGCCCCAGAGCCAGCGAGAGTACAGAAGGAGGGAGTACAAGAAGACAACTATCACGACCAATCAGCAGGTTGTTGTGAGTATTTCTGCTGTTCAGTTATACAATTTGGGTCTATTTGTTCACTCCATTTTCAGCCGCAATTTCAATTATCTGCCTCAGCCAGTGCTTCGGCTTATGGAGGGCAAAGTCAATTCCCTTCCGGATGGGTAACTCCCAGAATTGCAGCCCAGGATGGAAACTATGATCATTTGGAAAGCATGGCCCACACCCAGACACAAGCTTCAGCCAGGGCGACAAGATTCAATCGTCAAGGAGTCACTGGACAGGTGCAAATCCCCAGCTTCCTACACAAATACTTCTCCCTGACACAATACATTCTTTTCAGGAACCCAGAGGCGAGGAACTTGATCTGCAACAGCAGACAATTGATTGGTCAGATGACACGGAGGATTTGAGTCAGAAATATCAGAATCCTGTGGAATATGATGAGGATCTTCAGGCGGTGGTCAAGGAAATCACACAAACCACAACCACGGAGACTCCTGGATTTTGGAAGCGACTCGGCGAGAAGGCCAAGAGTGTTTTCGGTTGATTTGTAGTGTGCAAAATAATTCTTGTGCTTCATCAACTAATGAGCATTATTGAGTAATTAATAAAGTTTATACTAATGATGTCCGGAACACTCACCTCGCCCAGGGAGTGGAAGAATTTGATGAAATTCCTCTGCTGAATTTTGTCTGTAATACATTTCGGTACAAGATTTAAAACCACAATTCTTTCTGCAGAAAGACATTGAATTTAGTACATACCGAGATTCAAAGGGTGCAGAGGCTTCACATTAGCCATTGTGCGTGGAAAAATCACTTAAGATAGCGTAAATACAAGATAAACTGGGATTTTCGGGATACCAAGAAAGCGTCTTTCGCCAGAAATGTTGGGTTATGTTGACAAGCTGCCCGCCACACGCATCGCCTCTGGTGGTAGGTATCAAAAATAAAGGCCTATTCACAGAACGAAGATTTATTCAAATTGGGGTTTTGCTGTTAAATTTCTATACTGCCATTCAGCGGCTCCCCATCCTTTCACGCCGTTCACCGTGAATTGGGAAAGAAGTTCAATCACTCTACTCTCTCTTTCCAGTCCTATGAAGAACTCCTGCGTGATGAAGGCCTTCACTTCGACAAGGTAGGATTTTTCTTCTGTAAAAATTAATCACGAATAGAATCATGCAAATCAATTCATAAGAGGTAAAATCACCTGTTGTGAAGGAAAATGCGTAATTTTTCGGTGGATTTCCATTTTCCCCGTGTTGATAGAGTTTGAAGTTGCAATCTGTGATCGGATGATTCTTCTTGCTAGTGGCATCAGTTACAAATCCCACTGTGATGCTTGAAAAGGTGACTGGGATTGAAATGACTCCTACAGATATCCTTGTACCGTCCTCAAGGGTGAAGAAGTGCATGACGTATCTGTGAAAGACTCTCCAGTCTCTCTGCAGGCCAAAACTGTGATCTCGAACGGAATTCACTGAGATATCGAACTTTTCGTCATCAATCAGAACATAGCCTTTAATGTCTCCGTACTGCTCATAGTGGGTCTGATGAAATGATTTGAGATTATCAAAATACTCGCGAGACCAGTATTCACGGGAAATTGCTTTGGCTGCGCTGGAGAAGTGCATGTCCGTGTCGTAATTGAAAGCAGGAAGATTGGTTGTGAAAGTTGCATTGAGTTCAACATCGAAAGTTTCTGATTTTGGAGTATCAAATTGCATTTTGCCCTTGTAGGTGATTTTCCACGTCTTCATCGGCACAATGGGTTTCAGAGAAATCCCTTCTGCTTTGAATTGATTAGCATCAGACTCTGTTTGATAGAGATTTGTGTCCGGAAGTTTTGGAGAGAGTAGAAATTTATCGCTAAAATCTGGAATTCGCAAATACAAGAATCCATTGACGAGGTTATTTTTTCTCCTGGCCATGCCGCACATCACAACTTGCTGGTCTTCAGACGATCCATTGAAGTACACAGCATCAATAGCGTTCTTGTGATAAGAAAGTGGCTGAGGCTGATCCAAATCTTCCAGGCCAGGTGGTTCGAAGTTCTTATCGAAGAACTTCTTCACTCTCACGCACAGTATTGCGGTTTTCTGCTTTCACATGGGGAATTAGATTATCTTGTCTGAAAAACACCTGTCTGGTGATAACACTTACCTGCCGCACTCGCAAGAGAATGGCTATCAAGATAAATTTGATGGTTGAAAATTTCCCATCTTGACGATAAACTCCGCTGATCACACTTCTTGGACGTTGATGCTTGCTATAGAGATAGAGGATCACAATAGCAGCGAGAATGACCTCGTAATAGAACCCAAGACCGATCATTTCGTTAGACTGCAGAGTGTGGTTTACTCTTCTATGGCCAGTTTATCACTGAAGTTGAGACAAGATTCAATCGAAGAGCAGTGAAGTTTTATCAATTTTGGCTAGTTTGATAAGATAAATGAAAAGGGGTTTCGTATGATTGAGTGAAATATTTGTGAAATTTCCCTAGTCTTTCATATATACTTTATTGACTTGTTAAACACTTGAGAAATTTACATAAATAGAGAATTTCACTACTGATATGAGAATTATCATCATACAAATGTCTCCTGTTTACAAAAATGAACCAAGACAATATAGATATCTATTCGACTATATAATGAACCTAAAGGCCTCTTAGATCCTAATGATGTATTTGATACAGGATTGGGATATGTCGTAAGGCTAACGGAAAACGGATGTTACACACGTTACAATGAAGGATGATTTAGCCCATTAAATTCACATGTCAACAATCATGCAGGCACTTCGCTCTCATTGCTATGGATGGCGAAACTTTCGATCCATTGGTTAATCAATCTATTCGGAAGCTTTCAGACTAGGCCTACCCTTAGTCTTAGTGATGAACATGAAGCTGACTTGCAGTTACAGTCAGCTCTCGACGTCGTTGGAGCCGTATTCAAAGTGGCCAGTTTCATTGAGAACTCGATTCTTGAGTTGTTCGATTTGGAAGAGCAAATCCCGAGTCTCTTGATCCAGAGAGTCGTCGGACTTGAGCTCCTGGTCATCGTCCTGATCCCATTCCAGTGATTCGGGTGTCGAGATGTGCGACCATGTGTTGGTCGATGAATGAATGCTGCGGTTCTTGGAACCATTGATGACGGCATGTTTGATATATGTACGATGATTGGATGCTTTTTGGTTTGATTGCTTCCCCGACGATGATGAGTGCTCATCATCGCTTGATTGTTCCTCGGCAACACCGTTTTCCGGAAGACTGGTCCAAGGATTGTGACGATTGTTTGTCGCATACTCATGTTCCCATTCGAGATCCAAGGACGATCCGCCCGGAGATGAATTGAGACTGACGTAGAGATCTGGCCGCAGGGCCGGGAATCCAGAGCGCGAGGACAAGAGCAGAGAATGAGCGTCGAGACACTGCAATTGGATGTTCGGAAAATGTCGAGATTGCGTGCTCGGTCCATCTTCGCGATTCAGTATTTTGTAACTATTATCACTGAACTTCTCCATGAACTTTGAGTGCTTTTTCTTCTTGAATTTCAATATATTGAAAATATGTCCATCTTTGGCCTTCTCCTGTTCTACCAGATTCTCTTCCAATCCACTGTCATTGCCACTACGACTGAAAGCAAGCGGAATGTTAGAGAAATACTCTTTGTGTTCTAAAACAGTTGTAATCTTACCTCTTATGGCTAAAACCGCATCGTCCAAAGCATGAACCCATCACTTGCGGAAGATTTATTGTCAATTGGAAGTGGTGACTAATTCACTCATTGTGTGATTCACTTCCGGAAGAGTTAGACATTTTACGAAATTAGACGGATTTCAATGATTTTGCACAGCTTCGCTTCAACACATGGTTATTGACGGAGCTCCAATACAGGCGATTGTGGTTATAAGGACACCACAAAGGATACGTGAGTCAATAAAAATTTCAAAGTTTTGACAAAAATCAGCTGACTAGACTGTGCAAGGCACGGACAACAACGGAGGGGTTGAAGCGCGTGCGCCGTTGCTAGATGAGGGTTCGAATGAGGGGTTTCAAATAGACGTTGAAATGAGGGTGATTAGAGATGTATAAGTTTGGGATTTAAAAGATTTAGCAATTCTGCGCGGTTTTGCGGATTTTATAATATGGTAAATCATGGATTTTGTGTCTGCATATCTAAGGAATAAGGGTTGGTTCGGCGGTTAGCGACAAGGATGTCTTCGAACCTATCTGCTCGGTGGGTCCGATCGCCATCTGGTTCTGGGGACTCTAACATGGCATATTGTTTACCACTACAGGGAAATTGGGAGTTCTGTGTACGAATATGCTCCCACCACCCACTTGCCACACAAGAGCCGTTGTGATGGGATTGGCTGGCAAGGCTCCGGCGTTGAGAGAGAAAATTCCCACGGATGGCAAAAAAAGGAAACAATAGACGGCCAGAGTGAGGGTGTGTGTGGGGAAATGGTCTCAGCCAGAGTGTCTCATGCTGGGAGCCCTCCTTCACGGTGAGGCGCGCAGGAGTTCTGAGAGATGTCTCATCCTGAACAATCTGCGAAAAGGCCCTCCACACCAATTCTGCGTGCGTGTGTGTATGAGAGAGAGAGAGAGTATGTCCATGATGGGAAAATCCGCGAGAGAAAGTTTTCCACGCGTGCATCTCCGCCAGCGAGTGCGAGAGATATTGGGTTTTGGGATTTATAAATGTGTATAAAATACTACAAAGTACGGCAACACTCATCATTTTAATCTTTTTACTGTGTCTGCCGGCCAGAGCGGCTGAGGCGCCTTTCCCACAAATACACACTGAGATGCAGCTCCTCTGACTACCAAGGCATGTATCCCGCACTCACCGTGCGGTGTTGAGATGTGAACGGTGGAAAGCATATCTCAGTGCCGTTCTGGCTGCGGCGTGATTTAGTCTATCTGGCAGAAGGGTCTTGCCTCGCAACTGATTAGTCACCCCTAGGGCACGATGTCAATGTGATCCAGCATCCCGGAAGTTGTGACTCGCATTTCCCTCATTTTTCTCGGATGCATTTATTGGTCGCATTCCACATAAATTGAGCAATTTTGAAATTTACAACTGCGGATGGTGTAATTGCCGGGAAGGAAGGAAGTGTTTTCGTGTGTAAAGCGTGGAGTGTATCTCTGAATAGACGATATTATATGTTTCTGTGAATGCGATTGAAAATCATCATCCACCCCTTTTGTCACGCCAGTCAGACCTGAACAAACCCCCGCAAATTCACGTGGATTATGTAAGGCCCCGGATATGAATAATTCATTGACAACCACGAAGAATTAGCCTTCCAAATTGGCATCATCAAAGAGACTTACGGACCAACCACGTGTCGTGCTCAAGTGAGTTCGCGATTGATTTGGAAAGAGTACCGGGATGGCCCCCTTTGGTGTCACGGGGGCCCTCCTCACGCTGCTCCTGATAGCGTCAGCAGCCGGTGCACCATCCTCATCAAGTGTCCTATCGCCCAATGGTAAGTGCACGGGTGCATCGGAATTTATGTCACCCTTGGGGTGTGATTTTCTGCATGAGTGCCAGTGTGGAAGGAAAATAGGACCCCCACCAGACTTATTATGCGTTACGGTCAAGGGACTTTGTTATCACGGTTGCCAAAGTCATTCATCCGAGGCAATCAAGGGTGGATGCGGAGTGGAAGATGAAGTACTATCGCAAGAAAATCATAGTTTCGTTCTACACTAACAAATGTTTGGGTGAAGCAGAATCTCGTATAGACGTCTAAAAAAGATCGGAAAAATTATCCAATAGCTTAAAATAGAAGAAAAAAATCAGTGATGGTAAAATTAATTAATTATATTGAATTGAGAATCGACAATGCATTTATTTAATTTCACAATTTCTCGAATAAACGAAAAAGTACACCTCCTGTTACAAATTCCCTCCCCTTGAAGAACGCTATTATCCGAAACGGTGTGAGGTTAAAAGGTGAATCGGATCGCTTTGGAATGGGAATCGATCTTAATGGCGGTCTCCAATTAGTTTAATCGCCTGGCTCAATCGAGTCTCGCAGACTCTGCAGACTTTTGAATGCCCAAAATACACATAATCACCACCGAAATCACCAACATCCCCTCCCAGTAAATTGCACTTTTGTCCCAAGACATTCCAAAGTATGTGGAATTCAGCTGCCTTCAGTTAAAATCAACCCGAGAAAAGGAGCAACAAAGAGATGGCACAACTGGCTTGATATCCAGTGATGTTGCAGTACAAATTGACTGAAAGACTGCTAAGTTATTTTTGGATCTCACAGAGTACAGCTTCGCTCCTTTAATCTTACATGCACCAGACATTTGAAGTGTAATTGATATTTAAAATCCACATAATGTGTCCAAAACAGTGAACAGCTGGGAAGAGCAGTTGCAGATAAAGGTCTTCTGACAAAAAAGACCCCAAGACAAAAATACCCATTGACTTTCCAACGCTGTGTGATTTACTGGGCGTGAATGGAGCCACTCAACAGTGTTAAGAAGGAGTATCTTTTATCACAATGATTTTGAAATATAATACATATACCTCCAGAGCGCCGCGAAATCAGCCGATGAGCGTGCGATAGTTAAATCACTGTAAATCAACAAGGTCGTAAATTGTGCAATTAGTCGAAATCATTGCTATGACACATGCTATATGAGCTGTGACACACGATATTATTAACTTCCGAACTCCGGGGCTTCGACTGCGTTATACATTTTATGAATTATGCCTGCCGTTTCATCTGAAAAATTATATCCATCCTCTCAAATGTGCCGATTCAGGGGCAAAAACAACGTCCCAAACCCACACTTTCGCCCCGTGGTAAATCATCACTCTGTAGGCTCTGAAGATGGTGTGAAAAATTAAATAATGTAAAATATTGCGGTCGATGTGATGAGTTGGTAAATTTTGGAGGCATATAACAGCAATATTTATCAATGTGCCAACGTAATCCAACATAATTCGTCAGGATTTTCCTGTGAGATAAGCGATAACGAATTGGGATACGCAACGGTTAATTTGAATGGTATTTGTCAGGGTATCAAATAATCCAATGATTGTTTTTGAAATCACTTATATGCTAAAATTATTTAGAATGATAACAAATTTTGAAATATTTTACCTATAATTATCATATTTTATACTCATAATTTATGTCAAAATACACATTTAAAATTTGTTGATGTTCTATGAAATCCCAGATAATATTTATTATGCGTCAGCGTCGAAATTATGCAGAGAAATATTATTAGTAACATGTTTAAATGTCTGTCCAACCCTCTTGAGTGCGTTCTCATGATTAATTTATATCCAAAGTTACACCGATTGAGGCACAATCCAAAAATAATGGCTTAGACTCAGACTATCATAAATCTATCCTGCTGAAATGGTGTGGATCCAAAAAATTCCTCCACCTCTGACCCCTGAGGATGTCTATATGGCACTCCAACGGCGCGCGAGGTGATGAAATAGACGCGCATTCTCAGCAAAACAAATAGCATGTAAAAATATACATTTTCAAATCTATGCTCGAGAATCGAAACAAAGATGACAGGTGTATCTTTTCCGAACAAGAATGACGACTGGGAGGAGAAAGTCAACAGCGTACATGTGAATCTTCTCAGAAAGAGTCCAATATATTTCAAAGTGTTTAATGAGGAGGTGGAGCGAAGTATCAACCCTTTGTTGTTTAAAATTAGATCACTTGCGCATGAAGAATCTTCCAGGAAGTGTGGTTTCATTGAATTTTTTTACTGGATTATCAAAATATTACATTGTATTTAGTAAACGAGTAACTTGTTTGCCAAACAGTCTTTTGAAAATAAACCAAACTTGGAGGCTCTCTTTTGAGGTAGACCAGTCTAATTATGTTTAGGATTGAGAGTTGCGCATTCACGCTTATTTATAACTTCCCCGTTCTTTCCATTCTCATTTGTTTATTGCCTTTATGCAACTTGACTGCTGAAACATGAATAGTCAAGCCATTTCCTCAATAGTCTCTATGATTAAAAGAACATTATAATTGACGGGAAATGCTACTGCATAAATTGTCCAGATTGTAGATTTTTCATGAGTTCTGCATAGTTCAGGCATTCACACATTAACCCGTGTTCTCTGAATAAATAATAATGAGATTCCGATCCACACACATTAATGTAATTTATTTACCGCAAACGTGCCAAGACACATTGATTTGCATGCTCAGTGTGAATACAGATCATTCCTATACCCTTGAGTAATCCACGAAGAGCCCCTAAAACTTTCCCTTGTGGATCACTTTGATGCGCAATGCTCGAGTTTTAATTGTATTTAATAGAAACTTAACTCGATTAGGCTCGATGGGCGAAGGTCTGCAATACTGCCCTACAATCCTAATTAACTTTTAACTACCATAGAGGCAGAACAATGGCAATCAGTGGCATATCAACAATGTTAAACATTTTGGCAGACTATCTATCGCGTGTAAAAAGCCGTCAAGAGCACAAAAACATTTAATTAGTTTGCAAATAAATCAATGAACCATGCACCAGAGTGATAGGGAACATAGCCAATTGAACGAGGCACGTTAGCAGTATCTCGATAACATTGTGAAATACTTAAAAACAATATTATTGAGATAATTTCGAGCGACATGGCAATTAACACAATTGGTGAATAAAATTAAATTTTTGTTTCTGGATGAAACTTACAGAGAAATGTTTCTGTGAATGCTTCAATTTTGAATGTAAAACCGAAATGAGGAGAGCACGACAATATTTTCGGGGAATGGAATAAGCCGATTTTTTTTTTATTTCAATTAACTTTTTGTTCACAAGCTTCACACGAAAAAAAATTTTTGGAATAAAAGAAAAAAAAATGATGTGAAAGGAATAAAAAAATTAAAACGACCAGATTTGAAGTAAAATCGCTTGTTGTAAATTACCCAATTTAATGATGAAATAAATATGTCAATTAAATAGGATTTAAAATACAAAGAGAAAGTATGATAAAATATGAATAATATTTATATTACTCACTTATCAAATTTGTGTGTATTATTGCGTTTAAAATCTGTGAATTTTACAACCGCGATGTGATAGATATGAGTGAGAAATAACAAATTAAAAGTTCATTATGAGAACAATGTATTTTAATAATTTGCACTCTTTTCGCTTGCAATCTCGTTGAGAGAACGGGCAGAATTTCCAAAACACACTTACAGGTATGTGTAGTCCCTGTCAACGTCGAAGACAGGCGCTTTCCATCCCGCCCCAGACCCACGGATGCCCCGAATCATCCATTATTCCAACACCAAACGAACCACATAATGTTTATAATCGAGATTCGCCTCACACTAAAGACTGCCTGGAATTGAACAGATGTTACCTTAAATCAAAATGCGAATGCAAATCAGTAATTTTGCCGGAAGGGATGAAATTTCGGAGTGTGTGTGTGAGGATGTGTGGGGGATGCTGGCAAAATGAGATTTTCCATAATAAAGTCGGGGTGATAAATCATTGAAATGGTGTCTAATTTTTGGAATGGTGAGCGTCTAAAAACTTTTCGTACCGGCGAACTTTAATACGACAAATCGATATGGCGAATTGTTCTGCGGCAAACGGGGGAAAGACACTAATATTGATTTCATTTTAGCCCATATCCGCTATGTATACTAATTAAAATTCACTAGACAATTCCCCAACCCCGACGCTATGTGGCTGCGCCAACAAAACATATCTTCCACTTGCCTGCAGCTGGAGTGTTTGCTCTCCGCACAGGTGAAATAAATACAATTTTATTCAGAACACAAGGCGGCGGGTGGCGCTCAGAGTGGGTGGTGGAGTTGATATAAATTCATGGGAAATTGTTAATCATATCAATGTTCTCGCTTTCATGTGTCTCTAGCGCCACAAATTCTCTGGGATGTCACTGGGGAAAGTTATAAGTTACTCCACAGGTCGACTGTGGAATTACAGCATCGTATCAGCCCTTCTGAGAGCCTTGGCTGTGGAATACTCTGCAATTCTTTAACTCAAACTCTATTGAGACCCTTTTACAAAAATACCCAGTGATAAGTAACGTTTTCACGGCATCAATTACCACTAAGCATATTTCACCCACAAAGAACATGTTCTTGCAAACAATATGTCCTTCTCTGGCTCTCCGGATTGGGGAGTGGAGCCAAAGTGTCCGAATGCGGAGATTTGAATTTTGAATGACTCTCAAAACCCAGAGTCTTGACCGTGCCATGGCTGCTTCATCACAGGGGAAATTGCGCCCTGCCCCAAGTGCTCTTAGGCCCGTAACACAGTCGTCAGGTATTTCAATTCCTTCACCCTAAAGTTTCACTGTGCAATCACACCGAGATTTCGCCTGGGCGTTTGCAACGGATACAGCGATTGTGCATTTCCACATTCTCCGATAACCATATTACCTGCACTTGATATCCATAAACGTAACATGGAAGTCGTATGTTTGTAATTTGCAAACTCAATATGACTCAAT